TCGACACTGCATAAGATCCTATATGCCGTTGCTACCAACCTACTTTTCAACGTCTTGTAATAAATTGGGTCGCCTCATTAAACATACGAAAACGTGACTTACATATAATCAGTCACAAAACATGAACAACACAGACCCAAGAGGGTGTGTCAAAGTTTACCATGTGCGTTTTCGTTTCTTCTGGGAGACATGCTTTTGACTTGTTTTCTCTCATGAAAAGTACCGCTAAGCGACCTTCAACTTCGGTCGCCATTTTGTTTTAAGTTTCGGCTAAAAAGTTGCGGTACCTTTTCTGTGTTTTTGCAGAATTTGAGGTTTAGGAAGCATGAATGGAATTTCTAAGTATACGTATGAATATGAGGAGTGGCACATTTTCACACAGACTGTTTTTAAAAGATGTCAGTAGGTATGTATAACTGTATGAATGTTTTTGAATACGCTTTGATATGAATGTGATGAACGAGGCCTTGAACAAATACTGTAAAAAAAATATATACACTCCATTCACCATCGATAAACTGGGCATTTAGTTGGTTTCATTAGCTAATTAATACATAGATGCGTAGATATTTGACCATTTTCAATCTTTTAACCAAAATATTTATGAAGGTTTCAAACATTCCTTCGCATATGGATTTTCAATCAGTCGGTGCAATTTGTTCGAAATGAAAAAAATATTTCAATGGCGGCACATTTGAACGAAAGTGTAAACAAGGGGAATTTGACTAACTCCATATGCGTTATTTATTGACAGTAGAGTTGTGAAAATGACACAGATGTGATGGAAATTTACTGCTTTTTGCGATGTTGCAATTGCTATGGGCTTGGGGTAATCCAAAAATATTTTATTTCAATTCTTTTAACATGATGTTTCAGAAGGACATATATGTCCCTCTGGCACAGCAACTGCGTTTTGTGTAGGGACATATATGTCCAAATGGCATCCAGGGGGTTAACCCCCTGGATGCCAGAGGGACATATATGTCCCTCCTCTACAGCCCTCACTTTGAAGTCGAATAAAATTCAAAATACATCACCCACACAAATACACTTTACAGTTTTGAATAAGGTGGGAAATTCCCTGTTCTGTGATATCACCCACTGGCATTTTAGGCCAAGCAAAAGTACTGAACATGACCTCTGAAAATTAGGTACATCGTAAATGTCGCCATTTTTTACACATTACTAAATCACCTCTCACGGCGTTATTTACAGCATGTTTTGATATCTAAGTTTCGGATATTTACTCGGATAAATGAATTTCAAAAATAACATTTTAGTGATCACGGGTATCTGTCCTTTATGAAATCACCAATGATCATTCCAAAACGTCTCCGATAACCCTAGAATCGTTTCGAATGTTTTGGAAAATACGCAAACACGAACGCCGAAGTGAACTTTCCGCCATATTGGATGGTGTTTACAAAATCACGTTTCAGGTACACCGGTTTTGAGACGCCTGTAACATCACGTATATTTCAAACGTATCTGCGATACCTACATCCTTGAATTCCTCATACATTTTAGAATCAAATGACCAGTGGTCTTTGTCACCAATACAAAGTGGCTCGATGAAATCAAGCAAAATAAGTTAGGTGTGAAAACGAACGCTGTGCTCGAAAAAACTGCACATGGTTGAAATGTAAACAAAGCAAAATTCAGATTTTACACAGTGTAGCATATTCTCCTATTATGAGCTATCCATTCGTCTATTCGTTCAAGATATTGGCTCAACATTTTCAGAATATGCATGGGAAGAGAATCGTAGGAAGAATTGGGGAATTTCAAATAGATACATTGCAATGATTTGATATTTTCAACAGAAGTTGTCAAAGTTACCGTTCTGGTTGACGCCATGACTGACGCAAAATCACGCACAACGACAACGGTATTTATCTGAATTTCTGACTATTTCCGTTTGTTTCAATGAAAATTATGACAACAAATAACAGTACATAGATTGTCAGAATGTTTCTGATTACTTACATGTCACATTTATGTGTATACGATCCCTGAATCAACGAAAGTCCCCCCGTACAATCCCGCGTACTGTTGAAAGTGTACACGCCATTTTGTAAAAGTGGGTCACAGGTAGTGATGTCATACGTCAACATTGTTGTACATATTTGGTAATTTCTTTGAGGTGAAGGTCCTTGAATGAGAGTGCACACGATCACTGTATCATGCTGTTTACAGTTTCAGTTATGGTGTATATTTTGCATGTCTCTTATACATTTGTTCACACAATTTATTTCACTTTGGATATTTGTCAATGTTCAAAATGTAATCATACGTACATATAGGCCACAACATGTATGAACGAACCTTTGATAATCTCCTGTTTGTTTGAACATTGTTTGCATAACAATGTGATAGTTTTATAGTGTCGACTACGATATTTCTTTCCTTTGGACAAGTGTTACAAGATAAAGTGTAAATGTGACTGCAGCATGTATACGTATGTCTTGGGATGTGTAATAAGTCAATATCATAAGTTCATATAACCAATGTCCATGAATAGCCGTTTCATTTTATTTTATAACTAAAACTGAATATATTACTTTAACAAAATGGATAATATTTTTCGGTAAAATATATGCACACATTTCTGAAATGTCTTTGTCATGGATTTGTCTTTTATGTTGTTGGATACAGAGAACAGTGATATCTAACGATTCGCAAGGTGCGCGTTAGTCACAAACAATTTACGAATTATTCCTCTCGTTTTGCATTATATAATCAATTGTTTCATTCTGTTTTCAATATTGTGATCACAGGATAGTAAACAGTTTACTTTATTTCTCCAGGAATTGTAAAATGTATAAAAAATAAAACCCATGCCAGGTACCCCGTTGGTTCAAACGTATACGATTACCCTGATAATTCTATACTAATAGAGCTTTCTTTGCATCTTTTATTGTGTAAGAAAAAATAACATATTCATGAACAAATATATGTCCAATATTGAATATAATTTTGGTTGTTTTGAAATATTCTTTGGGGAATTTCATTACGTAAATTGATGCCAAACAGGTGCGTGTCTTGTCCAATTAAGATACACGATAAACTATCTAATTGTTTACATATTTAAGACATTATTTACTTGGTGAGAGCAGTCATTTTATGTTGTGTCGAAAAAGCGTCAAATTCCGTTCCACACATCGAGATTTTCCATAACATGAACGAAAATTAGGGGAGATATATATTAATCAAAATACCAGTGTCGTCTTTTTCCGACGTTATCAAATACATAAAACCAGCAATGATTATTTTTAGGGTATTTCATTACATTGATGATAAGGCTTGTGCTCCATTAATAATGATGCGACATTAGTCAAATTACACTTACACAATCAGGAGAATGTTGGAATCAAAGGACTAAATTATAGGTTAGATAAGGCCATCCATTTCTCTATTACCTCCTATTTTATGAAGTACGGTTTCATCATTTCTTATGGGTATATTTTATAACTAAACGTGTACAGTTTCAATATCGATATTTGTGTTGGAATAGTTTGGTTCCTCCTGAACAAAACACCACGAAAATATATTGTCCTTACCCACAGCTAATTCTTACCAAGTGACCCGAGTTACAACAAACTAGAGCTAAGCATAGCGGAGTTATGCCCCCTTTTCTCTGTACGTGTGTAACCTCTCTGTCACCTTTTGACGTCATAGAGAAAAATCAGTTTTCGTCATTTACGGCATGCTATTTTTGGAATTGAATGTATGTCGTTATACATACGCATATGACTCCATTTGATATGTAGTTATGTCGTTCTGATATTAGGCAGTATTTTGTTCGCTCACAGTTTCCGTAAAGCTTCTTAATAAAAAAAATTGTCGCACAGTACTTTTATCAGTGTACGATAAAAAGCGGAGAAATTTACTGTTTTTCAACGCAGAATAAATTCTCGGACAACACTTAGGAGTGTCTGTTTTTAAAACCGGTTTGATATTTACAGTTAAATTTACACCATCAAATGGGAAATTTGATATTCTCCACCTCTGCGTAATTTTATAGCCAGAGGTAGACCCAGTGCCGCGTGAGCGCAATTCTCGCACAACCTTCACTTTTCCGATCTTAGGAAAATGTGCGTCAGAAAAAAAACTCGGCATCCAGAGGGTTAAGGTCCAGTAAACAAACCCTGAAACATAACCTCCTCCCTTTAAGGTCTAGTAAACAAATCCTGAAACAAGACCTCCCCCTTTAAGCTCCAGTAAACAAACCCTGACACATGACCTCCTCCCTTTAAGCTCGAGTAAACAAACCCTGAAATAAGACCTCCCCCTTTAAGCTCCAGTAAACAAACCCTGAAACAAGACCTCCTCCCTTTAAGCTCCAGTAAACAAACCCTGAAAAAAGACCTTCCCCTTTAAGCTCCAGTAAACAAACCCTGAAACATGACCTCCTCCCTTTAAGCTCGAGTAAACAAACCCTGAAACAAGACCTCCCCCTTTAAGCTCGAGTAAACAAACCCTGAAACATGACCTCCCCCTTGAAGCCCCAGTAAACAAACCCTGAAACAAGACCTCCCCCTTTAAGCTCCAGTAAACAAACCCTGAAACAAGACCTCCCCCCTTTAAGCTCCAGTAAACAAACCCTGAAACAAGACCTCCCCCTTGAAGCCCCAGTAAACAAACCCTGAAACAAGACCTCCCCCTTTAAGGTCCAGTAAACAAACCTGAAACAAGACCTCCCCCTTTTAGCACCAGTAAACAAAGCCTGAAGCATGCCCCCGCCCCACCCCTTAATCCCCACTCTACATAGTTTTGATATACCTTATTACGCTAAAGGTAGTTCAAGAGAAGCACGTTAAGACATCGCGTACCAATTGCGTAAATCGATGCTCATGATATCAATTACCGGATTGTCTGTTCCATTCTCGATTATTTACAGACCGCCTTTATAATGGTGGGATAATGCTGAGTGCGGCGTTAAACAAACAAACATCATGTTCAGATAATGTTGTTTACGTGAAAGCTTCTAAGTTTCAAACCTTTCTTGTCTGTAAAGTACTCATGCATGTTGAGACTCCCCGCATCTGTGATGCCAGAAACCGTGAGTGTGAGATCCACGACGACATCCCGGTCAGGCACAGAGCACTTAACCTCAGTCTTGGAGGAACAGAAGCCACCATCTTTACATGCCAACTTGCTGGAGTGTTGCTCGATTTCATTGGTCAGTTCTTGCTTGTACTTTGCCTCCGAGCCAATCAAGGAACATTTTAGCCCGGTGTAGGACATAGTGTTTTTGATACTCATGCCTCGGGGTGCCTCCATCACTGAAAACACAGACAATACGGACACGCTCAAATAGGCCAACTGACTATAACCTTAAGGTTCTTGCATAACTAGTATGTGAACAATTTGATGCTGGAATTTTGGTAATAAATGCCTATGTGATTCTATGAATCACTTTTCAGTCGGCTCGAAAATAACATTGTATACTGTGGTTTCATTCCGTACCAGAACAAAGCCTTGCAGATCCTCCTTCAACTAGGCGATCTGACCGTTATGATTGCCATAGGCAGGGCTTACAGAGCCTCCTTCAACTAGGCGTTCTGGCCGTTATGATTGTTATAGGCAGGGCTTACAGAGCCTCCTTCAACTAGGCGATCTGACCGTTATGATTGCCATAGGCAGGGCTTACAGAGCCTCCTTCAACTAGGCAATCTGGCCGTTATGATTGTTATAGGCAGGGTTTACAGAGCCTCCTTCAACTAGGCGATCTGACCGTTATGATTGCCATAGGCAGGGCTTACAGAACCTCCTTCAACTAGGCGATCTGACCGTTATGATTGCCATAGGCAGGGCTTACAGAGCCTCCTTCAACTAGGCGATCTGACCGTTATGATTGTTATAGGCAGGGCTTACAGAACCTCCTTCAACTAGGCGATCTGACCGTTATGATTGCCATAGGCAGGGCTTACAGAGCCTCCTTCAACTAGGCGATCTGACCGTTATGATTGCCATAGGCAGGGCTTACAGAGCCTCCTTCAACTAGGCAATCTGACCGATATGATTTCCATAGGCAGGCCTTACAGAGCCTCCTTCAACTAGGCGATCTGACCGTTATGATTGCCATAGGCAGGGCTTACAGAGCCTCCTTCAACTAGGCGATCTGACCGTTATGATTGCCATAGGCAGGGCTTACAGAACCTCCTTCAACTAGGCGATCTGCCCGTTATGATTGCCATAGGCAGGCCTTACAGAACCTCCTTCAACTAGGCAATCTGACCGTTATGATTGCCATAGGCAGGGCTTACAGAGCCTCCTTCAACTAGGCGATCTGACCGATATGATTTCCATAGGCAAGCCTTACAGAGCCTTCTTCAACTAGGCGATCTGACCGTTATGATTGCCATAGGCAGGGCTTGCAAAGCCCCTTTTAATTAAGCAGTCTGACCATTACGGTTGTCGTAGGCAGGGCTTATGGAGCCTCCTTCAACTAGGCGAACTGCCCGTTATGATTGCCATAGGCAGGGCTTACAGAGCCTCCTTCAACTAGGCGATCTAACCATTATGATTGCCATAGGCAGGGATTACAGAGCCTCGTTCAACTAGGCGATCTGGCCGTTATGATTGTCATAGTGAGTGAGTAGATATGGTTTTTCGCCGCTTTAAGTAATATTCCAGCAATATAACGGCGGGGGACACCAGAAATGGGCTTCACACCTTGTACCCATGTCGGGAATCGAACCCGGGTCTTCGGCGTGACGAGCGAACGCTTTAACCACTAGGCTACCCGACCGCCCCTATGATTGTCATAGGCAGGGCTTACAGAGCCTCCTTCAACTAGGCGATCTGACCGTTACGATTGTCGTAGGCAAGGTTTGATTTAAGGAACTTGATTTAACTTGCACCAGGTGCATGTTGACCTGAAAAGCTAGTTGCACCAGACAAAACCAGGCAGCATCCTAAATAAATATCTAAATAAATTCTCAGGTCTCTGATGACTGTCATGATTTTTAGTACAGAGAGTACTGACGGTACAATTCGTATGTGGCAATGTCCATGGCAACCAGAGTATAATTAATAATTATTATCATTATACTGGTTGGATAATCTAAATATCATAGGTATACGATGGGCGACTTCTATGAAAGATGAAGCAACAGTACGGTATTTTAGCGTGAAGTACCCACAGTCTGATGACGTCAAGGAAGTCCACGAAGGAATGACAAAGTACACATGGATAAAGCCGATGTTGTGTGGACAATCATGGTTTGAGTCAAGATACAAATGTGAACTTTGTCGACATGCACTTGGTGCATGTAGATATAAATATTAGGTTGCATTTTTCAATAATAGGTTGCACTTGTGCATGTTGTAAATAGGTCTGTCTATGTTACAGTAGGGGGCTTGGGTTATGATCGGTGTGTTTACGGAGGCTAACAGGAGGTGTACGAAATAAATCATAAATGCTTAGTATATAACAACGTATCTACGCCCTAAAGAATGTCCATGTATGCAAAACGAGTATTGATAAGTGTACATTCATATTGCATTCTCAGCTCCCTGGGGAGTACACTCACTATTGCAAGATGGCAGAAACGCGGCAGCTCTGGTCTCATAGTCCCACGTGTAATCTGTCCCTGGTCCACAGTTGTACGACGGCAGTGGTTCATTTGTGAAGCTATATCCTGGATTACATCTCAGCTTACAGCTTTGGGTGGAGCCTGTCTGGTTACATTCAAACACGGAGTTCGGCGGCTTCGGGAAGGTTATACAGGCTGGACATTGTAGCCGATTGCAGGGTTCTGCCTGAGTTGTCTCCCCTTTGCAGTCGAGTCCGCCATGTTGTGGGGCTGGACTGTCGCAGTGACGTGACCTCGATCTGAGGCCAGTCTGACCACAGGTGGCCGAACAGTCTGACCAGAGTGACCATCCGCTCCAGCCACCGTTCACTTTTAATAGAGGGTCAAAGTTAGCAAAAAAAACAACAACAATATGACAGCGGGGGACACCCATTTTGGAAACCGAAACTGAGTCATAGGCGTGACGAGCGAACACCACAGAAGAGGGACACACGGGAGAAGGACTCATTCGGTGATCACGTTTAAGCAGTATTTCAGCAAAATAAACATCCCGGTGTGTACGATTGATAAACTAGGCTTGAACTAGGCTTGGATTCCGGAGTTACAGTTTGGCTGGATCAACAAGTCTTATGCATAGTCCAATCAAAATTGCGAAACTAGACATCCGATTCGTTAACAACATGGATTCCAACGTGGCGCTACGATCGGGCTACGTAATTCCAGCCTAGTTCGGCAAGGTAGACACTGGACTTTTACAGTCAGTTAACTCCCTTGCCTCGGGAAGATGGTGTACACCACGAGCATTGCTATGTTGTTTGGATCTATTGATGAATAATCGTGACCAACAACCAGAAGATCCTGTCTCGATAAAGGGAGAAACACAGGATTATTAAACGAAATTCACAGGCATATATAGGAGTGAAGAACATACTTCTAATCAGGCCCGTCATTTTTAAGTTAGATCTTTTAGGATTCTTTTCTGCGTCAAGATATGACAACACCTCCATAGAATGTCGCATCAGGTGGATCCTGAGTGAACTTTGACCCATCTAATTGAACTATACGTGGGTTCTTTAGCCAATCAGCGCTCAGCTTTCTGAACGATTCGGCTTGATTTCTTTACAACCTCGATTTGGAAATGTCGATCTCAGCAAAAGAAAACAGCAACAGAACACAAATATATCCTCAATAATGCACACTTGTAGGTGTTGATGACATGACGCTCAGAAACGACCTGATGAATACATTTCCCAACAATATAATAGAGCGGCTTTATGGTTTTGCTTTCGGAACTCCCCGTTTATGTTCGTTTTGGAGATCAATAAATCATTGTTTGATATTTTCTTGACCTATGATGTGCAAACATAACATCCTTGGTTGAAAAATAGAAAACTATGCGCTTTAATCTTTCATCCGTTTGGATGTCAGCGTTATCTAATTATTTCCAAACAGTTGAACTCGGAAGTTGATTTTACAGAGGATTTCGAACTCCCATTAATGTAAAGAGATTGCAAAAAAAACGCTTTACCTATCTGTTCCTGGCATCGATCGCCCGTGTACCCAGCCACGCACTGACAGACGAACCCCCCAGGGGATGTGACACAGGTGCCTCTGTTGGCACATGGCTGACTGACACAGTGGTCGGGGGGAGTCTGGCACTGCTCCCCGCTGTATCCCCCTGAGCACCGGCACCGGAAGCCATCAGCCAGCATCTCACAGGCGTTGGCACCGCAAGGGCTGCTCAGGCACTCGTCGTGGACTGTTGTGGCAATGTAGAGTGGAGAGTAGGATAAAATGGAGGGGGTTTGAGGTACATGTGTCAATAGGGAATGGGCTTCACCACATGATCCCTTTAGCCAACTCTTAGACTCATTGGCTACCAACTCGTGGTACTCCAGGACAAGCCGAATATCGACTCATGCCCCTCTCGTGGTCATTTTTGCGACCGGGTCCCGTCTAAGCGCAAACGGGCATAGCCAAAGGAATTGTCAGATCGTTGCGTTAAGATTCACCTATATTTTACCCCATATCATAAGTTTTCCAGATTCTATTTTAAACACCTCGGGACTGACAGTATTATACAGTATGATAGAACACATATAACTGTATCTTAGATATATTTTTATATGCAAGACATATGCAAAATAAAAAATATTCCTGAGGAATTCTTTGACCGAAGTATTTAAAGTCATACGCGTATTTTGATTGGTTTGTCGTATTTACGCACATAGCATTCATCGATAGGGGGACGTATCTTCTTGTTGCTATATGTAATAATACATCAGAAGCCCAACCAATCAGGAAACTGTAGTATGTTGGTGGACGGGCCTACTTATCGTTAGGTTAGGAAATATTAAAGCCAAAACATTGCTTGATCAGCCAATCAAAAGCCACGCAATTGATTTATTATGTTGTAATTGTAATCGTCAGATTGGCATTTGGCAGGTGTTTAATTAAACAATAACGTGTCCAACAGTCAACATGTTTTGCTATTATTTATTGTGATATACTCACGGTATGTGGCCTCAATGCAGCTACCCGGGCTGGTTGCCCCCGAGTCCCGGGTGGTGTACCCAGGGGAGCACGTACTACAGTTGACTTCCCCGGGGGTAATAGAGAAGGTGCCTTCTCCACACAGCGAACATGGCGCTAGTCCTGTAGCGGAGTACTGGCCAGGCGGGCACACCTCTGAAACGGCCGTGTTTCAGTGTCACTATTACCCCTTCAATGACAATCAAATGACAGGTCGCATTGGGCATCATCAGAAACAATCAACCTGTTTGTGGGGCTTTGACAGGGTCTTCATTCATGAATATAATAAAGATTGCTCTATTTTGTCGTCCCTACCTAAATGCTTGTCCAAGCTACAGAAATAGTTCATATGTGACAGGGACATATAATTGCGCTCCTTGTGGTTCATTATCCCTGTAGTGTTTTATTGTACGATAAACAACACCAATTCGGCTTTTATTTCTGAATTTACGGTAATTCTAATAGCCCTTCTAAGATATATATACATAATAAGCATGCAATTAAAGAGATGCCCATCGTCTGAGGCGTCGCAATTCGATTAAAATTCGCCAGACACCTATGATGGTTGGTTCGAATCCATGCTTGGCCCTGATCATGTTTCTAGGTTTGTCAGCGCCATACCTGTGCTCGTGGGTTTCATCAGCGTAGGAAACGACCAGGACAACTTCGTCCCACATCAGGCTGACACGCCGTGCTATAAATCCGGCCCGGCACAGAGCACCCTGTTTGTAAGGTAATATGCCTCTTACTCAACTTAATTTCTTTCTTTCTTAGAATTAGTTAAGCCCAGACATTGTACTATTATTACACCTCCATCTACTGCAACATGCTTTTTAGAGAAGTGAAGGTGTTGGTTATCTCCCCTGGTTGGGTATTCGACAAACTCCTCACAGCGCGTGACACCTTTACACTCCCGGTGTAAGGAGCTCCTCGAACGGGCTATCGCTGTGAGGAGCTTGGTTGCTCGAGCCCTTGATGTGTGGCTCGAGTCCATCCTAACCCGTATACGCGAGTACCGTCATGTACTTTAATGATTGTCTACCGTGACACTCGGCGAGGCTTCCAGCTCCGGCAGTTTCCGTGGACATCCCATTAGGACACGGCACATAAGTGACGGAGTTATCCGATGGCTGGTAAGACCCTTTCGGAACAGGATCACACGAGTCTTTGGTCTGGTTGTAATACTGGCCTCTTGGACATCCAGCTGAAATCACACAACACGCCTTGGGGACCGACCATTTGATATTCTGTTCCCGACAATGTTTGGGGTAAATAGTTTACATAAAGGTTTTAAAAAGGTACTGGCATCAACATTGTTCACTGCTGAATAGCCTGACCACCTAGTTGTGGTTCCTGAAATGTGTCTGCCTCCTTGCAGAGAAACAAATGTATGTCTTGAAACAGTGCGAGGAAAGTAGTGTTTTGTCTCCAATAAAAATTCCAATAGTCATATTACTGTCAGTATTCTGTATCGAACTAATCCCAGTGTTCGACACAAACGCTGGTCTGTTGGTCAGAGTCCAGGACCAGTAAAATTAAGCAAATGCTGTTCCGGTAGGCTAGTGTTATTTTGGGGACGAACATGTAATTTAAGTTTGTACGACTTTTGAAATCAGCAATAGATCAACTCTATATTCTAAGCAAAATCAGCGTGGTACAGTGGTAACCTTGACTGGTTTCTCATTCTACTTGCGCAATGAAGTAACACATTTTGAAACCCATTTTTTTCAGGAACATTAATTTGTGTCTTGTAGAGATCTAAAAGACTAGTAGATTTTCCATTGTGCTGGCCCTTTGATCCACTGACATATCTTTGCCAGTGTCAAGCACTGCTTATCCCTCGTCCTATTGCGCCAGTCTCTCGTCCTGTACATTCCATGACCTTGACCGTTGACATTGGTGTATACTGACCACAAGCTCCACTAGCATAGTCCGGCCCCGTGCCCTGCGGACAGTCCATTGCCATAGCATCAACATGGAGCACAGCACTTGATGCAGACAGCCCAAATGTCAGGAAATTCAGAGACCCAGACATGACACCAGTTGTGATTCCTAAAAACATATTTTCAACAAATGGCTAATTGAACCCTGGAATCACACGATCTAACATGCTTACAACACAACGTGGTCTTCCCAGTCCTCTAAAGCGCTGCAGTTTTAATTGTGATCGTGGGATTGTGAATGGACCCTATTTCTTTCGTCCCTATCCCTCTGCTGGTTCAAATTGCAGAAGTAGTTAATTTGCGACCTGGACCTAAAATTCTGTACTGTGCAAAGGTTCAAGAACGCAATCATGTCATCAAAGAGACAACGGGTGGCCAAGTAGTCTATGGCGCCGTAGTTGGCTATGCAAGTAACGTCCCTTAGGCGTGCCAGGAACCCGTGATCGTGGGTTCGAATCCAAGATTGACCCCGATTATATGTTTCCAGGTTGTCAACATCATACCCATGTTCAAGGGTTTCACCAAAGTGGTTAAGACCTGTACTTCGGGCTCAGACCTCACTCCGGCTTTCCTATCACATGAAGCTAACACGCCCTGGTATAAATGGAATACTTTACAAAGAGGAGTTTAACTCACTCAATCATCAAGCGGTCAGTTAACTGAGTGAGTGAGTATGGTTTTACGCTGCTTTTAGCAATATTCCAGCAATATCACGGCGGGGTAACCAGAAATGGGCTTCGAATATTGTACCCATGTCGGGAATCGAACCCAGGTCTTCAGCGTGACGAGCGAACGCTTTAACCACAAGGCTACCCGACCGCCCCTCGGTTAGATAAGTCGTATAAATATTAATATCGGATAGACAACGTACCCGCTGCGACCTTGTTCAGTAGGTTCTGGCCAGCCATTACAGCCAGTGGTCCCCCGCCATTAGCAGCGCTGTACGGAACAACGATGTCAAACTTTAACTGCACTTGGGAGGACGTCGTGCGTTTGCCGGTCACCATGCCGCATATGACGTCCACGTTCTGTGTATTGCACTGCGTCCTGTCAGCGCACACGGACATGAAGATACTGCTGGTGAGAGACTTGATGAAGTTGTCCCTGATCTGACCCCGAGCCGAGGCACTAGCCGGACACGCCCCCGAGTAGTACACGTTTCCCGGGGCACGGAAAGACAGTGGCAGGGTACTGGCTGGAAATGTGAAACACTGGGGAGATAGGGAACTAAGGCACCGACAATTTCATATGTGGAGGGGTTGCTGATTGTTCTAAAATATCATGGTTTTTTTTTCCATTCCTTTCAGAGAAATAAACTCTATGTTTTGAAGCACTGACTAAGATAATCTGTATCAAACAGCCCCTCCCCACCGAATATAAAATTGCTGGACATATAACTAGTGAACTGAACTGACATAATCATAAGATTTATTAGAAATAATTCTTTATATTCGGCCACAATAAATTATTTTTTGCAGATTCTTCCATATGATTCGAAATTTTACTGTTCAGAATATACTGTCTTCAAAGAATCTGTTCAGTGCATATGTCGATGGATGAGATTCACGTGAAGCATGATTCTTTGGTGGAGCTGGACTTAGTATTTTACGCCGTACACTTTAAGCAAGAATGGGGTACACACTGTTTCTTAGTCTGTTTCTACTTGAGGACAATAAAATGATTTGAGTCGGTGGCAATGAAAAAATAATAATCAACTTTTTTTTTTTATCTCAGGCCGAGTCAGTATATTTCTTGTGTTCTTGATTGGCTCAGTCACGACAATATGCAAGGTGTCGCCAATTTGAAAGGTTAATTTGAAAGAAAAAAGTAATGAATATTGTTCAATGTAACTTTTGAAAAAACACAGTTGAGAGGCTACGTGATTTGTTTTAGCATTTAAAATAAAATTCATGTTGTAACAGTTCACTGTGCATCTTCGTGCTGCCCTGTGAAGACCCGAGTTCGAATGGGTCTTCAGCAACCCAAACGGTATCGGGTGGCCAGGCTAGCTAACGTAATTGATGCATGTCATCGTATCCCAATTGCGTGGATCGAGGCTCATGATGTCAATCACTGGACTGTCTGGTCCAGACTCGATTCTTTAAAGACCGCCGTAATATAGCTGGAATATTGCTGAGTGTGGCGTTAAACAACGAACAAACAAACGAAACATCTTCGTGCTCGTTATAGCTGGCATCATAGGTGGAAAACCCCCTCATTATCCTGAGGTGTCATGGCAATGGGTGCCCTTGCTTGTTATATGTTATTTGGGGATTGATTGAATATAATCACTGTTATGTTTGGACACACCTTTCAGAACTGACTTGGCTGATTAAGAATATAATCGCACACCCCTCAGTACACTCAGTACATACTCACCAACACACGGCATGATGTAAGGGTTCGGCTTCCACGTGCCGCTCTTACCACCACAGGCGTACATGCCGTTAGGGGGCGCTGATCGCGGGATCAGGTAGCCATCTTGGCACTGCATCTGGCACATATTGCCCGACACCCACTTGTCGCATGACAACGCCCCATTTTCTGGCGGCACCAGGGCCGGGCAGCTCCTCTCTGTAAGTACGTATTCAGGTCACACAACAGATGGTAGCAAAATTTGGGGGGCATATTTTTTTGTTCCGTGTGGCCCTAGTGGCAGTTGTTTTATGTCTGTTTCAGTCTCATTAAAATCAGGTCTTAGTGCTCGCTACCGCCACACAAACAGCTGAGGTCATTCCATTACAGGTCACGTCAGAATGACCTTTCATCCGACCAATCAGTGCGTCGCTTACGAGAACGCGAAAGTGAAAGTGTTTTCTAATTATGCAACCTCGGACAGGTCACCACGAGGCATTCCGAACGACAGTTAGGGGTTGGTTATAAAGTGATCAGCATTTGAAATCATAGAGTACTACTTTGTTCCAGAATATTATTTTGTTCAGTTTTCATATTTTGAATCGAAAACTGTTCTTGAACGGAAGTCGCCATTTTGAAACTAGTGCGCTAAAACTCCATATAGCTGCTTTCTGATTGGTTAATGTCGACTTCCTGTTAGTCATTTCACTGGTTTGTCAAAGTTCGCGAAAGGCCGTCCTTTAATGGGACGAGCGCTTAGATCAGATTTATATTAAGTTGCATCTGTTTTGGGTTGATACCTATATGGCGTGGATCTACTTTCATACGACTGGCCTACTTATATAACAGAAGTCATCAGGAGATGACATATGCCTCCGATCTGGTGCAATTCGGAAAAGGAGTTTGGCAATTTATACCCCACTTTTGGTTCATTGCCATTGGATAACTTCAGTTAGTGAGGAAAAATGAAATACTGTTCAACATACTACATTATCCTGAATCATCAAATTCCTATATAATAGCAAAATGTACTACTTCAGCTCTGTTTAATACATGCACTAAGTTTGGATGAAAAATCTTTCACGGTTTTCAAGTTATGCTCCAGAATATACGGACAGACGAGCGAACGGACGGATAGACAGACCAGGGGATTATATGATGGGGGGGGCATAAAAGATGCGAATCGTTTACCAGGTCAACGTTTTTTAAACTGAGGGCCAAAAGAAACGTTACCAACATTAACTGATTTGCCACTTTGAAACAAAGATGCCAACCTGTTCAAAAACAGTAAAGAACACATCTCACGAATACAGCCTTCATGTTCTCTGTCGTTCTTTGCACGTGCTTTGCGGATTTTGGGAGATATTGGTGGTTTTTTTCAGCAATTTTTTAAAACATTCTTTCCCAAATTATCGTGCAATTTCCGGGTATAAATTACGCACGGATCTGTTCCCTATCATTGGTTGCGATGATTAACACCAACGAACAGGCCAAGACTGACCGCTGTCCAGAGGGGGAGAGCCATAGGTATGCTGCAGATGGGAGCGACACAGAGAGCGGTTGCCATTAACATGAACTGCTCCAAGATGACCATTACCAGACCGGTCGCACGTCTCCGACAGACTGGCAGAACCGCAGTCAGACCACGGAGTGGCAGACCAAAGGTCACGACCCCGCAGGATGACCGCTTTTTACGGGTACTTCATCTGAGGAACAGATTTCTTATTGTGACGTCATCAGCTGCCAACAGTTTAGGACATCCGGTCAGCAGACAAAGTGACCAGACGACTACGACATTATGGTCTCCGGGCTTATCGCCCTTTCAAGGGCATGACCTTGACCCGTCAACATCGACGTGCCAGATTGACGTGGTGCAGGCAAACTCAGCGATGGCAACAAAGGGAATGGCGGCGAGTGCTGTTTAGTGACGAGAGCAGGTTCCAACTCTTCAAACCTGATGGGCGGACGCGAGTTTATCGATGACGTGGTGAACGTACGGCTCCTTGTTGTGTCCAGGAGGTGGAACCTTACGGGGGCGGAAGTGTGATGGTCTGGGGCGGCATTTGCGGGGACGAGAAGACGGAACTTGTCAGCATCGAAGGCAATCTGACAGCACAACGCTACAATGACAATATCTTACGGCCAGTGGTTCTTCCTTTCATCCAGCGTCAACAACGGACGCGTACGGTGTTCCAACAAGATAACGCCACACCCCATAAAGCCCGTATTACTAGAGACTTCCTCGTGACTGTCCTGCCGTGGCCAGCTCGATCACCAGATCTGTCACCTATAGAACATCTCTGGGACCAGCTGGGGCGTCGTCTTCAGAAACGTCAACATTCTCCCTTCACGAGACAATCGTTGATCGTTGCCCTCCGTGAGGAATGGAATCGGATACCTGCAGTCGATGTGAGGACGCTTGTATACTCAGTTCGACGCCGCATTCGAAGATGCATTGCCGCTCATGGAGGTCATATCCAGTATTGAACGGTCTGGGCCGTCGTCACCTTAAAGTTGTAACCAATGTTGTTGATCGAATACTGGACGAATGACCCCTTGTCAAGAAATGTCCCTGTTGGAGGTCAAGGACTTTGTTGTTGAATTAGTAAATTCGCATTTTACTGTTCTGAATGATGAATTTCTACAATACAATTGTTATTGCTGCTTCAAATTGTGTTGGTCATATTTTATCCTAGAAATATCGTTGGTAACGTTTCTTTTGGCCGTCAGTTTAGTTAGTCTCTGATAACAAGGTGGGTCATTTGTCATTGAAGCAAATGACGTCATCTTTTGTGTTATGACGTCAAGCATTCCACACGTAAAACTTTGAGTGCTAAGACAAATAACCAAAAACCTTTGTATAAATAATATCAATAAACAAAAGTTTTCAGATTTATGGCTGTTATTTGCCATTCGAGGAGTAAGTGAGTGAGTTGGGTTAAACGCCGTTTTGAACAGTATTCCAGTTATATCACGGCGTGTCAGTTTAATGTGGAGGAAAGCCTAAGTGATGCAGGTCTCAGACGTTTACAACTTTGGTAAAACCCACAAGCACGGGAATGGTGCTGACAAACCAAACATAATCGGGGCGAATCTGGGGTTTGAACCCTCGATCACAGGTTTCTGGCACGCCCGAGGGACGTTACCTGCACAGCGAATTACGGCGCCTGAGACGACTGGGCCACCCGTGCCCGAAATCTAAAAAACATGTTAGTTAAATAATCTCTCTAGTGTTCCTTACTCTGACATGATGGTACGCTAGACAGCGATGTCCACGCCCAGGCCACGCCCAGTGTGGCTTGAGGGCTGTCGGTACACGTGATGTGGTCAGCGCCCACCAGGGGGTATCCCAGCGTGCACCGCACTGTGCACGAGCTGCCCACGTAGAAGCTGTGTGGACATGTGAAGTTCAAGTTGCCGTCGGTGAAGCTGTAGGAAGGTGGCGTGCATGTCTTCACTGAAATCAAGGGTGAGTGAGTATGAGCGGATGTGTAGGTAGCTGAATAAATGAGTGACTGAGGGAGTGAGTTGGCAAGGTTCCAGATATATCACATTTTCCCGAGGCAAGGGTGTTAATAGGCTACAAAAGTCAGTTTCCATTCTTGCCAAACTCGATTCCATCCTCGATAGTAGCGCCACCAATCGCTATATGATGTCCCTCCTATTGACCAATCAGATTCAACCTCCAATATCCCTTGCATTTGCTTCAATCAAGATGGCGGCGCCCAGTCAAGACGATCTGATAATCACGATCTTTTTTGTAATAAACGGGTCTTGCCTCGCGAAGTGCATCAAATCATTTGACCACCTTCATTACAAACACGAAAAGATTCGGAAAATCTCCGTCGACGCCCAGTTGACAGAACACATGCTTTGAAAATCCTGCAGTCGACAGAAATCTGCACGTTGAAATTCATGTTGTTTGCGAACCGGATGTCTTGTTCGTTGCGCGATTTTGATTGGGACTATACATATACTCGTTAGTCCAGCCAAAATGTAACTCCGGAATTGCAGCCTAGTTCGGCAAGGCGGAAACCGGGCTTTTACAGTCAGTTAACCCCCTTGGCTCGTGAAGATGGCCGTGACTATGTTGAGTGCTCTCACCATGTGCGACCACATTCCTGGGGTGGAGATACCCTTGACCGGTCTCCTCCTCCACAGTGATACATCACGACGGGGATACCAGACATGGGCGTTACACTTTGTTCTCATGTAGGGATTCGAACACGGATCAACACTTAAACAAATAACAATTGGGCGACCTCAGCGCCCCTCACTGTAATCTCAGGAACAGTGAGCTTAGTGAAGGGCCATAGGTCTGCAATTATTTTATGATATGTTTTGGTGGCATCATGTCATACTGCCCGTATTGCATTACTTGAAACGCTAGAAGGAGTTAAGAAGTGATTTATCACTGTTGCAAGATTGGGATATGGGAACATGCATAACGGTACGCTTACCTTTTCGTGAACACCTGGTATTTTCAGTATTTGAAACACGGGCATATGGTTCATAAACACATGCTCATAAAATAGTCGGAATCGTAAAATGTACACTCCTTTTAGCGGAGATATGCAGAGATTATTTTATGCTTATGGGAGGGTTTTGTCGCTATTATTGAAAACAAGTTCAAATCTGATCTAAATCTCACGTTCGGCTTTTTCCGTCAAAAAGAGCGGCCCCGTTTGGCAGAGCTTGCAACTTGTTCGCAATACATTTCAAGCTTACATAGAAGCCATTGGAACAGGATTTACAATATGACTTGTTTGTTTGTTTGTTGTTTAACGCCGCACTCAGCAATATTCCAGCTATATGACGTAATCTGTAAAATAATTGAGACAATCCAGTGGTTGACATCATGAGCATCGATCCACGCAATACGGATACGATGACATGCATCAACCAAGTCAGTGAATCTGACCACCCGATCCCGTTGGTGGCATCTTACGACAAGCATAGTCGCCCTTTACGGCAAGCATGGGTTGCTGAAGACATTTTCTACCCCGGATCTTCATGGGTGTACACTATGGAATAAGTAACGAGGAGAATTCAAGAAGCGTATCAGCCAAGTTTCTAAAGCATTCGAGCCGGGATTGTGTCCGACAGTCAAGACATGTCACTGTCCCTGGTATAGGTTCATGTCGTGACTGTCGGACTTCATCGCTGCTCTCGGTTCGTTTGATCAATGTCTCATCTATAAACTAAAAGCTCAACAATTTGCACGACCAATGTGGACAAGAAACACACTAACCAGCTCTCGATGCATCTACAGTAAAGTAGCATGTGGCCTTGCTTCCAGTCTGGTCCTGGGCCTCGTACACGACTGTCTGTCTGCCTGGACCTACAACGGAGCCTGGTTGAGGCCCGACTGTCTGGGTGACCCTAACCTTGCCTACACCCTTCGTGGGGTCGACGAGAACGTTACTCCATGTGACCTTGGCATTGGCTGTTCCAGTAACGGGGGTATAGGTGACGCCGACGGAGCAGTTAGTGTGGAGGAAGGAGGGAGGGGAGACAACTGTGGGGAAACAGAAAATAGAAGAAAAAAAATCAGTGTATTTTCATAGGAATAAAACGTCATTTTCAATACTGCTGCGATGACGGTCATGATCAGCTGTTCATTTAGTATGATAACCATTTTTGGTGACTCGTGAACTAATGCTTATGATATAGTCGGAATCGTACAATCGATTTCTTATGAATATGATAGACCGCCTTCGTGGTTTAGTGGTAGAGCGTCCGCCCGGAGAGCGGAAGGTCGGGGGTTCGAACCCCGGCCGCGTCATACCAAAAGATGGCACTTGTTGTCACCCTGCCTGATGCTCGGCATTAAGGGGCTAAAACAAGGACTGTGTCTGAGTAGGGTGTTCGTGTTAAAATGCGGCACGGCACCTCAGTGGGCTAGCACTATAAATTGGGCATCAGTCCGGACTAGTGCAAGCAACCACATACACACACGTACATGCACGTCGCTATTTAAGTGCAATAATCTTGGACACGACGTTAAACCCCATGTCACCTCACCTTATGACTATGGAAAGAGTTTTGTCACTTTAATTTATGTGGATTACCGGAAGTTTTAAAAGGTATGCTGAGTAGTTTTAAAGGTTTTGTCGAATATACACTGTTTCTTGGTCACAGTGGGGTTGAAAGTCATAACATGTAAAGCACGTATTAATAAGGTATTACACATTACCCCGGCGACGGGTATCTAGACGCTGTATAATTAATGCACTTTTTGTCTTCTACATCTAGACCGCCTCCGTGGTCTAGTGAAAGAGCGACCGCCCGGAGTCAGTATACTGTGTCTGAGTGGGGTATTCATGTTAAACTGCGGCATTGTATCTCAGTGAACTAGCACTATAAATAGGCATCAGTCCGGATTAGTACAAGCAACCACACACACACACACACAAACACACGTGCATGCACGTCGCTATATAAGTGCAATAATTATGGACACGACGTTAAACCCCATTTCACCTCGCCTTCACCTCTTCTACATCACCGATTAGGTTCAAGTCGTAATATATTTTTCAATTCTAAATTTTAAAATCCCTCATTTCCAAACTCGAAACAGTTTTTTTCTCGTCGAAAGTAAACTTTGAAGAAGGAAAACAAAAACTGGTACGGGTTTGGAAAACAAGATGGCGGCCGCTAGAATACAACACCGGTTTTTGTTGAATCTAATCACAGTCAAGTAACATATGAAAATCGTCGTTCTATTTTTGTTTTGACCACTCGTCTCGTTCCGAGGCAAGTTGCTAAAAAGATAAATAATCAAAATTAATACGAATAATCCAAACACAAGTCACCTTCACACTGCCCTGCCGGTGTCCATGTTCCTGGCGGTTGACAGGTGATGTAGAAGTTGTTGTGTGCAGGTGACGACCCCGGGGGACAGGTCAGGTAGCACGTTGATCCGTAGGTACCCCCAAGGGGGCAGGTGTAGTGCCCGGTGGGGGGTGTAGGGGGAGCCCCGCACCGTAAGGCTGGAGACCAGTATGTATGAGTGCACGTGGGTATGCTTGTTAGAACGAGTATATTCAAAACCCTGGAGGGTGTCTTTAAGTATCAGGTAAGAAAATGTCGAAATTGGTATGACAATCTTCTTACATTTGAGGGGCATCTGATTGGCAAAGTATATTTACTGGAAAAAAAACCCGAAATCTTGCAGCTTCGTGTCAACAAGCAGAAAGTGAAACACACATAATGTACCTAGATATGGTACTAGCTTTAGTTTGTTTGTGGTTTGACGCCGCACTCAGCAATATGACTCAAATAATTGAGTCTGGACCAGACAATCAATTGCAAGTGATTGACATCATGATCATCGATCTACGCAACCAAGTCAGCAAGTCTTACGGCAAGCATGGGTTGCTGAAGACCTATTCTCTACCCGGATCTTCACGGGTAGATATGGTACTAAGGATTGCCTGCAAGTGATGAAGAAAGCAGCATTGTTCTTTGAGTATGAAGAACCTACCTTCACACACGGGCAAGGCAGCACTGAGAGTATCAGCATCGGTGCAGGTGACGGTGCCAGCACCCTTCCTCTGATAGCCACTGCTACATGAGACGTCGCAGGAATCCCCCAACAGCTGGTAACCCGTTGCCGATGTACAAGTCAGGCGGCCATTTTGAATATAGTTCGGTCTGCGGCACCGCTTCACTGAAAGAGTCCCATGACACAGTAGGGCATTTCAGGACACGACATTGCCTTACTTTCCTTTCATTTAAGTTGCAGTCAATTATAGTCCCGGATATGCCTACCTTCCTATCTCTGTGTGATATCTGTGTTGGTTTAACGCTGATTTCAATAGTATTTCCATGGACCTAAATAATGTAGGTCCGTGGTATTTCTGTCAAAGCATGTCAGATTAAATGCCCGGACAGGACGCAGATTATTGATGACAGACCAGGGATCATAATCGGGCCGAATCTAGGATTCGAACACGCTATCAGCGGATCCTGACCAAACTATGGGACACAAATCTGCAAATGGAGAAGCGGCGCCTTACATAACTTATAGCCATCGTTGCCTCTGCGTCTGTATGAAGTGTTTCCGAAAACGACAAGGTTCGATAATCGATCAATGAATAAATCAGTGTTATCTGTAAATGATTAAAGTTGATATCATCAATTTTCGACGTTATGTGTGATACAAAAAAACAGCAAAACTTTAAATCAGAATCTCCACGCTAGTTACGGCCCTATTATCTATTTAAGTGTATTTTAAGTGAGTGGGTGTGTTAACGCCGCTCTTAATATTCCGTTAGGTCATCGCATGTCATGTTGATGTGGAAGGGAAGTCCGAGGTGATGAAGGTATAAAGTTAATAACCCCGGTGAAACCCACAAGCACGGGTATGGTGCCGACAAACTTAGAAACATAATTGAGGCGAATCTGGGATTCGCTAACCAACGATTATTGGTTCCTGGCGCCCCTAAGGGACGCAACTCTGCACAACGAATTGCGGAGACTAAGACGACTGGGCGACCGATGCCCCCTGATACTGTTTCAGAATGGAAAGAAGTAGGATGAGAAGCTTAATTTCTACCATTTCCAATTCGTTTTACTTCCCCCAGTCGAATACAACCAAATAGTGCACTTTTCAAAGACTGTCCAGGTGTTTAAGGTGATAAACTGTGGCATACCAGGGGCTTTCAGTCACCTAAACACTTTGTAAGTCCTTGTTCTATATCTGTAACATGAACGAAGTGTTAAGTCATACTCCTATATATTGCGTAACAAGCTGGTACAGGCGTCCTTGTCGGCTATACACATACTGTTGATTCCTCCTCCCAACCCCACCTCACCTCCATCTCACCCTACCCTACCTCACCCCCACACCACCTCACCCCACCTTGGCGCACCTCATCCCTTCCCACCAAAGGCAACCGCCCCATCCCCCGAAACCCACCCGTGACGGTGACGGACACAAGGCAGCTGCTGGCTAGGCCGTGGGAGTTGGTGACGGTGTAGCGGACGGCGGTGCTGCCTTCTGTGAAGACGTTGCTGTCGGGCAGGTTGTGTACCGATAGTCTGGAAAAATTGCTAAATGATCACGAGACATGCAAGAATCGTATAGCCTGTGACCAGTGTTTGGGAACGTCTTAGCAGATCACAACTAAAGCTTTTTGTGTTTTTCTGTGTGTCCCATCTCCCGCCCGCTCTGAATATTCACTCCAACGTGAAAAAATCAAAAGTCTTCGTATCTTAATTTTCCCCGCCGCTGTGGAAAAATCTGCCCTGCCGGATAAAGAAACACGACAACCATTGCACACCAAAAAAAAACAACCCAGATCAGCTTGATCATTCTTCAGTATGGTTTATTAAAAATTCGTTTCCGCAAAGTGACGTCATAAACAAATTTAAAGTCGGGTACGAAGTGTTTTAAACTTTAATATGTCATAACATAAGTTACACAATTAGTGAACTTATTGTTATAATGTTTAATTTTTATATTTCGCTTGCCCTCTATCTTGCTATAGTTGAGGTTGAAGATGAAAAAACAAATAAATAAATATGGACCCGGTGATCTATCTAAGTGTTCACATACCCGTCATAGGTGACGCGACCCGTGAAGATTCCGGGGTAGAATAGGTCTTCAGCAACCCATGCTTGCCGTAAAAGGTGACTATGCTTGTCGTAAAAGGCGACTAACGGGATCGGGTGGTCAGGCTCGCTGACTTGGTTGATGCATGTCATCGATCCCAATTGCGTGGATCGATGCTCATGACATTAATAACTGGATTGTCTGGTCCAGACTAGATTATTTACATGCCGTCATATAGCTGGAATATTGCTGAGTGCGGCGTTAAACAACAAACCAACCATAGGTGACGCGATCCCGTAATTAGCGCTCAAAGGAGTAATTTGTTTCGACTGCTATTTTCAGAGTCGTGCTCGTCGCTTTTAGCAATATTCCAGCAATATCACGGCGGGGCAAACCAGAAATGGGTTTCACATATTGCACCCATGTGGGAATCGAACCCGGGTCTTCGGCGTGACCTCACCGCCCCTAGCATGAGACAAGTATTAGAAGTATAAGAGACATTTTAGAAAATTCGTTATACCTCCTATGGGTATATGAATTACTCACGTGACAGGGAACCCATTAGGGTCACTGTACTTTGGAGAAGCAATCGTGACGACCTTGGACTTTGACCTTGGTTCAGCGGTCGCACTTATGCTGGGTGGACACGTGATAACTGGGTGAACTGCGCGACCATGGTCTGGTTTTACAGAAAGAGAAATAGTTTATATACATGCATTGAAAAAACTTGTTTCCTTATTTATAATAAATACAAGAAGACGAAGAAAAGACGAGGACAAGATCCTGTTAAGAAACTAACACGAAACATGTCAAATAAAACAGCAAAGGGTTACATTCGGTCAGTGTTTTGTTTGTTTGTTGTTTAACGCCGCACTCAGCAATATTCCAGCTTTATGACGGCGGTCTGTAAATAATCTACTATGGACCAGACAACCCAGTGATTGACATCATGAGCATCGATCAACGCAATATGGGATACGATGACATGTATCAACCAGTCAGCGAGCCTGACCACCCGATCCCGTTAGTCGCCTCTTACGACAAGCATAGTCGTCTCTTACGGCAAGCATGGGTTGCTGAAGACCTGTTCTACCCCGGAATCTTCACTGGCATCCTGTCAATGAATGACAGACACTAAATTTAATAAAAGGCACGCAGTGATATAACTGGAATAATGTTAAAAGCGGCGTTAAACCCAACTCACTCACTAAACATTTAACAATGACCTTGCTCCGCAATCAGGAATCATATACATAAAAGTTGTCCATTTCATGTTCAACAGCACAATACGTTTCTGCTATGGATACAGTTTTTGCCGTTCATCGTACAGTTAGAGGAACATCTTCGAGTTGTCCGTAGTTCGAGACAATCGGAGTATGGCTTATTATTAAACCACAAATGATTCCTCGGGGACCATGCAGCAGTAAACAGAGTGGGAGGTTCTATTTGCCCACTCTTTCCACAGAAAAATTAGTTGGAATTCTGAACACAAACCTTAGTGCATTCTTATCCCAACAATGTAGACGCGTTCAGGGTCTAAACATGCTTTGGGTTGTGTTTAACAGCTGAATGATAAGCATTTTATTTACATATTCAGATTTTTGTGATAATACACAATGATATGAATTTTATTTAAACATGTTTAGATTAATGGGATAGTACACAAAGATATACTCTTTGTCGTAAACATGTATTAATTCTAAACAATTTAATATTCTAAACATGCGTAAACACCCATGTGTTTAGGTGGCGTCTAGGCTGTGAGGCGACAGCTCGTTTTATGTTTACAGGCCCTAAACGTGTTTAGTATAACACACCAAATGTGTATTCCGTTTAGGATTTAAACACATTCCAAGACATGTATGCGTATGTGTTTTTACAGTGAAGGTTCTGAGATAGGTACACAAGGAAGATCTCTATTTACCACCATGTTGTCTGTTATGACAGAAGAAGAAACAATGCCCTAAGATGCCATCGATAATGTCGGTGACGCCATGCACAACTCCAGAGGCTAGGTCAAGGCCACCGTTCAGCACGTCAACAGCTCCCTTGGTGACAATGTCCACTTTATGCAGAAGGAGGTTGGCGCCAGCCGTCACTATGCCTTCAACAAGACCCCCAGCAGCTCCTGGAGGGTAGCAACGCATCATCACCATCATAATCATCATAGTCATCATCGTCACCTCCATCTTCATCATCATTTATACTTTCACCATGCTACGTCGGAAGTAAAACATCTTTCAGATCTTGAAATGTGTCGTCATCAGCAGCATCCACATCGACATCATCACAATTACATCTACGTGTATTTGTCTCTGCAACACTCTCTCTAAATCTCATGGCCTGAATATGATGTTTTGTTTTTGTTTGTTGTTCAACGCCACACTCAGCAATATTCCAGCTATGTGACGGCGGTCTGTAAATAATCTAGTATCGGCCAGGCAATCCAGTGATTGACATTATGAGCAATAATCTACGCAATTGGGATGCCATGACATGCATCAACCAAGTCAGTGAACCTGACCACCCGATCCCGTTAGTCGCCTCTTACGACAAGCATAGTCGCCTGTGACAAGAGCATGGGTTGCTGAAGACCTATTCTATCCCGGGTTCTTATCTTTACGGGGCCTGAATATGTTAAGACTATGTCAGATCAGATACCATAAAATAATGGTCCCTGGCAAGATATAATACCCTGCATTTACGTTATAACGTTTGTGCCCCATGTTCTTTACTTACGTGTGGGAACAGCGACATCACCTCTCATCACCACCGCAGACCGCCGTCATTTTGCTGGAATATTGTTAGGTGCGGCATTACAAACACAAACTAATCAATGGGAAAACGACGTTTAGTTCCATGTACCTAGCAACGTTCCTGTGGCATGCCCGAGGGTGTTGACGATGCTGTGTGCAGTGTCCGTGATGACATGTCCGAGACTGTCCACGGCGTGGCTCAGAGTGTCCAGCAGGAACCGCTTCTCACAGTCTAAGACGCAAAGAAGCAGAGTATACACTTTGGCATGATCGTTAAAACACATGGGTCTGATTATAGAGTGTTTAAAGCAATGACAATTACAATAAAACAATAACAATACAACACAAAAATAATACAACAAGAATACAAGAGACTCAACAATAATACAATAAACACAACATTAACACAATAAACACTACAAAACAACAATAACACAACAACAATACAACAAATCAAAATAACAGCAATTTACAACAATAATACAACAAACGAAACAATAATACAACACAACAACAAATTACAACAATACAACAATAATACAACAAATAATAATTATACAACAAACACAACAGCAATACAACAAATTGCAATAATACAACAATAATGCAAAAAACACACAATAATACAACAAACACAATGATACAAGAATACAACAAATTACAACAATACAACAAATTATTATAATACAACAAACACAATAGCAAAACAACAAATTACAATAATACAATAATGCAACAATAAGACAACAAATACAATAATAACACAAAAACAATGCAACGATAATACAATAAAATACAGTAATACAACTAAACTCAACAATAACACAACAATAGAACAATAATTGGATCACAATACAACAAATACAAGAACAATACAGTCATACGCATCTTTGTTGTTTAATTGTTTCAGTCAAAATGCAACGCTCTTGAAAGAAATGATTACTCACCACATCCAGATAAAACGGTGAGTGCCACAATTATCAGGAATGGTAACAACTTCTGGAATGAACGAGAATTTGGGTTTCAAATAAAGCAGTATGTGAGGACATTAACAGCTGCCACATCATTCTGATGCGGGCCCAACTGTAGACTTTTAATTCGTTGGAATCTAGTTTCACTGACCTCATTCTCTTTCTTGAACAGGGGTGGTCGGGTAGCCTAGTGGTTAAAGCGTTCGCTCGTCACGCCGAAGACCCGGGTTCGATTCCCGACATGGGTACAATGTGTGAAGCCCATTTCTGGTGTCCCCCGCCGTGATATTGCTTGAATATTGCTAAAAGCGGCGTAAAACCAAACTCACTCACTCACTCTTTCTTGAACAACAAGAGTTTGCTTAACGCCGCAGGCTTGTAAATAATTCAGCCTGGGTCAGACAAGCCAGTGGTTGACATCATGGGCATTGTTAGTTTTGTTTCGGTTGTTTCTTTGTTGTTTCCAACTATATGGCGGCGATCTGTAAATAACAGATTCTGGACCAGGCAATCCAGTGATTGGCATCATGAGCATCGACCTAACCAATTAGGAAAAGATGACATGCATCAACCAAATGAGCGAGCCTGACCACCCGATCCCGTTAGTCGCCTCTTACGACGAGCATAGTCGCCTTATTCGGCAAGCATTGGTTGCTGAAGACCAACTCTAACCCGGATCTTCACTGGTAAATTGGGAATTTACGTTGGAAATCAAAATATGAAACACAATTAAATTTCGACTTGCATGTACCATAGAGGATAAGATGGTAATGGGACTGTTAACCCTTTTAGCGTCTTTTACGACAACCACAGGTTGCTGAAGACCAATTCTACCCGGATCTTCATGTTTGGTAATATGATCCACTGCCTGCGTTGTCATGGCACGATGACCCGCTATCATCCAAGTCACCCTGCCCGACCACATGATCCACTCAGTCGCCTTCATTCCGAAACAACCCCATTCTCCCCTCTTCTCTTTAACAAACAGTTATTAACTGTCCCCAGCAAGCACAATGTGTAAATGACATTCAACTAACACCGACCTATGAAGTTATTCCCAATTCTCACACACACTTACCATTGCAACACCACTGTGAACACACACTTACCATTGCAGCGCCACAGTGAACACACACTTACCATTGCAGCGCGACTGTGAACACACACTTACCATTGCAGCGCCACTGTGAACACACACTTACCATTGCAGCGCCACTGTGAACACACACTTACCATTGCAGCGCCACTGTGAACACACACTTACCATTGCAGCGCCACTGTGAACACACACTTACCATTGCCGCACCACTGTGAACACACACTTACCATTGCAGCGCCACTGTGAACACACACTTACCATTGCAGCGCCACTGTGAACACACACTTACCATTGCAGCGCCACTGTGAACACACACTTACCATTGCAGCGCCACTGTGAACACACACTTACCATTGCCGCACCACTGTGAACACACACTTACCATCGCCGCACCACTGTGAACACACACTTACCATCGCCGCACCACTGTGAGAAACACAATATGGACGAATGTGACCCAGCAGATTACACTCTGTCTATAAATCCTATATTTGTCAGCTGTTTAAAGTCGTACTGAGCTTATTCCAGTGTATGACGGTCTGATTACATAACCAGGTCTAGACCGGACAAACCAGTGATTGATGATATGAGCAACAAATAGGCCGCCTGGTTGCTTGTTTTCGTGTTGCTAGATGTGAGATCCTTATTATTTGCAATTTACAGGAGATAGATTTCAAGATGTAAGGAAATCCGGAACGTATAATAAGGATATTTACAGAGTCCAATTTCTATTTCCTTGTTGTAAGTTTCAGGTATGAATAGGCATCAGTGATTTCAGCATTGTTAGTTTTGATTCTTCAAGAGTTGTTTCGCCATTTTTATTCTTGATCAAATAACCTTATCTTTCATAAATAAAATCAGTATTGCTACTAATATTTAAACAATTGGCATCGTGTCCAACGGTTTTTCTCGTCTTTGTGATTTTTCGCAAAATTTGCGACCCCGCTTATATGATCGTAACGTTACGACATACTTGCGACATGGTACATATTTACGACGTCCCGCAAAGTTCTGCGAAGTGGTTTATGCCATTCGTGACCAACTCGTGTTATTCCGGGACAAGCCGAATGCAGGTTACGGAAAGTGGCGAGAGGTGACGAATGGAGTAGTATAGGTAATTGGGGTTCTGGCTCACTTCCACTGGAGCCAGATTTATATACCGATACCACCACTACAGGGGGATTTTTTTATGTATTGCAGAAGTTCTGCTGCTTATATACGTAAGGAGAAAACCCTAAGAGATAAGTCCCTTTTTAGAACGCAGTGGCAAGCAGTCTTTATGCCTCGGCCCTAACATTGTTTGTCCTGTAGTTGACTCAGCATTATTGATAAGTGCAACTGAGGTTATGACGAAACGAGGACTTAGTCCCAGCAGCATATACATCGGCAAGTTGAATTAAATATTAAACGTACCACTGACCACCATAGCCACTGCATCTACAATACTGTGTGCATAAATATGTACCGTACGCGTATTACTCTGCATAGGATTTGTGCATGTGCAATGTTGTCTATGTTATATTGCAGGCATGATTATTTGATGGTGTTTACGTGACCATGTGGAATAAAACATCGGTTATATGAAGAACTCCGTAGCGTCTGTCTGTGCGGCAACACGCCCCTGTGCTAAGCAGTCCCAGGGCAGTTCTCTCGAATTAGAAAATGAAATCGTGTACTCCTTCATCGGGTGAAGGGGTAAGCATACACTCCGAAACCTTGTGTTTCGTCATAATAAAGAAGTTGACATCCATAAATTCTCCTCCTTATGCGTATCACTTCTAAATACCGTTCAAAGACTTGAAGCTATGTAAGGTTGATATTCCAAATAAGACAGTATTGATCAACCAAATGATGCTCCATGGATGAACGGTCACATTAGAAAACTTGTTCGTAAGAGAAATAGGATTCCTAGAAAGGCTAAACGTAGTAACTTGTCATCCCATTGGGAAAAATACAGACGATGCAGGGATCTTGTTATAACTGAAATAAAGAAGTGTAAATTGTCATATACAGAACATGGCGCAAACAAATAAGAGAGCGTCATGCTTCCCACACATGGAGCAGAATGCTATTGTGTATGAAGATGATATTGATAAAGCTCATATATTAAATAACTTTTGTTGGCATGGCAACTGTTGATAGCCCTGATGATAGCCCTGATGATAAAATAGTTGTTAACAATGACTTGATTTAGGTTACCACTGAAATATAAAACTGAAAGAATCCGAAGTAAGAGATATATTATTCTCCCTGGAGATTTCCAAAGCAACGCGACCTGATATAAGTAATCCTATTTGAAAGTTCTTTGCCGCGCAATTATCCAAACCATTATGTAAGCTATTTAACGTTTCACTTCTGCATTCGAAATTTACTGATATATAGAAATGTTCTTCTATAGTTCCAATACATAAGAAAAAGGATGTTCGTGATTGCTCAAATTATAGACCAGCTGCTTTTACGAATTGTTATCCAAGGTATTAGAAAAAATATGTTTTTAAAAATGTTTCCATATTTTTCTCTCGATAAAGACTTAATATGATTACAATCAGGATTTAAGGCAGGACATTCTACCGTGTACCAGTTAACTCACTTATATGATTTTATTGCAAAAACATTGGATAATGGCAATGCTTAGAGCCGTATTTTGCGATATTAGCAAAGCCTTTGATAGTCTGGCATAAAGGCATCTTACAGAAGTTATATTTACATGGAATACGAGGACCACTCTTAGATTAGTTTGAAAGTAATCTAACCAACAGAAAGCAATATACTGTAGATAACGGATTTAAATCCAATACTAATTCTGTACTGAAAGCGTATCCCTCAAGGTTCAGTGCTGGGGCCACCTTTGTTCTTATATATTCTAGTAGTTATATATCTAGTTATATAGCTGAAGTTATAAAGTTGAAGACATACAATGTAGGACCCGTGAAGATCCGGGTCGAGAATAGGTCTTCAAGCAACACGTTCTTGCCGTAAGAGGCTACTAACAGGATCAGGTGGTCAGGCTTGTTGACTTGGTTAATGCATGTCATCCTATCCCAATTGCGTCGATCGATGCTAATGACATCAATCACTGGATTGTCTGGTCCAGACTTGATTATTTACAGGCCGCCGTCATATAGGTGGAATGTTGTTGAGTGCCGTGTTAACAAACAAACAAAAACATACAATGTAAAATCAAATTACTTTCTGATAATACTTCTTTATACATTAATATTGATGACCCAGTGTCATCAAGTATATGTTTAGGTAGGGATATAGAAATGCTATTACAATGGGTTAAAGTTTGGAAAGTAAAGTTTAATCCTAACAAAACAGAATCAATCTTTATTTACCAGGAAGAAATCAATAACACATATGCCCGATCTTTTTATGGATAGCACTAAGATTTAATCCGCACATTCTCATAAACACCTTGGACTTTGTGATGGTCAGTGGCAACTGTATGTTAATGCAAGTATGACCAAAGTAAGCCCAATGGTTAATTGCTTAAGAAGTTTCAAATATCGTTTGAATACAAACAAGCCTACAGATTTTGTATAACTCTTTTATATAACCAATATTCGATTACTGTGATTACATCTGGAACAATTGTACTGAAGGCCAAGAACTGCTATTAGAAAAGTACAATCGGATGCTTCAAGAACCATGTGTGGATCTGTCAGAGGAGCGAATTATAGTAAAATATATAATGAAACAGTCTATATTTCACCCAGTGATCGCCGACAAAACCACAATATGGATGTATTCAACAAACTATCCTATAATAAAACGCTCGAATACTGATCATGTTTAATTCCTTTTAACATTTCTGCCACTTCCACGTGTGTAGGGGGCACGGGTGGCCCAATCGTCTAAGGCGCCGCGATTCGCTGTGCAGAGTTGCGTTCCTTGGGCATGCCAGAAACCTGATTGTGGGTTCGAATCCCGGTTCGCCCCGATTATGTTTCTAGGTTTGTCAGCACCATACCCGTGCTCGTAGGTTTCACCGAAGTGGTAAACGTCTGAGACCTGCCATCACTTCGGTCTTTCCTCCCACATTAAGCTGACACACCGCGATATAACTGGAACACTGTTAAAAGCGGCGTTAAACACAACTCACTCACTCGAGCTCACTCCACGTATGTAACAAGATCATCCAAAATACTGCAAGTACCCTCATGTCGCACGGAAACATATAGAAAATCATTTTTGCCATCATCAGTTCAGGATTGGAATATGTTGGATGACACGTTAAGGTGTCCTGAATCTTTAATTCAATATAAAAAGAATTACGAAAAATGTATTATTAGCACTGTACATCCTTTATTTCAGTGTTTTGGTACCAGTAAAAACCAAATCATCCACTGTGGAATGAGACTAAATTGCAGTGACCTAAATGGACATAGGTTTGATCGTTTTGTTACTGATCCTAAGTGCAATAGTAGTCATTATTACTAAGATATTCTTCATTATTTATTTCAATGTAAAGGATATACGGATATAAGATCAAATTGTTTCTTTTTATATAAAAGGTTATGATATTAAAACCATGTTTGGAAATATAACTGTCATCTGAAACAAATATTAGACTACGAGAATCTGTTCATGGATACTTGACCCTAACCAAACGCTTTGAAAGCCTGTAAAGTATATTGAACATTTTAAATTAATTGGATATTGAATATTTTATCATCCACTGTGTGTTGTGATATATAACATAATATATTTGTATCGGAGAGGTCTTTAAATAGGCATTGCGCCTGTTGACCAATCCATTTTTCAGAAAATTAACTGTTTAAAACAGACAACTAGATTATATTATTATAAACGTTGCTGAGAGTATCTTCCCAGCAGAGAATATTTTTTTTTTTTAGATTGTGACACTAATACGCTTCCTTTGTTGACCAGTATTTACACATTTTCATATTTCTTTACAGCTCCAGGTACCGGACAGAACACCAGACATTCAAGGTAAAGATGCGCATAAAATTACCTTCAAGTCACAGATAAAAAAAGCTACCTCTCTCTTCTTGTTCTTGTTATATTTTTGACAAAATAAAAGGGTCGAGAATAACTACACTGAATTTCTGTGGTTGGCCTGTTATCGGAATCTTCAAAACTTGCATAAGGGATTGGGCACTGACATTTTCACACCATCAGAACATGGACTGCAGGCATCCCAATCCTAAGCAATATATTCTTCATACGACTCCACGATGGTCTAACGCTTCAGCATCACGTTCATTCCACAAGGATTGGAACACACTTATGGGGTTAATTAATTTACCAAATCATACTTTGCAAGTATCCTGATACGCGGACACACACACCACGATGCTGATATAATCACACACCAGGACAGCCAAACACTCATTCGTTATGATACTAGACCAGGGCAGCTAGGCCGCAGAATGAGTATCGTGGTACACCAGGACAGCCAGACTACAGCTTGGGTATGACACTACACCAGGACAACCAGGCCATGGGTCGGGTATAATTCTACACCAGGACAGCCAGGCCATGGGTCGGGTACAATCCTACATCAGTACAACCAGGCCGTATTTTGGGTATGATACTACAACAGGACAGCCAGGCTGTGGGTTGGGTATAATTCTACACCAGGACGGCCATGGGTCTGGTATAATTCTACACCAGGACAGTCAGCTCGTGGTTCGGGTATGATTCTACACCAGGACAGACAGACCATGGGTCGGGTATGATGCTACACCAGGACAACCAGGCCGTGTTTTGAGTATGATCCTACACCAGGACAGCCAGGCCATGGTTTGAGTATGATCCTACACCAGGAAAGCCAGGCCGTGGGTCGGGTATAGTTTTACACCAGGACAGCCAGGCCATGGGTCGGGGATGATCCTACACCAGGACAGCCAGGCCATGGTTTGAGTATGATCCTACACCAGGACAGCCATGTCGTGGTTCGGGTATGATCCTAATCCAGGACAGCCAGGCCATTGGTCGCGTATGATACTACACCAGGACAGCAAGGCCATGGTTTGAGTATGATGCAACACCAGGACAGCCAGGCCATGGGTCGGGTATGATGCAACACCAGGACATCCAGGCCATGGGTCGGGTATGATCCTACACCAGGACAGTCAGGCCATGGGTCGGGTATGATCCTACACCAGGACAGCCAGGCCATGGGTCGGGTATGATGCTACACCAGGACATCCAGGCCATGGGTTGGGTATAATTGTACACCAGGACAGCCTGGCCATGGGTCGGGTATGATGCTACACCAGGACAGCCAGGCCATGGGTCGGGTATGATCCTACACCAGGACAGTCAGGCCATGGGTCGGGTATGATGCTACACCAGGACAGCTGGACCATGGGTTGGGTATGATCCTACACCAGGACAGCAAGGCCATGGGTCAGGTATGATGCTACACCAGGACAGTCAGACCATGGGTTGGGTATGATCCTACACCAGGACAGCCAGGCCATGAGTCGGGTATGATGCTACACCAGGACAGCCAGGCCATGGGCCGGGTATGAAACTACACCAGGACAGCCAGGCCATTGGTCAGGTATGATGCTACACCAGGACAGGCAGGCCATGGATCAGGCATCATGCTTCACCAGGCCATGGGTCGGGTACACCATGCTGTAGTGTCACCTGGCCTTGTCAGAACATCTGCTGTTGACATGTTTGATAAGATAATTGTTTATCTTCTGGGAAGGTCGGAATGATCCACGTACACAAACCACAATATTCTGCAATTTTAGCATTCTCAATAATAGAGCTGCGTGCATGTGTACGTGCATGTCTGCTTGTACCGGTGCGGACTAATGCTGCTTTTATAGTGCTAGCCCACTGAGATACCATATTGCAGTTGAACATGAATACAGTCAGACACAGTATACTGATCGGAGTTGACCAATGTTTGTTTTATCCCCTTAATGTACTTTTACCCCAGTCAATGGATGAGTGGGCACTAGATTTTTGTTTCATTCTCAGCTCCCTGAGGATCATACAAGACAAGCTGCCTGTGAGGTGCAAGAAGGTTAAGAGCCACATTACTATCTCATCCTACCGGGTACCCATTCACTGCTGAGTGAACAGAGGCACATTTCGAACAAAGTCACTTGCCCAAGGAGACACCATGTGCTTCAGTGTGGGGCAAGAGTGAAGCCATTTATTCTCCGCGACCAATGTCGCTTCAGTTCACCTGATTTGTGACCTGTGCACTATGCACAGGACCATGTGCCGCCATCTATATAACCGCAGTCTCTTAATAATCTTGTCCGGACCATACAATCCTGTGATTGATATTATGAGCAACGATTCATGCCGTCCTGGTACATACAACATCAGCAAAGTAGCTGAGCCTAACCACCCACTCAGTCAAGTTGCATCTTATGCCAAACGTAGGATGTGTATGTCCAGTTTGCAATATGGTCACCTCCTATTACAAGCAGTGGGGTGCTGGTCACACAGTGATATGTACCAAGTGAGGTTAGCTAAGTGCTAATACTCGTGTCAAGCACATGTACATATTCTACTCTAAGAAGAATATCATGTAACAAATATAATTTATTGTTCAAATACATGCATATACAATTTCCAGATATAAAGCATGGAGAAAAAACCAGTTTTGTCATAAACATGTCCCAAATCAATTGCACCAAAGACCATTAGCACAAATACACCATTAGCACAACATACCATTACCAGGGCAAACAAAAGGAGTTTTGTTGAAAAAGTCAACCGATTAACATGATTAAAGAATTTCAGTTTTCTGCAGGTCTAAATGAAGAACATCCAACATGGCCAAACAAAGAATCCAACATGTATAGTGTGGGCAAGCCAGGTCTGAGAATTGATCTGAACCAACACCCAGTACAGCCAGACACAATTTCAAATACAAATCATGCAAAAGTTCCCACTTCTACCAAATACTTGTGTATGATGAAATCTGTATGAGTTCACTTATGTACTGCAATACCATATTGGATCATTTTCTTTATATGACAGACACTTCATATAACGTACTGATATACACAAAAGTGCAAATACCATAAATACTAAATGGTCACCATGGTTAATTCACATAATAAACAAAGAAAATAAAATCTTCCGATCTTCCGATTTCGTTACACAATTTTGATTGGACTATGCATAGGCTTGTTAGTCCAGTCAAAATATAACTCTTTAATTCCAGCTTAGTTTGGCAAGCTTAGTTTGGCAAGGGTCAGCTAATTCCCTTGCCTCGGGAAGATAAGAAAACAGAGACAGGAAGCACGTCTATCTGTAGGGAGAGAAACGACACAATCTACGTTGTCAGAACACCAGCTCAGACTCAGCAGCAGTGAACATGTATCTGACATTCCACCAGCTCTGAGAAGATCACAAAAGCCACAGTAGTGTGTATCACAGAATATAGGTACAGTCTGCGTCTCTTTTGTTTGTTTGTTTGTTGTTTAACACTCAGCAAATATTCCAGCTTTATGACAAGTGTCTGTAAATAGTAGAGTCTGGACCAGACAATCCAGTGATAGATATCATGAGCATCGATCGGGGCAATTGGGATATGATGACATGCATCAACCAAGTCAGCAAGCCTTACCACCCAATCCCGTTAGTCGCCTCTGACATCAAGCATGGGTTGCTGAAGTCCAATTCTAACCAGGATCTTAACAGGCCTCTGCGCTTCTAGTAAATGTAGTCTAAAGCCTGAGTCTAGTTAAAGTTAATTAATTTTCGTCAAAGGCACTGTAAATTAAATCGACTTTGTCAGACACACGTTTGCAACCAGTATGAGAGAATTCTTTCCCTGAATTCAGCTTGAAAAATGACATTTCTTGAACAACATCGACTACAGCCTTTCTGTCCACATTCAGACCTTTTTTAACTATGTCCCTTTTAATACATTGCACAGTATGTTGCTTTTCTAACGGCAAGAAAGGGACTAAGACATCTATCACTTTCTGTGGAACAAATTCTGTGTACCAGAGTGGCTTCTTTGTATGAAACACCTGAGAAAAGTCATCAATAGCAATGTCATGTCTGTGACGACCAGCTGACAGCAATTGAAATACATGCTTGTTAATTTCAGCCCCTTTGGAATTGCTGAGTAAGAGAAATATCACAGGTGTGTCAGTAGCATTTTGATTGACAATCCTGTTGACAGATTCATTCAATCCTTGGAGAACACCATTCGATGCTTTGTCCATTTCATCAAATATCACAAAATTAACGTAACATCGAGTGATGTTTGTTTCAATCCATTCTGGAATTTGTTGAGCATAAACATCGTCTTGGGAGCCGTGAGCAAAATGAAGTGGAACTAATAGCTTGTTTACTGTTGTGTACGAAAAGAAATCAGACACAATTTTACTGACATAATTCTTTCCAACGCCAGTCCATCCATGAATGGATATCACAAGAGGTTTCGGTGCTGATCTTTGGTGAACTTCTTTCAAATATCTGTCAATGAGGTCAGGTATGATCTCTGTTGCAAGATGCTGTCCATACACATTTGACCTCAAATCTGTCTTGAGGTCATTGACATCAAAGTTGGCAAAGGTTGAGCAAGTTGACTGAATCACTTTTAAAGTGTACAATGAAAGACAAACGCCAACAAAGATGTTGAACACTAGGAAGGACTTCAATGTCACTTTATGACTTTTAGATGAAGGATCTGATGTAGTGTGGGGTGTGTGATGGGTTGTTTTTCTTAGCTTGGCAGTGGAAGGTTTGCATAGAGAACGAAGGGGACTGGCACTGTGAGCTTTTTGGACGTTTTCTGAGAGTCTTGGCATTTTTGGCGGAGGCAGTGAAGTGTGTTTGCCCTTTCTATCACTCTTTGGTTCCAGAGACAACCGTTTTGGACTTGATCGTGCCGGTGAGCAGAAAGGCATGCTGTGTCGTTTAGACAGTATGAGACTTTCCGAGTAATATGTTTCCTTTTTATTTTCTCCATTTCCCAAAATTGTATCATGATCAATTAATCCAATATTCATACCAGGTTCTGAATTATCTGTAGATGCTTTTGAGATCAACCCCCCCAAAAAGGAAGCCACTGATCCTGACATGTTCCCTGATGAACATGGATTCATGTTCTGAGCAATGTCTTGGAACCTAGGAATAGAGTTAGTTACCATGGTAACCTGTCTATCATCCTCCCCATCTGAAAAACCTTCCATGCTCTTTTCACTCTCCTTTGGAGATAGCACCTGCTGTGCACGGAATCCAGAGAATGAATTCATAGCAGAAAAGACATTCCTGCATTTACTCCATCTTGATTCTGGAGTTTGTAAGTTTGACTGGAACTGGTCCTCAAATTTGTCTTGAGTTACCATGGCAACGGGTTGAGGGACTAGGGGGTTGTTTGGCTGAGTGTTAGAAGAAACAGGGCTCCTCCTAAAAGCAGTGATGGTGCTGATGTAGGAGACAGCTCTCTGACAAGATTCCCAGCCTGAGTGCTGCATTGGGGAATGTGGAGAGGTGACATCTGGGTCGCTGTCACAGTCCATGGACTCCATGGCGTCCTCAGCCCTCCTGTCAACTCAGGTCTGAAATAATACACTTTGCATAAGAACAAATTCATGCAACAACATGCTGCTGGGGATATATTCTAACCCTAAATATCTACAACCAATCTCATCAAAATTAAATATTTCACTCACATATGACGTCTCTGGGTGAAGATCTGACAACACTTCCATGAGGTTGCGTCAGGTGAACTTTCTGATCAGGCAATCAGCGTCACAGCTTCTAAATTCTCAGTTAGAGAGATATAAGCATTCAAACAGATCAGCATCTGATTTTTGTATTTCAAAACGGAACTTAACGAGAAGTTCCGAATGTAAATAATCAGCACTGCACCTGTTGTTTCCGAGTGCTGTGTCATCTATACCAAAACCTGAGTTCCATTGAGGGAATATTGCCTTCTTTGGTTTTTTTCTATTGCTAAATTCAAAATTTCTGAAATAGGTGGTACAGTAAAAAGGCTGAATGTTTCAGAAAGCCGTAAGATTGGTTAAAAACCCACACATCCTGGTCAAAGTTTGTTCAAGGTTAACTTGATCAGACCTCATATAAAGGTGTTCTCAGATCTTGACACAGTGAGGCCACGAATGATGTTTGAAAGATCAGTGATCATCAATACATTCGACATCAAACAGCGTTGACATCGCTTTTTGACACAATCTCGACCTGGAACAGTGTCATTTGTTTCTGTTTCAGTCATTGGAATGTGAAACTTACCTGAAATTATGAGAACAAGAAGAAGGAAAATTAAACAGCCAAAGACTAATGAATACGTAGATAGAAATGTAGAACAATCGTCGCCTTTTCAATCAGCTGATCATAACATTCAAGACTTCGTATCATACCATATGCTACCAGAGACCATATATCAGGGTCTCTGACACTACCAATAGTAGATAGAGTTCTTGACAGATATGAAAGTTTACGTACGACAATTCTCCAAATGTGAATGTAAGTGTTGGATATACGTGTATGTATTTCATTAGCTCATCATTGCGATAAGCAACACTTTTCAATGTTTCATCACATGCGTTGAAAGTGACGGGAAAATATCATCCAATTAAATGTCGTGACACATTTTCCACGGAAGCCTGTGCTTAACCAATGGAAACTCACGAACAATGATAGGGTAAACATATTTGATAGAAATAATTCACCATCCCTTATAATCGTAAATCGAATAGAAAACAATGTTTAAAAAGTAAGGAAAACAGCCAAATCACAGTCGCCATAAGTACAAAAACAAAAATAACGTTGTTACAGATACGAACCCAGGAACATATATAATCAGTGATCTTAGTTTACAACAAAGAAATGTATATCTTTGGAAAAATCACCCTTTTATTTAACGCTTTAATAAAAACAAAAATTGAAAACAAAAATGTCATATTTCGGTATTCATTTCCCCAAAATCTAGACTTGCCAAACATTATAAACTTGCATTGCTTATTTGATATATTTGTATCAGGCTCTGAAAGACAGAAAATGTAGGCCTCAAAGTCTGGTGTTCGTATAAAGGTTGTGTGCGAAACATAATTCTTTCTTGAGGTAAGTACTGGAACTTGTGTTGTGTATAGAAACGGCGTCAAAATGGCGGACGATGGGCCCATTTTTGACATTTTCTCCAACAAAAGTTCGATTAAAATGAATGTACGGAACTGTCATTACATATGATTCTTCAGGTATTTTTAGGAAACATCTATTGGTTAATTGCAAATGGTATCCATGTCTCAGAAACATCGGTAAATGAAGTGAAATGGTTATTTTCCATGTAACGTTTCAGAACTAAAATAGAAGCAGTGTTTGACCATTTTTTTACGTTTAGTCACTGTACAATCTAGGTGACAAGTAATTAGATATGTTCCTTTTAACCATTTTTTAATACAAATTGAAGCACCTCCGTAAAATACAATTGCTTTTGTTAAACCAGGATCGGTCGCGTCTACTGCGATTTTTTACACTGACACAATCATCACTATGGCATTGAATTGATTAATGATCTAGATTGATGTTGCTTTTTTCAAATATTTATATCTACATTTATGCTATAGTAGGTAAATGGGATATCTATCCACCTGTTTGACCCTTGGCAGCTCTACAACCCTAGCTATATGTACTGCTTTACTATCCAACATTCACATCACAAATCTCTTGTAGGATACTAGTCACAAAGAATGAAAAAAGGAAGAACTTGTTCTTGTTTTCAATCTGATATTTCACTGGTCTGTTTTGACTTACAGTGGTATGTTTGACCGACGACATCTGTAAATAATCGAGTCTGTACCAGACAATACAGTGATTGACATCACGAACATCGATCAACGCAAATGGAATGTGATGACATGCATCACCTAAGTCAGCCAGCCTGACCTCTTAATTTTGTTATACGCCTCTTACGACAAGCATAGTCGCCTTTCACAGCAAGCATGTGGGCAGTGGGGTAGCCTATTGGCTAAAGCGTTCGCTTGTCACGCCGAAGACCCGGGTTTGATTCCCCAAATGGGTACAATATGTGAAGCTCAATTCTGGTGTCCCCCGCCATGATGTTGCTTGAAAATTGCTAAAAGTGGCGTAAAACCATACTCACTCACTATGTATGGAACATCTTTAAATACTGTTTTCTCTTTATAGAGCTTTGATGCCAAAAAACCCTTTCAAACCTACCCATCTGTGTATCATTTCTTTGTGGTACTATCACATGCTGCACTGGAGTAACTGTGTTGCAGATTGGAGTCCTCATTACACATTCTTGTCATAGCAGCCAGCTTTCCATCTTAGATATGTCCAGGGCTAGCATTTATGTACATCTGCACTTACCCCTGGATCTATTCCTGTGGTTCGTGCAATCTCAAATTACCTGCCCTTGACTTTCATGAGCCAACTTTACTTGCTGTGCTACTTAGACTAACAGACCAATCAGAATGTGAGTTACAAACCCGCCTCAATGTAGGGTTGGTGATATCAACAACATGGCGGCCAGTCCCATTGATTACGATAGAGTTTGCAAGTAATTCAGAGTTTGCAAATAATTCACCATTGAAAATTGCCTGACACACAAAACAAAAGTCTAAAACATATGTTTTATTGAAAGGATATCTTCATGTACATTAAAACGGATTGCAGCAGATCCCTTACCCGTTTCCTTTTTCATTATTTTGATGTTTGATTGTCATACATATATTGTTGCACATACTTTCATCCACTCGGTATCCTGGCTCAGATTCAGTTATTTACAGGCCGGGCTGATATTGCAGGAGTTTTAATTATTGACTGCTGCGTAAAATGACATTCACTCGCTGTCTCATAAAAATTTCTTGATAAAATATTTTTACTTATTTTTGTCAATATCACTTTCTATATCATGGTAGTTTTTAGATAGGCCAGACAAATCAGTGGTCATCAATGTATATGGGCCAGGTCACTCATTTAATCAACCAATCCACATTTAGTTGGCGCTTATGGCAAGCATAAGGTAGTTTATCATACCTCCATGTCAGAATGATGAGATATGATTGGTCCAAGTGGTCTTGATTAAATACGATGTATCCCACCTTGGAGGGAAATAAAGTTCTTAGTTGGGGAATAAATCCCTTGTACCCCGCCATGAGCAAGTCAAGCTGCACGTGGATTTCTGAGAGGCAGAATAAATCCCTTTTACCCGACTTTCAAGCAAAAAGCCACATGCTTTTTCTGAGTCTTAAAAGTCACGTGACAAGTTAACCACAGCTCATTCAAACAGCTGTTCTCTATTAATTTTTAATTTCAAATAATTTGTTTTAAGTTTTTTACAGTGTCATATTAAAACATGTTGGTAAGATGCATTGGTTGTAGCAGTATCACAAGGGGTACAAGTGTTTTTTTGTGTCCCTCGTTAGGTTTCATACCACTCGCCTCTAGCACAGGGTATAAAACCCAACGCAGGATGCATAAAACCACATGTACCCCGATGATACTGTTACAACTTACAGTGGGCATGTTCTGAGTTTGAATCCCTGGCATCAATGTATCTAGATTAATCAGTATATGTTTGTATTTCAGGTAGGTGGTACTGTGAAATCAATGCAGTAAGACATACAAGCGATGCAGTGACGCCCTGATTGCACTATGGAGCTGCGACTACCAACCACACACTTCAGTTCACCTCTACTAGGGAGTTACAGCTTGCCCAGTCTTGCTGAAGGCAGTGAAGCTATCAGCGAGGCAGAGGAAATCCACGAGGTAGGACCCCAAAGATATGTTTCCAGTGTCAAAACAATCTCATTAAAATCAGATCATAGTTCTCGCTATCGCTAAACAAAGATCTGAGGACATCAGAACGACCTTTCATCCGACCAATCAAAGCGTCGCTTACCAGATCATGGAAGTGACAGTCAGAATGTGTTTTCTACACATGCAACCTGGAAAACGTTAACACAGGGTATTTAGAACGACAGTTACAGCCCTTACGACTGATTCCGTCAAAGTTATCATCTATCTCTCGCTTCCGTAGAATAAACATTTAAACAGAGGATGCGTTGCACAGTACATGGGAAGCACTGCCATACAATCGCAACCATATATTAGACATTCTGGAATGTTCATTTGTTCAGTTTTCAAATTTTTAATCGAGAACTGTGTCAACATATTTTTCAAGCGTAGTCTGAAATGGAAATCGCTAGGTTGAAACGAGTGCCATAAAAAGCCCGAGAAAGCTGCTTACTAATTGGCTGATGTCGACTTTTTGTTAGTCGTTTCAGTGGTCGGTCAAACTTTGCGAAAGCTCGTTCTGACGTGACCTGTAATGGGATGTCCTCCGATCTTTGTTTAGCGGCAGCGAGAACTTAGATCTGATTTTAATGAGATTGGTATCAAAACTGACCTTAATATGAAGCCCCGCATCTTTTTTCTATGCTTTTTTCAATTGCACCAAAGTTATCATCAGCATGGTATCGTCAATTTCAATTGACTCATTTTAGTGAAAGTGAAAAGAAAATAAGATCCAAAAGTCAATGTTTAATTGGAACATGATTTTTTTTCACAGGTGAAGTCCCTTCAAGAAAAAGGTAACAAGGCCGCGAGGGCCAAAGACAACTCTAAAGCCTTGAGGTACTTCAGTGAGGCACTGGACATTGACCAGGGCAATGTGGGTGTCCTGCATGACCGCTCCCTGGTCCTGCTGCAGATGGGCAGGTACAACGAGGCCAGGGTGGATGCGGAGGCGGTCATCATGATGAGTCCCGGGTACTCACAGGTGGGTCTGATAGTGTTGACTCCTGATGTAGTGAGTCCATTTGGACGTCACAATCTTATACTTTGTGCGACCTTTTTCAGTTTTGTGAACACTCTCGTGAAATATGTTTCTTAAATGTTAGCATTGGATGAGGGAAATAAACTTACTAGACTTATCAAACTGTGGGTCCACTTGACTGCACAAATGTGAGTCATTCAGATATTCTGATTTAAGTAATTACACGTTATCATTTGGAGATCACCATTTACTTCCTTTATTTAAAAAAACAAACTCACACTAAGTTTTTTCATGTATGTCCAATGAAGGACTTATTTTAGGATTGGCAGAGACAGGTTGTCAGAGAGGCCTACATTTCCATTTTGGCAGGATCATGATGATATTTCAAAATAAATTCCGTGAATAGTGAAATTTATCACTCATTTTGTAAAACATATCGCCAGTAACACAGTGTAGTTACTGTCTTTGCTAATACCAGTTAAAAATCAATTAATAATCACTTGTTTTTGTTGCGAACATTTACAGATTTTAATGTATTTTGGGGATAAAAGTCTCTGCAAAAGATGCCATGCAGTCAATTGTACTAACAGTGATTACTAATCTTTTGTAAAATTACCCCAAAATATCTAATTCAATTGCCACAGTTGGGGATGGCTTCTCTGAATTATTCCTATATCTAGCAGTAGTTTTAATGGGCTCTATAACATGGTAGTCTTACGAGGAAGGAGGGCGTGGTTTAGAATAAGCTGTCTACTCTGTAATCTGTAAGTATTGACTAGGTACTGCTGGTTACAGTGATGGATGTACCAGGTTACAGAGATTGACCAAGCTGTGTGTACCTGGTTACAGAGATTGACCAAGCTGTGTGTACCTGGTTACAGAGATTGACCAAGCTGTGTGTACCTGGTTACAGAGATTGACCAAGCTGTGTGTACCTGGTTACAGAGATTGACCAAGCTGTGTGTACCTGGTTACAGAGATTGACCAAGCTGTGTGTACCTGGTTACAGAGATTGACCAAGCTGTGTGTACCTGGTTACAGAGATTGACCAAGCTGTGTGTACCTGGTTACAGAGATTGACCAAGCTGTATGTACCTGGTTACAGAGATTGACCAAGCTGTGTGTACCTGGTTACAGAGATTGACCAAGCTGTATGTACCTGGTTACAGTGATTTATGTAGATGTATGTCATCAAGTCATGATTTTTACATTGATATTTGCTCGTGCTATCAACCACTGGTTTCTCAATTACAGCCAATACTCAGAGCTAATTACTCGCATGTTTATTTTGTGTTGCAGGGACATCATGTTCTCGGGCTCTGTCTTCAGCAGCTCAACCAGAATAAGGAAGCTCTCATTTCCTTCCTTACTGCTCTTGACCTTGACCTTGACGATGCTGACAGACTGACCAATCACATTGCATCTGTAGCTTCTCACCTGTGTGATATGCCAACAGAGTTCAGAAAAAGTCTTAAAGGTTGGTTTATGAACCAAGCAAAATGGATGGGTATTGGAGGTTTAAAGTGTATCCCAATAGTTTACGATGCACAAGGCCGTATTACCGGAAACATTTCGAAGTTATTTGGCAAGTGTGTGACATTCAACTCAGGATAAAAATCGCTAACTGAAATCACCTGATATACAGAGCATTAATAAATGATATTGTGATACGTATCGTGGCAAGAATGAACCTCACTTTACCTATATACTGGAAATACTGCTCACCCTTACCTTTTGAACCGTAAAGATCCGGGGTAGAATAGGTCTTCAGCAACCCATGCTTGCCATAAGAGGTGACTATGCTTGTCGTAAGAGGCGACTAACAGGATCGGGTGGTCAGGCTCGCTGACTTGGTTGATGCATGTCATTGTATCCCAATTGCGTGGATTGATGCACATGATGTCAATCACTGGATTGTCTGGTCCAGACTTGACTATTTACAGACCGCCGTCATATAGCTGGAATATTGCTAAATGTGGCGTTAAACAAAAAACAAACAAACACCCTTACCTTTCAATTTTGTTCAAGCAGTGCAGGGTTTCAGACCAGTCTTATGTTTTAGGACATTGACTGATTGTCGTTCAGTATGTCCAATATCTTTCCCTCACTTATTCATTCACTTATTCATAGCTGGAATATTGCTGATTGCTGCGTAAATCAACATTCCTTCACAGGGCACGATTTAGCTCCATAAGATAGCTTCGCGATAAATCATGAAGAGCTATGTAGAACGAAGCATGGTTTATTCACGATAAAACATTGTTCTACCATGACGTCATTTCTGGAGATACAAATATGCGCTCGCAACTTGATGACGTCATATATTGGACGACGATATTTTTGAGAGTCAAGTTAGTTGTTCCCCATAGATTTAGCAGGGCAACGTAGATAAACGCAATGGCCAAACTATCGCATCCAAAAGTGGGAGAGCTATGACAATCGGTATTAGAGATGCTGTTCATAATAGTGATAATTATAACACATGCACCAGTGCAACCTGTTATTAAAAAGTGCAACCTAATATTTACATACACATGCACCAAGTTGCCATCACAACTTTTCATATTTCGGTGTCCCCCTTACACTTCCACACACACTCAATACCTCTGAACTTATTTTAGATTGTAAGTCAATAACCCCTTTTTGATGTGTAATTTGTCTTTCTCTCTCGTCAAAATGTGAGTACTTCAAGATTATGTGGACGTGTTTCAACTTTGATAAATTCATGGGTACAGGGTGCAACCAGGTTTTGTCTCATGGTCTTGTGCAACAAGGTTTTCATGTCAACATGCACCTAGTGCAAGTTTAATTAAGCTCCTTACATTGAGCCCTACTTCACACATTCACCCACCATACACAATAATATGTGGTTTCAGGCATGGACGCCTACAAGAAACTCAGTGAAGTTGGGGTATGCCTCTTCCAGAGCAAGAAGTTTGATTTGTGTATCCGAATTCTCGAAGCGGCTCAGAAGTTTCAGACAAACCAGAAAGGAATTACGATGAAAATACTTCTGACGATGGCAAACGCTCACACAAGTCTTCGTCAGAGGGACCAGGCCATAGGTCTGTACCTAGAGTGCCTCTCAATGGCTGTTGCCACCCATGACCAGTTGTATCAGACCAAGTCATTGGTCAATGTGGCCACCTTGTATCTAGAGAACGGGGACACCTACCAAGCCATAATATACTATGAGAAACTACTGCATCTGAAAGCTGAGCTCCTCACAGAGGTGGGACACTGTGAAAACTTGCCTGACTTTTGGACGAAGGAGCTGCAGTGTGGGCTGCATCTGAATCTCAGCATCGCGTACAAGTCAATCGGGAATATGCACTCTGCAGTTTATCACGCACAAAAGTATAACGGTTTCATGAAAGAGTTTGGTTTCTCAGGAAGAACTTTGGCCGAATCACATCACAACACAGGGATGCTAAGTGAGATTTTGGGAAATTATCAAGAAGCTCTTGAACAGTATCAACTCTATATGAACCTGTCAAAGAAAAACGGAAACAGGAAAGGCATTGCACAGGCATATGGGTGCATGGGGACTGTGTATGCTGCTTTGAGGAACTGGACGCTGAGTATAACATACCATGAACAGTACATCAAGATGGCAGCCAAATTTGGCGACAAGCGTATGCTTGCTATCGCAAATGAGATGCTGGCTGATTCTTACATGCTGAAAGAAGATTATGATTCTGCCGTGAAGCATTATGAGGCAATGCTGAAGGCATGTGCTCGGACTGACAGTCGGACAAAGTCTACAGGTCTGTGTAAGCTCGGCAATGCATATCGAGCACAGTCTAAGAAGCAGTATAGCTTGTATTTTTACGAACAAGCCTATGACATTGCAAAGGATTATGGGTACACAGACATCCAGACAATGGCTGAATACAACATCGCTTGCATTCAGCAGGCGTCAACACAGATGCAAGACATCGAACAGGCCTTGAAATATTTCCTAAAACTTATCCCCTTCTATGAAACCAAAATCAGAGAACATGTGGACGAGGGTACTCACAGGCCGGCTGGGTATGACGAACAGCTGTTGGAGTGTTATGATGGTGTCCAGTCTGTGTTAAGCAAACTTGGGAACAAGGAGGAGTGTCTTCAGTTTGCCGAGGGATATAGAAAGCGGACTATCACCCAGTTGCCCAATTTTACATCCACTTTAGGGCAGACTATTCCCAGTACGCTTGCCTTGCGTGATGTGTGGACTGTTGAGAGGATGAATCGCGCTGTCAGTCAGCAGAACGGGACTGTTATGTACTATTCGCTACTGGATTCATCCCTGTTGCTATGGGTACTGCAGCCAGCCAGGGGATTGGTCAGGTTCTATTCTGGGAGAGCAGGAAAGGATATGTCAATGCGAGATCAGGTATGGGTTTTGCTATTCTGATACTGTAAGGCAAAAAAAAGCAAAGAACTGGCTCTCAGGCAATGGCTTTGGCGACCCGGCTTGTTTTTTGTTTTTGTTGGTTGTTCAAGCTAGTATATAACCAAATTTTATTTACAGTAATTTTGGCAAAATCATGTTGTTCTTATTGTAGCTTTTAACTGCTGGGGTCATGTGCTCAAGATACGCAATATATTCAGAATTTTTTTAAAAATGGAAATAAAAATGAAACGTGCAGCAGACTTTATAATAATGTGGGCAGTGCCTGAGAACCAAGACTATTTTATTTTATTTATTTAAAAAAGAAATTATGCGAGAGTGAAATTTAGGAGGATAATGCTGTTTTTTCCAGGGCTGCCAATCCATGAGATCTTTGCAATAATATACATACCTAATGTCTGGGTTTATGGATTCTATAGTTTACTCATTTGCAAATATAATGTTATAAATCATCACCAGGGGTTCACCAGACGCAAATTGTGCATCCTATATGCATACCACTTGATACAGTCTAGGTTTAGTTATTTAGATGCTGCCATATCATCCATAGAGCTGGAATATTGCTAAGTGCAGTGTTAAACATGATAATTATTTGATATAATCAATATGTTATCTTATTGTTATCATTTGGTTGATGATGCCCTGTTATCGAATGATTGATTTCAGATCCAGAGTTTGATTGATGAAGTGCTGTCAGAATATGACAAGGAGAACCTCGTCAATGAATGTGAAAACAAATCTCTCCCGCTTCCAGATGCGGACTTAAAAAATGTCCGCAGGACGAACATGAAACTAGCCAAAAAATCACCCACTTCCGACACCACAGATACATCCCAAACGTTGGAAAATGACAATTTTACACCGAAAGCCAAGAAATCAGCACAGAGGCAGCTGTACAATATCCTGTTTGCTCCAGTAGAGGACATTCTCTCCAGCCTGGATACCATGAGCCACTTGCTGATAGTTCCGGATAAGGAACTGTGTCACTGTCCGTTCGGAATCCTTCAGGACTGGAATGCCAGGTATGTGATGGATCGGTTCCGGATCACATTTCTTCCCTGTCTGCTCCTACTGGACAAAGTACTCCGGAACGAGATGGACCATCTCCGGCACCAGGACCAACTAGAGTTTGACCGCTCCCAGTGCCGGAAAGGAGGCACAAACAAAGTGATGGCAATGCAGAAGAGAGAGAGCTTGTTTTCCGAAATCATCACACCATCGGATCTCAGCATGTCAAGTCTGGAGAGAGTCAATCTTAAGCATGTCTCCAATCCTAGACTGTACACGTCAGGGGTTTTGAGAACCCCCGACAAGGGAAGGAACTCTCAGGTAGCTTTGAGCAGGGAGGCAACTTTTCAGTCCCAGCTTTCCAGGGCAGATAGCAAGAGGGGTGAGGCTGGTCCTGGGGGTGTATCCTCAGGACTTGCCCAAGCCGTTGGTCGACCGGTGTCACCAGAGAAGATGCTGAGCACCCAGACATACACCACCCTGACGACACGGACATCCACCGAGACGGACATCACGACGTCAAGTCAGATGGTGACGCTGTATCAGCAGATCAGCAGCAAGGAGAGATGTGTGGTGTACGGATGCCCGGAAATTCTGGACAGGTGAGTAACGGAGTTCTACAGGGGAAACTGTTCCCAGGCAAGGAATACTTTCAAAGATTGTTGATGTGTGGTATGGTATACACGGTTCCAAAGATACATACTAATGTATACTAAGCTTTCATACATTTGGAAGCTTCATAGGTGATTGAAGGAACGTACCGGGTATTATCAAACAAACAACTGATTTCTAAATAAAAACTGCCAAATCACGAAATGCACCCCTTCCTTTCCCAAAGAGCTGTGTCTGGGCTTGTATAGTTCGGTTAGGGGCTCGTTTTTCAAAATTTGCCTGGAAAAGCCCTTGAATTTGCTTTTAGCATTGGAAATCCCTTTAATTTCCTCTTTAGGCTTTGAAAATTGAAAAAGAATCCTTAACCACACTTTCATTCTATGATCACGTGACATAGGACACCCAACAGGACAAAATGGCTACAGGCAACTGATTGTTGAGGATATCATGGTGACTTGGTGACATGGTGACATGTATCAGAAGTTTACATCCCCTGATTGCCATGTGGTTACTCACACAGAATGAGAATCGTGAACAGAATGGAGGCCATTTTGTCAGGATAGCATGTCCTGTGTCACATGATTAGCAACAATAAGAATCATGGGGGTTCTTGCTGAGCGTAATCTGAACTGGTTCAGTTTTTGTGAGGTTTGAGTCACTCATAATTGTTAAAAGACTTTAAACTAAGATTCTTGCCTACCCAGATGAATGCATTTTCAAGAAAATTCTGTAGTTTTATATAATTGGAATTTATAAGTATTACGATTTTTGCATGTTTGGTGTCTCAAAATGTCATCAAAATCCTTGTGGCAAGTGAAAGGTATATGTACTCTTTGCTCTGGCTCCATCCTCCCCAGGGAAGGGAGTTAACTCTTAAAGTCCAGTTTCCACTTGTGCCTAACTAGGCTGAAATTCTGGGCTTGATCTTAGCTCCACCAATGGCTATTACGAGTTATGTCCCTTCTATGTCCCTCCTATTGACTAATCAGATTCCACCTCTCATATAATTTGCATTTGCTTCAAACAATATGTTGGCACCCAGTAAAGATGATCTGATTGATAATCAAAATCTATATTGTAATAAAATGGTCTGACTTTGCAAAGTGCATCACATCACGTGAGCACCTTGATTATAAACATAAAAAGATTTGCAAAATATCTGTTGATGCCCGGTTGTCGGTACAACATGCTTTGCAAATCCTGCAATAGCCTGATATCAGTATGGCAGTTAATGTGATTATGATGATTGGACTATGCATAAACTTGTTAGCTCAGCCAAATTATGACTCCAAAATTCCAGCCTATTTCGGCAAGGGTGGAAACTAGACTTTTATGTATAGGATAAAACATGTCCTAGGGTTGTTATGATATTTAAAACCCGCATCCTGAGGGATTTTCCGAGGGAAAGGGTTTTAAATATCATAACAACCCGAGGGGAAGTGTTTTATCTCACTTATAAACCGAAAAAAGAAACTTTAAACAACATTTATCAACATTTTTATGATTCGAACATACTTTCCATGAACCTTAGGAAACGGGCGTAAAATATCTGTTGTTGGCGTACGACATTCTAAAAAGCAGTGCAGCTTATCAACACCTCTGTAGCCTTGTGGTCCACTCACTGGGCTACAGATATGAAGGTTGCGAGTTCGATCCTCGGGAATATAAAGAAAACATTTGTCATTTGATTTTACATTTCATGTTACAATCTGAACGGAAGTTATATTAATAAAATACCCAGGACATTATATAAAATCCCTGGGATATTATAGGAAATATGACTTGAATATCCTATAAAATCCCAGGGACATTACAACGTCCCTGTTTATTAGATTTAACCCGAACCCGACTGGAGAACAATAGGATGATGTCACTGGAGGTTTATAAAGTCAGTTAACTCCTTTGCCCCTAGAAGATGACCTGGCTCCAGTGAATGTTTCTAACCAATTTCAACACCTGCTTTTTCAATCTGCCCCCCCCCCCCTCTCACACACACCTTGTTTCCTCCCATCACTGATACCTGGGTGTTGTGTGTTCAGCGTGGAGCTCCGAGGTCAACCCTGGAGACCAAGGTGTGACCTTGACAACATGACGAAGGCGTTGCACAAAGTAGCTGAGTGTCTTGACGTCAACCCAGTGGTCAGCACTGAAGCTACCAAGCACAGCCTGCTGCAGGATCTGCAGAAAGCCACCATTGTCCATATAGGTGAGGAGCATCAAGGGATTTACGGTTGCATGTATTTGTATTCCCCTGTATGTAATATGGAGGGATTTAGTAATCAGCTTGTCTGATCGTCTGTAATCATTTTTTGTCCGGAGCATATCTCTAAAACTAATAGGTATTCTTTCATGAAACTTTACACACAATGACCAGCGTGTCAGCTGGTGCCTTTTGGTATTATGGGATTATTAGAGTTTCTATTCTTCTGTTTCCACGGCAACAAGTTTGACTTCGACTATGGTCCTACCACAAGATTGTCTGGATTGCTGTTCACCAGTGATGGGAACTAGGAAGGAAATGCTTAGTGTAAACATTTATATCTCTATTGCAATTAAGCTGCAGTATGTAAGTTTAATGTGAAAGGTGAGCTTCAGTAACTATTGAGATCTAGAGTTGGTAATGCAGCAGATTACAGCATAAGCCATGGACCAGACCAGACCAGACATCCACTAACTCACATCTTTGCCACAAAGGATCTGACATAGAAATACAAAGCTCTGAGTCCCAGCTCGGTATTGTTTTGATAGCTCAGTAACTACTCTTGTACATGGACAGACAGATCACTCTTGTAGGACTTGCTGTAACAATCAGATGATTTGTTCTTTCAAATCCGTCGGGGCTCAGAGGATTTGTCATCTTCTCATGACAGTTGTTTAGAATTTGAAACCAAAGGTATTCCTTTACCACCTTTTGACCATTCTATCATTGTGTAATTACAGTGTTGATACCTTCTGGACAGTGTAATATTTCTCCATTTACTATGATGTATATCTTGGAAACATAAACCAGTCTTCTTTTGAGAAGTGACGTTACCAACTCCACCTCTCTCATCAATAAGCACAGAATTCCTGGGCTTATGAGTGTAATTTGATTGGATGGTTATTTTTAGCATCACATATTTCGAAGTCATAATAGAATGGTGATATATTACATTTACAGTGCTCCAGATAGATGCCGTATCGGTGTATCGTATGGATGAAAACTACTCAATTATAGACGGATTGCAAATTACAACCTTATCAAATACATGGGCTTACAATACTATGCTCTCATAATTAATTGTTACGTAACAAAATCCGAATGTACAACACTAGGTCTTTGAATGATGGGTTCGCAAAGTGTGCTGATGAATTTCCAAGCAAAGAGGCCTTCAAATTCATGTAGATATGGTCAACAAATAGTCATACACATTTTGAACGACCTGATAAACAATGAACTGGTGAGCAGGACAGGTACAAAGCATTGCAATGTGTATATAACTATTTTAGCATACGAGTACTCAACAATTTTACAAACAAGCAGTACGGTAACTCTTGGTTTAACCAAATATGTCTGGAACTCATTCTGATAGTCACCAGTACCATACTCAATTGAACAATTATCTGGAGCACTACATTTAATTATTGAGGATGCTACTACTATTTAGTATGGAAGCCTTTTAGGGCCATTTGTTATTTTAATTTTTTTCGATACTATCTTTCAATTTATAATTTATTATAATTTCAAGAAACTAAGTTGAAATTTCAAGATAGTATCTTGAACTTTCAAGATAGTATCTTGAAATTTCAACTTAGTATCTTGAAATTTCAACTTCTATATCTTGAAATTTCAACTTAGTATCTTGAACTTTCAAGATAGTATCTTGAAATTTCAACTTAGTATCTTGAAATTTCAAGATACTATTGAAAAAAAAAAAAAAAAAATGGCCCTAAAAGGCTTCCGTAATTTATCCTGCTTCAAGACACACAGATATGTAAGTTTTTGTTTTTTTAAACTTTAGTTTTGTAAGCAACAAATGGGATTTTGCATAGAACAAAGCCTCCAATACTTCGTATGAATTAAATGGGGATTAGATGGCCACGAGAGCTGCTGTGTATTGGTGTTGCATTTTTTGTACACCAGAAAATGCAATTCATTACTGAAACATGGCTGACTGTATATATATTGTATGTTATTAATGCTAGTGAGGGACTCACATTGTTTTCATTTTTGTTTCATGTTTTTATTATTACCATAACTTTCAGCATATTAATTTTGCAGCAACATTCGGATGTTGGAGAGAGAACCTGCTCGTCCTGACGCCCAACAAGGACCGTCTGGAGGGAGGAGTAGCCACGGAGAGGTCGTACATTGTGTCCCCAGAAGACATCCATAACTTGAAGATGTGTGCTCAACTGGTGGTCCTGAACTGTGGCTACAACCCATGGAGAAGGGAGTATATCCACAGCTTCAGTCTGCCAGCGAGCTTCTTGGCTGCAGGTACCAGACATTCACTGTTGGTCGTATGGTTCATCATTGTAATTCTGATACTGTGACTCATAAAATGAAATGTAAGTCACCAGATTAATGCGAGTGTCGACTATGTGTCATGAAATTAATGCCAGTATCCCTGCCTTTGTACCATGAAAAGTAATTAGAAAACATCAGTATGAATTGTTTTGCTTGTAATTATAACATTATTTGACAAGGTTACCAAGAACAAAAACACTGTCAAAACTTCTTGATCATCTTATGTGAAGAAACTGACCAGCACTGTCTAAATAACATTGTTTACGGTGAGCTTTGTGAGGTATGTCATTGTTTTCACCCATGTGCAGTGAAGCCGTCACGACATTACACTCCAATATGGCCTGATATAATGTGTCAGTTTATTAATGTCATCTATGGACTCCTGCATTTTTTCACATTAATTTCATGATTTGTAGTATTCTGCCTCATTCTGAAAGAATAGAAGATTTGACTTGAAGAGTAAACAATGAATATTCCGAGTCTCAGCTTTTATTTATCTAGTAAAAATCATAAGTATCAGAGGAGTATGTTTATAATCAATGACAACTTTATGTTGTTAAAATCCTTATTGCATTTAATTACATTAAGTAATACGTTACCACTGTTATACCGAGGCTGTTGTCTCCCACAACTGCTGCTATAGCGAAATCTACCACAGAGATCTCAATTACCTCATGCAGCACGTGCGTAGCCACCTAGCTGCCATGTGACACCCTTCACTCTTGTCTCTTCGCTTGCTCTAGCAAGACGTACAATAAACTGCTCAAGCGTTCCTGTTTCTCCGACCAATCGGTGATATTTATTACTGTTTAATCTCTCTAATAAACTGTGCCTTTACGGGTCTTTTGCTGTAACTACGCTTGGAAATATTTTTCCCGCCAAAAGGAAATATTTTTCCCGCCCTTTTTTTCTATATACTTGCGGGGTGTCTCGTCTGCACGTTGCGTCTTACGTTCCCCTGTTCTAGTATATCTTGGGGTTTTTACATCACTTATTCCTCTATATGTTATATGTGTATGTTCTATATTCGCATTGCTCGTTTATTTTCTTGTGAAAATACTCGTTTGTGACTATTTGTGGTGCGTGTGTTGTAACCATGTTTTGCTCTTTGTTCATAGTACAAACAAAATGTCTGACATGGATGTTTCGCTGTCCTCCACCCCCTCTACCCCCGCAACCAGGAGCTACGGGGTGTGCCGCAAGCGAGCGCTACCGGCTGTATGTGCAGTCTGTTTCCACCCCTGTGGTGGCCGGCTCGTCCGGTCGGGGTCCCCTTGCGGGTACCACCACTAGGCTGCGGCGGATCCCTTGGCGGCCCGTGGGCTGTCCGGGGATTCCGTCGCTGCATTACTTGCAAAACTTGTGGACTCCAAGCTGGCGGCCTTATATCAGGATACGCTGCTGGCTGTTCTGTCCCCGGCCACTTTGGTGGCCGCGGGGTCCACCGGTACGGCGGCGGCTCCCGTGGTCACCGGTCCTTCCCCCGAACCGTTGCTCCAGCTATCGGTTAAGGACCGCGTGGCCATGGTTTATGACCTCTTTGAGGACATGCCATGGCCCCGGCCGGTACCGCGGGGAATCCACGGCTCTGTGGGTTCCTCCGAGGTATACGATGAGTCTTCCGACACGGCTTTCCCCGCATCAACCTTGCTGCACGGTATCAAGACTTCCTTGGAGAACGCCTTCGCTGGGGCCTCCGGTCGGGGTCTCCCGTTGCCTCCGACGTCGTGGAGAAAGGGTTTATTCCCGGGACATGACCTTGCCTTTCCCGAGGCTGGTCCTACCGCGGAGGCCCATGTTGAGCGGTTGGGTGTCCGTGCCCCACCGGCTGCTACGGTAACGCAAGCTACCTTGCACCAGCTGGACGCCCTCGCTCGGCACTCCATGCTTGCCATGTCTCACAGAGACACTTACTTGGCTGCAGCGGCCAGTCTGGTCGAAGGTTCTCCCACGGACCGTGACCAGCGCATTTACAACTGCCTGCTCAGTTTAAATGCTTCCCTGGAGTACGTTGCCGAGGACTCTCGGCACACACTTGCTCTTGTTGGGTCCCTGCACAGGCGCCTGGGTGCCGCTCCTAACTGGGGCTCGGGGCTGTGGTGCGTAGACGAACTAGGTCTTCACATCAATTGTCTCGAGTTCAAGGCAGTGATAAACGCAGTCAATCACTGGAAGCATCGTCTCGTCGACGCCCGGCTCATGCTGGCGACCGGCAACACGACGGTAGTGTCCTATGGGAACAAACTGGGGGGAACCCACAGTCACTCGCTACTCGATCTCACGTTCGAGTTTTACGCTCTGGTGGACAGTGCCAGGTACGCGCCCGTCACATCCCAGGTGTGCTGAACGTACTGGCCGACACTCTATCGAGGCCTCGGGATCCGAGCCCCACAGAGTGGATGCTCAACCCAGTAGTATTTCAGTGGCTGTGCGAACGTTTGGGTCGTCCGATGGTCGACCTGTTCGCAGCCGGGTTCAACAATCAACTCCCGTTGTTTGTATCACCAGTCCCGGGCCCGAGGGCCTTCGATCACGATGCTCTCGCGTTAGACTGGACGGGCATGGACGCTTATGCTTACCCACCGACGGCGTTGATACCACTCATTCTAAGCCGGCTCCAAGGAGTTCGCTGTCGAATGTTACTGATCGCGCCCATGTGGCAGAACAGATCGTGGTATCCCGACTTGCTGACCCAGGTCACGCAGTCGCCACTCCCACTGCCTGTGAGACCGGATCTCCTGATCCACCCTCACACCCGTCAGCTTCATCCAAACGCAGGGCAGTTCAATCTGCACGCGTGATGTTGTCAACGAGCGTCTGAGGAGTAAAGGTTTTTCTCGTCGGGCGTCGTGGGCATACGTTAGTATGCATCGTGATTCTACCCAGAAGGTGTATAATGCACGTTGGGTTATTTTCACGAAGTGGTGTTGTAAACATCACATTCATTCGCCAGATAAGGTATCTGTGCAGGATATTGCTCGTTTCATGTCTCACTTACGAGAGACCCGGAAACTCTCCGGGGGTTCCATTGCCAACTATGTCTCTTCCGTTGCTACGGTAGGGGACGTTGCTATGGGTACCAGTCTCTCATAAGAGCCGGTGATTCGGGGTATTATCAAGGGTTTCAAACAGCAAGATCTTCAGAAAGGCCGCCTTCGGGCACCGGCCTGGGATCTTTCCTTAGTGTTGAAATCACTTACGGAAGCTCCGTATGAACCCTTGAGTAGTGCTTCGTTCCGGCATGTGACTTTGTAAACAGCATTTCTCCTCTCCTTTGACATGGGCCAAACGGAGAGAGAATTCACTGTAAGATCACTCAAGGAAATCTTACATCCTGCTGATACTGAGGACAGATCGCTGTGTCCGGTTAGGGCCCTTAAGTATTATCTTAAGGCTTCGAATGAACGCAGACAAGGGCGTGACCGTCTGTTCATATCGTGTAACCCTAATCGCACTGCTGAAATAACTCGCAACTCGATTGCGTTATGGCTTCGTTCTGTCGTCAATCTGGCGTACCGGTCTCGGGGGAAGCGGGGTCAAACCCGCACGAGATCAGGGCGCTAACTGCAACATTTGCCCTACACTCGAATATCTCTGTTCGCAGAATATTACGAGGTTGTTACTGGCGTTCTGACTCGGTTTTTGCCAATCATTACCTCAAACAGGTCGCTGATGACGACGTGGAGAGTGTGCACTGTCTTGGGCCGCTGATCGCGGCGCAAGCGGTCACCTAAGGGGTGTGCCCAGCGCAATTCCGAACTCCTCAGGCATCAGACCTTGCATGGTGGTCAATCTGGGTCGACTCCAATGTTCCCACTGCCGTGGGTACAGGAGTTGGGGTCCCGCAAACCAGCGCACTCACACCACAGGTGAGGGCGGCTTTTTGTGTGCTTTGTCCTTATTTATATTTTGACAATTATGTATTTAATTGTCTGTCGTGTATCCCAACCTTGTGATGCATGCTTACAAATACTGGAATTAGGTCACGCGCCTAATGCATACTTTCAGTAGGCTTGCTCTGGGATATACGCTCCGAAGGAAATTAATTTCCCTCTTTTCGACTGTTTAACCTGATCTAAGATTTAGCTCACGCGGATACAGTGTTCTCATCCGCTGCGGCGATGAAATACCTATCCAGTGGGGCCGTTTGGAGTCACCAATCGTTTTGGCAATGACGATTGAGCCTTACGGTAGGCGCTTGTCAGTGCTTTGGTATTCCTGTTGACCTTTTTCACACTTTCGCCATCTTGGATCGAAAACGAGGCTTGGAGAGCATAGCTCCATGCAGTGAGAGTCGCATCAGCTCATAGGGAACAGACAGCATGTTGTGCATTTCACTGATGGACATTTTAAACAAACAAAAAATGGTATCCTCTGTATCTAATACAGAAGATATTTCACATTAAATCATGAGGTCCAACTAAAATATGCCTGTAATACACTGGAATTAGCATTTTTCTGTCAGGATCCCGGAAGTGAATCAAAAGGTGCATTTCGAGATACGTATTTCAGTTATAGATTGTTTTATCATAACCTCGTCGGCATATAGATACAATGTGACAGTACATTCAATGACAGAAGTTTTGTATCGTAAATAAACCGCATAACATGAAACACGTCAGTTTCCTTTTGCAAAATTGCTCAGTAAATGCGTGGCTTGGCGAACTCTAGATCAAGATTGAGATCATGTTTATTTCACGTTTCATAGTGGTGTTTGCTGCACAACGCACTATCGTTTTGCCATGAGTCTAGTTGACAAAAGACACTTTTTCTGCTAAGATTTTCATTTTAACATATTACAATGTTAATTATGAAAATAATTCGTGTGTCAAAATAAATATTCAGAAGGCGCGATAACTCTATTCAGTGTGTACAATGACAGATGATACTTTCAAACATCACTTACTTAACTGATTATTGCTGATTGAGATTGCACCGTGCACCACAAAAGTAATAATGTGTAAACTGTTTAAAATAAGTTAAAGGGAAACTAAAAATTGATAAATATAAATAATGTATGAAATTGAAGAAATATAAGAATTGATACAACTACCAACTTCTTGAACACCCTCACCTAATCCTGTATGATGATAGGTAATTGTATATCAAAAGGAAGCTACTAATACATTTTTTCCCTGAATAGTTTGAAAATGTCTTGATCAGATATGAGTACAGATAAAATAACAAAAGATATAAAGGAATCAACTTCAATTGGTAATCAAGCCAAGATAAAATATATGTATCGGTACAAATTATGTTGATGGAACAATCTGGATTTCTCATATTTAACAAAGAAAAACAAACCAAAATTTTCATATCTTTATTTCTCACAATATAAGTTTTCAAAACTTAACAGGGACTGGGTGTCTTTGTCAGTCAAAAGCACCTAATTAAATTCCACGAGAAAATAATTTTCTTGCTGGTAAACAAATGGTACAATGTGCTTTTTCAGTGTCCGATAAATATTGGCCATGTTGATTTGTGAGTGAATAAGGCTTTTCACTTCCTCGTCCTATTTAAGTGAAATATGACAGGAAGCACATTTGTTGATTAAATGCATATGGCTTTTCACTTCCTCGTCCTTTGACAGGACGCACATTGTAACGGGTGTGTGTTTTTCAGCAGAAAGCTCCTCCAGACATCCGTCACCGGATACTAGTTCTTCATTGTGTTGACTCGCTGGCCTGAAATGAATAATTCAATAATATTGTAATAATATTCCTACTTCAATAACATTTTTTTATAAACAATGCATATTCACCTTCTCTCAAAATATTGGTTATTTAGAAAACAACATTCTTCTGAAATAGAGAAGTTTAAGGAAATTTAATCACAGTGTGTAACATTACATGCTACTTAAGAACAATCTTGAAGGCATCAATTCATCTGATATGTCGAAAACTCAAACAGTATATTCTGTGTAAACAGTAAACTCAACAGATGCATCAATTTAATGACAGTGTACTAAAGCTCTTTATATCAATGTCACACAGAAATTCACTCTTGTTTTAATGAAACACGTTTTGATATTTGCATTACCGGTATGTATTTAATCATGAAATACTTTGTTTAGTCTAACCATGTTGAAAACATACTTTCACTGGGGTGAAAATCAGGTGAAATATCACGTTTTGCCACACCTACAGTCAGTCTGCCTCATTGACACTATGGTTTTCTGAGTAAGGTCATGAAGATCACATAGAAAATATAAGACTTGAATTTATTTTGTCAAATGCAATGTTTATCCCTTCATGTGGTTTACTAAAGTTGATATCTTGACTTGAAAATATTAACTTTGTCAGATCACAAGATGAAATATTATTAAACATATTTTATTGTCCAAAAAGACAAAGGGCAGCACTTATTACCGCCTTCTCCCTATATACAGTTATACATAATATTGCATAATGAAAATGAACAATTTACAGTTGAAGCTTCCCATTGTGGAAACACAGTGCGCAATATATATACAGTGCTCATATGAAGGATATGTACAATGTGCTGGAAAGTGAAGACAGTGTGCATCTCATCCATATCCTAATATTATACATTTTAGTGTTGAATATAGATTTAACAATATTAATGAATAACAGTTTGGAAACAATAATATGCTAGCTACTGAATCTGTTAGTCGTTTCTATAAATTTGTGTACAGACAAGAATATTTTTGTATTCAGGAAAACATCTAAGTTTGGATCACCAAAAGGAATACTATGTAGAGTTTTTTGTCCTCCAAGATAATCGATAGCTGTCAGTAATGTCTCCCTAAAATCATCATATAAGGTACATTCGAAGAAGAAATGGAATGAATTTTCACAAGGAGCATGCATACAAGGAGCATGAGATAAATTCATGCTATCGTCGTTATTTGACAAGGAAAACAAATTTCTTCTATGTATTTATATTATTTTTATTTTTCTCGTTTTGATTGAATTATAAAAAAATATCAAAATGATCACACCACTTGACTTGATTGAAGTAAACTAAAGTTCTAAAGATTGTTAACAATAGTAAAATATTACATCATAACAATATAATTATTGCAAAATGACACAGTAAGCACAACTATATTCTTATATATAAATTGATATGATTAATAATCAATAATACATGGCAATTGCTTGCACAAAAGAAATCTTTTTGTTTTAAAAGTTTCAAAACATGTTTGTGGACATAAAACCAGATGGGTTTCACAATTAAACAAAGGGAATTAATGAGTTATGATTGCAATACGCATGGGAATTAAAAATAATTCTTTTTATACTTAAGTTTTCAGTAATGTCAATATCAATTTATGCATTTGAAATATTTGAATACAAACTGTTAAAGAGTTATCTGTTTCTGTAAATTATATAAAGATCAAATGTAGATTGAACATTTACTGGACATTAATTAGTTGGGTTTTTGTTCATTTCATGACATGATTAAATTGGTACAGTAAAGTAAATATCATTTTGGTAGAAATATTAATTGTTACCAAAATTGCAGATCAAACTGTACTTTACTTTAAATATTTACACACCCTTTATGGAATAATTCAGTTGAAATATTACACCTCATGCTATCTAATCTGTCAACATTGACAATCAAAATAACAACTGTTCACAATCACAACAGCACAAGTAGATCGAGAGGTCTAATATTTTATTGGAATGCATTTGAGTCCATTACAATTTACATCAAATACGCAACTGATGCAAACTTTTGATTTGTTACGATTGTAAATTCTCAGTAGGTTACAATTTGATACATTATATCAACATATCAATTTAGTTAGTTTCTGACATATATCTAGATATGGTCAAAAGGTCAATATTTCGACTTCAAATACAACCCGCAAAGTTATTTAAACTAACAATAAATAGTTTGGCTTAATGGTGTGTAAACAATGAATTATTCTTTACAAGATTTCAGTAGCATTTGTATTAAGTCTGTTCAGCTACCATAAACTGCACTGGGAGTTACCAGGTGGTCATGGATATTTTAGATTGAAATCACAACAGAACGGCCAGATTCAAATTTATATCGGTAAGGAGACCAGATAACAGTAGAATAGTTTGTCAATAAGAATAATGTTCAATAATTACGATAAATGTACCGGGATGGTTAAATTGTCACAGTTTGTCCCGATTGCGTGCCTTGTTGACATCTCCATGTGTTTCATGTGCTATCCAGCCTTCACCTTCTGCTCTCCAAGCCTTGCTTTCAAACCGGAAGTAGCGAAGTGTGAAAAAGGTCAATAGGGTAACGCCTAGCTAGGTGCATGCGCATCGAGTGCTTCCGCCTTGGTGTTTACTTCCGCTGGTCGGAAGGAACGCTAGCAGTCAGGATTCGGGTTGTAGGTGCTCCCCGCCGCCTACTGTGGTAGTCAGCCTCGGTATAACAGTGGTAACATATTACTTAATGTAATTTGTAGAATTTTCCTATTCGGAATATTCTATAAGTAATACGTTACCACTGGGCTGCTGCCTGCCCGTCCGTCCCCCGAGCACTTGCTCTCGCAAGAGACAAGAGTGAAGGGTGTCACATGGCAGCTAGGTGGCTACGCACGTGCTGCATGAGGTAATTGAGATCTCTGTGGTAGATTTCGCTATAGCAGCAGTTGTGGGAGACAACAGCCTCGGTATAACAGTGGTAACGTATTACTTATAGAATATTCCGAATAGGAAAATTCTACAAAATTGTAATATGGCCACGAGCCGGAAGTTGGTGGTAGAAAACCTAACGAGGGACGCATGAAATTGAATGTACCCCTCGTCATCCTGCTACAACAAATTATCTTACCGACATGTTTTGATATGACATTGTCAAAGAAGTAAAACAAATTCAAAATTGAAAAAAACAGCTGTTCGATTGAGTGCTATGTCAGTGACTTTCATTGACTCGGAAAAAGTGTGTGGCTTTTTGATTCGAAGCGGGGTACAAGGGTTTTATTCTCCCACTGAGAAATGTATTTCCCTCCAAGGCGGGATACATAGTATTTTATTAAGATCACATGGACCAATCACATCTCATCATTCTGACATGGAGGTATGATAATATATGTTGTTGCAGTGTCACAAGGGGTGTATGTAGTTTTATGCCTCTCTCGTTACGTCTTTTTTTATATCTTATTTGTTTTACGGGTAGCCTAGTGGTTAAAGCCTTCACTCATCACGCCGAAGACCTGGTTACAATGTGTGAAGCCCATTTCTGGTGTCCCCATGGAATATTGCAAAAAGCAGCTTAAAACCATACTCACTCACTCACTCACTCACTCACTCACTCACTCACTCACTCACTCACTCACTCACTCACTCACTCACTCACTCACTCACTCACTCACTCATTTGTTTTACTCTCCCAACTATCCTATTCTTTGGCCACAATTGTTTTGCAATGTTTTATTTTTATATCAACTACTAGCCATGCTTTTGAAAAATACATTGTGTATATCCGTAGTACAAGTAATACCAAATGAAGGTCTAACATTAACTCTGTGATATAGTGTTGTCTTATTGTGGAAAATGTTTGCGTTGTCTAGGGGCCCAGTGTGTGATGGTGACTCAGTGGCAGGTTCCAGATAATGCCATGGACAAATTCTATCATCACTTCTACATGTCACTTCAAAATGGCTGCCTGCTGTCTGATGCTGTCCGGACTGGCATGGAGGCTGTCAGACATGATAATAGGTAGGTAATACATAAGAGAGTGTTACTTTATTAAGCCGAAGCTGAAGTTGAAAGACTTGTATGTTATGGCGTAAAGAGAGGGTATGCATGGGGTGTGTATGTACACCACACCCAGTTTTTGAAAGGTTATTTTGGAGATAACTACATGAATTTAGGCTAGTTTGAAAAACAATCTTGTTTCGAATGACTTTTGTCAAAACTGACTTGGTAGGGAGTTGGGTTGGTATCAACATGACTCAAATTTATAGGCCATAAAATGTCCATCCCATGCTGGGAATCAGACCCTGGATTTTCTCTTCTGTGGAGATGAATGACTACGTGAGATGGAAAACTCCAAAACCGTTGAATATTTCTGGATGAAACTTCTTATACAGATCAGTCCAGTGGTGAACTGGTGCCTTTTGATGATTTGGGATATTGAAATATAATGACTGGCATCATTATTTTACTGAACTGAAGGTATCCAATGGCAGTGGACCAAAAGTGGGGTTCACGTAGCCTAACTCCATATCCGAATTACACCAGGGGGGATATGTCATATCCTGATGACTCTAGTTGCGTTTAGCTGCAGCTACAGTTTGAGTCAGCATGGAAAGAGTTCTTGAATGTCCATCTCTTGGTGCTACAGATTCACACATGTGTACAACTGGTGCCCATTCATTCTGATTGGGAAGGACACTGAGGTGAGCATCAACCAGATCCGACACGCGATGCTGGACCAGAAGCTGGACCACACCGAGGCCACTGTGGAGGAGGAGACCGGTCAAGAGTATCTCAACCCCAGGAACGTGGTCGCACATGGTGAGGGCAATCTACATAGTCACGGCCATCTTCCCGAGCCAAGGGGGGTTAACTGACTGTAAAAGTCCAGTTTCCACCCTTGCCAAACTAGGCTGAAATTTCTGGGCGCGATTGTAGTGCCACCAGTGACCATATCGAGTTATGTTCCTTCTCTGTCCCTCCTATTGACCAATAAGATTCCACTTCTCATATCACTTGCATTTGATTCAAATGGCGGTGCAAAGTCAAGACGATCTGATCGATAATCATGATCTATTGTAATTGTAATTAAACGGGTTTTACTTCACAAAGTGCCTAAGTCAGGTGAGAACCTAGATTGAAAACATGAAAAGATTTGGAAAATATCTGTTGACGGTACACATGCTTTGCAAATATTGTATTTGACCGAAATCTGCATTGCATTTTACGAACCGAATGTCAATTTTGTTATGTGATTTTGTTTGGACTATGCATTTGGACTCGTTAGTCCAGCCAAACTATAACTCCATAATTCCAGCCTAGTTCAGCAAGGGTGGAAACTGGACTTTCATAGTCAGTTAATTCCCTTGCCTTGGGAAGATGATTCACAACATGTGATGAACCTGTGTTGATTGAGTGTTGAAATTGACTTAATCACTTTCTCAACAGTTTATGATTTATTAGTAGAATGGTATTTTAATAGATGCTGTATTGGACATTTAGCAGTACTGAAGAAATGTTTGAATATGTTACCGGTAGGTATATTACAGCAGGCTATGACACAAGGTCACCTGACTTTCACCTGTTTCTTGTAGTGCCCACCAAGGAGGAGAACTTTGAGAGTCTACAGCGCCATGTTGTTGACATCCTCCGTCACCACCAGCACCAGCCAGGGGTCATCCCTGGACTCATTGACCTGGTCAGTAGCTGTAAATGTTTCATTTTAGTTGACCTGCTGGCTCTCATTGACCTGGTCAGTAGCTGTCAATGTTTCATTTTAGTTGACCTGCTGGCTCTCATAGACCTGGTCAGTAGCTGTCAATGTTTCATTTTAGTTGACCTGCTGGCTCTCATTGACCTGGTCAGTAGCTGTAAATGTTTCATTTTAGTTGACCTGCTGGCTCTCATTGACCTGGTCAGTAGCTGTAAATGTTTCATTTTAGTTGACCTGCTGGCTCTCATTGACCTGGTCAGTAGCTGTCAATGTTTCATTTTAGTTGACCTGCTGGCTCTCATTGACCAGGGCCCACTTGCACAAAGCGATCTTAGCGCTAAGATGATCGTAACTCCCATACTTTAGCATAGGCTTACAATAGTCTTAGCGCTAAGATCGCTTTGTGCAAGTGGGCCCTGGTCAGTAGCTGTAAATGTTTCATTTTAGTTGACCTGCTGGCTCTCATTGACCTGGTCAGTAGCTGTAAATGTTTCATTTTAGTTGACCTGCTGGCTCTCATTGACCTGGTCAGTAGCTGTAAATGTTTCATTTTAGTTGACCTGCTGGCTCTCATTGACCTAGTCAGTAGCTGTAAATGTTTCATTTTAGTTGTCCTGCTGGCTCCCAGTTCCATTTGATTAAATAATAATTTCATGAACTTTATGATCCTGATAAATTTATGATCCTGACATGTTGGGCAATGTCCCTTGCAAATATTTTGATGTAAAAACAAGGCATTCCCAATCTCATTAATATCAGATTGTAGTCGTCACTACCGCTACACAAAGATCTGAGGACATCCCATTACAGGTAAAGTCAGAATGACCTTTCAGCTGTTCAATCAGAACATCACTTACCAATATAGGATTTTACGTGACACACAAATGTGCATGCAGTACGCACAAATGTTGAGATTGGATACAGAAAAGGAATATACTGTATCCCGAGGGACACACAGTAATATTCATTGTATCTACAGCACATCAAGAGCAGTTATGGGTGTCTGTCATTTCATCAAAGCTGCTTTCTGATTGGCTAATGTCCACTTTCTGCAGTCTTTTCATTGGTCTGTCAAAGTTCGCGAATGGTCGTTCTGATGTGACCTGTAATGGGATGTGACCTTTAATGGGATGTCTTCAGATCTTTGTATAGTGGTAGCAATGACTAAGATCCGATATTAATTACATTACAGGCTCAGGGTTTAGTTTAAAATAAATCAGAGACAGAATCTGTCTGTACATATTATGGTGTTGCAATTGTGGATCAGTGTCAGGCGGGAGACTACATGTCATTGTGCCCAGATGATACAGGATGTTGCTGATATCAATCACTGGTTTGTCTGGTCCAGACTATTCACAGGCTGCCATATTATGGTTGGAAACATTGCTGAGTGTGATGAAGAATAACAAGCAAACAAAACCAAAACAAATGACTGAAACTGCCCTGTGTTTCCAGCTGGATGCTGCCTTGAAGCGTCTTCACACGGAGGATAACAACAAACAGACGTCTCAGCTGTCGGCTGAGTTGACCAAGGGGGAGGGGAGTGTGTCGCTGCTGACGATGCTGGGCTTCCACTTCCAGGCGATGGGAGCCTCTCTGTCCGAGCCCTACATCGTCTACCCTCACTGGAACAAGGATGAGATGCTGATACCAGCCTATGATGCCCTCAGAGCCCTCACAGGTGGGAAAATGTAGCTTTGTAGTAGAACAGGGCCTCATTCCACAAAGAAATATTAACACTTAGGTGATCGTAACTACCAACATAGACTTATGATAGTTGTTATGCTAAGATCACTTTCTGGAAAGAGGTCCAGTGTCTACAGTGGTCATATGAAGCCAATAATTATAAAGTGAGATTGGTTTTCTTTACTGAGAATTGTGTGGGGATAATTATAGGATGGGATTAGAAGACCAAATCTTTGCTGTTAGTGTGTCAGTTTTTCTGAAAGCTTGATTGATACTCACTCTATCAACCACGAGTTGATCTGCACTGGACTTCTGTTCATTTAGCAGGCTACCCTGTAGTCTGTGATTTGCCTAGAAACTATTAATGTGTGTTTTAAGGGACTTTTCTGCAGGGAGTGTCCGAAGAATTTGAGGCCAGACTTTTCTATTTTTTTGTTTTCAGATATTTTGTGAAAAATCATGGTCAGTAGGTGGCCCAAAAATATAAGTGGAGACATTTCTTTAAAAAAGCATCTGATTAAATGCCATGTGTGCAGTGTAAATTAAGCGCTAATTATGATATAAGGGGAGTAATGTGTCCTAAGTATTGAGACTTCACAAATTTACCCCTGATGATACAATACATGATACTCCTGTGTATCAATTCATGTTTATAGGTTTAATTCTGTACCAATTTTCACTAAGTAATGTTTATGAAATTTTGAGATTTCAAAGTGCTTCCTGGTGCCTAGCATTGTCTTAACCAGTCATGCAAGTTTTTACAAAAACTGGTGGATATCAACCACATGTGGTAGCAAGGCCACGGGGAATATGGAGAATTTTAAAAATGGGGCAAATTTAGTATTGTGACTCAATATGTATTGATACATTGTATTGTGACAGCACTACATGATACAGGGGGTGGGGGGGGGAGTATTGTGACAGCACTACATGATACATGGGGACTGGGTATTGTGACAGCACTACATGATACATGGGGACTGGGTATTGTGACAGCATTACATGATACATGGGGACTGGGTATTGTGACAGCACTACATGATACATGGGGGTGGGTATTGTGACAGCACTACATGATACATGGGGGTGGTGGGGGGGGGTGGTATTGTGACAGCACTACATGCTACATGGTGGGGGGTGGGGGGTATTGTGACAGCACTACATATGATACATGGGGGGTGGGTATTGTGATAGCACTACATGATACATGTGGGGTGGTGGTATTGTGATAGCACTACATGATACATGGGGGGGGGGGGGGGGGTATTGTGATGGCACTACATGATACATGGGGGGGGGGGGGGTAGGGTATTGTGACAGCACTACATGATACATGGGGGGAGGGGGGTATTGTGACAGCACTACATGATACATGGGGACTGGGTATTGTGACAGCACTACATGATACATGGGGACTGGGTATTGTGACAGCACTACATGAAACATGGGGACTGGGTATTGTGACAGCACTACATGATACATGGGGGTAGGGTATTGTGACAGCACTACATGATACATGGGGGGTGGGTATTGTGACAGCACTACATGAAACATGGGGACTGGGTATTGTGACAGCACTACATGATTCATGGGGGTAGGGTATTGTGACAGCACTACATGATACATGGGGGGTGGGTATTGTGACAGCACTACATGATACATGGGGGGTGGGTATTGTGACAGCACTACATGATACATGGGGACTGGGTATTGTGACAGCACTACATGATACATGGGGAGTGGGTATTGTGACAGCACTACATGATACATGGGGACTGGGTATTGTGACAGCACTACATGATACATGGGGACTGGGTATTGTGACAGCACTACATGATACATGGGGACTGGGTATTGTGACAGCACTACATGATACATGGGGGGTGGGTATTGTGACAGCACTACATGATACATGGGGACTGGGTATTGTGACAGCACTACATGATACATGGGGACTGGGTATTGTGACAGCACTACATGATACATGGGGACTGGGTATTGTGACAGCACTACATGATACATGGGGACTGGGTATTGTGACAGCACTACATTATACATGGGGGTAGGGTATTGTGACAGCACTACATGATACATGGGGGGAGGGGGGTATTGTGACAGCACTACATGATACATGGGGGTTGGTATTGTGACAGCACTACATGATACATGGGGGGTGGGTATTGTGACAGCACTACATGATACATGGGGACTGGGTATTGTGACAGCACTACATGATACATGGGGGTGGGTATTGTGACAGCACTACATGATACATGGGGACTGGGTATTGTGACAGCACTACATGATACATGGGGGTGGGTATTGTGACAGCACTACATGATACATGGGGGGTGGGTATTGTGACAGCACTACATGATACATGGGGACTGGGTATTGTGACAGCACTACATGAAACATGGGGACTGGGTATTGTGACAGCACTACATGATACATGGGGGGTGGGTATTGTGACAGCACTACATGATACATGGGGACTGGGTATTGTGACAGCACTACATGATACATGGGGACTGGGTATTGTGACAGCACTACATGATACATGGGGACTGGGTATTGTGACCGCACTACATGATACATGGGGACTGGATATTGTGACAGCACTACATGATACATGGGGACTGAGTATTGTGACAGCACTACATGATACATGGGGGGGAAGGGGTATTGTGACAGCACTACATGATACATGGGGACTGGGTATTGTGACAGCACTACATGATACATGGGGGGGGAAGGGGTATTGTGACAGCACTACATGATACATGGGGACTGGGTATTGTGACAGCACTACATGATACATGGGGACTGAGTATTGTGACAGCACTACATGATACATGGGGGGGAAGGGGTATTGTGACAGCACTACATGATACATGGGGACTGGGTATTGTGACAGCACTACATGATACATGGGGGGGAAGGGGTATTGTGACAGCACTACATGATACATGGGGACTGGGTATTGTGACAGCACTACATGATACATGGGGGGAGGGGGGTATTGTGACAGCACTACATGATACATGGGGGATGGGTATTGTGACAGCACTACATGATACATGGGAGTGGGTATTGTGACAGCACTACATGATACATGGGGGGTGGGTATTGTGACAGCACTACATGATACATGGGGACTGGGTATTGTGACAGCACTACATGATACATGGGGGGAGGGGGGTATTGTGACAGCACTACATGATACATGGGGGATGGGTATTGTGACAGCACTACATGATACATGGGGGTGGGTATTGTGACAGCACTACATGATACATGGGGGTAGGGTATTGTGACAGCACTACATGATACATGGGGGGTGGGTATTGTGACAGCACTACATGATACATGGGGACTGGGTATTGTGACCGCACTACATGATACATGGGGGGAGGGTATTGTGACAGCACTACATGATACATGGGGGGTGGGTATTGTGACAGCACTACATGATACATGGGGACTGGGTATTGTGACAGCACTACATGATACATGGGGGGAGGGTATTGTGACAGCACTACATGATACATGGGGGTGGGTATTGTGACCGCACTACATGATACATGGGGACTGGGTATTGTGACCACACTAGATGATACATGTGATGTTTGACTGCAGACATTGTTGGGAGTGCAGAGTGCAGCCAGAACCTGTGTGACATCCTGCCCCTCCAACAGGATCACATCTCACTGCTGGTCGACCTGGTGAGTAGCTTGTAGAGGCCAGTCATCGAGTATGTCCGCACCCTGTAGTATTGAAAGACCACCTTCCGGATGATTTTCGTGGAAATGTTGGAAATGTACCTTAGGAACATTGGAAATCCATCAATATCTTGATGCTGAAACCACCAAGATACTTGTCGACAGCTACGAGTATGTTCTGTCTACGCTAGACTATTGTAATGCTTTGTTACACGGTGTAGCTGCAGTTACCCACTTGCAGCGTGTGCAGAACACTGCAGCCCGTGTCACATCTGTACTGCAGACTCTTCATTGGTTGCAAGTTAAACAACGGATGAAGTTCAAGCTGCTTAACGTTACCTACAACGCCAGTCAGCATCCACAGTATCTAGAGTATCTTCAAACTCAATTTCAGTTCACGGGCCTAGTTGCAGCCTATGCTCTGATGATCAAATGTATTTCACTGTACCAGACTCCAAAAACAAAATTGGGTGAACGATCTTTCTCAGTCTCTTCTCCCACTCTGTGGAACTCACTACCTCTCTTCATCAGATCTTCCACTCACTCTGACATCTGCCGTTTTTCTTTGAAGACTTATCTCTTCAGAGAAGCCTATTTGCCACAGCACCACTGAGCAACTTTTTTAGTTGAAAGTCAGGCACTATATAAGTTAATTTATTATTATCATATGTGAATACAAAGGTTCAACACTCAAGTTATTCCTTAATCTGGAAATTTGTTAATCTGGACAATTTCCATGGAATGATTCCAACATAATTTGCAATGTTTCTAATCAGTTCACTGACTGACTGACTGACTCTACCCATGAAGATCTGGATCAGAATAGGAATACTTAGCCTTGTTGTCAGACTTTCTGACTTGGATGATGCATGTTGCGTGGTTTGATGCTCATGATGTTAATAACTGGATTGTCTGGTCCAGACTCGATTAGTTACAGACTGCCGTCATAAAGCTGGAATATGGCTGAGTGCGGCGTTATACAACAAACTCACTCACTCGTTCACTGAAATTGCAGAGTTAAAACAATTAAGGAAATTTTGTCTTTGTTATGAATGATGATATAGTAAAGTTTCAGTGAAGTTACCAGCCTATCTGTAAAGTCTTGGCGGTTGGTTCTTGTGGACATTGGTTGCTGGGAGTGATTAATAAAATAATGGATGTTGTAAAATTCTCTTTGTACAGATGAGTATCACCAGGCATGCTCCGGAGCTTCAGCTCAAGGTCACTGACCTGTCAGTGCGACCTCTGTGGCAGAACACCAAGGTGAAGAAACTGCTGATGTCAGCAGGATTTCACCAGATTGGTCTCCTGCTCAACTTCAACAAGGTGCCCGTCAACGGGTAAGACAGCTTGGAGCTTGTTCACAGCACATGTCTGTGCTACAGTTAAAGCAATTCAAGTGACTAAGCCAAAATATTTTCTGAAATTCCTCTCATCAAAATGAGGGTTTTCCAATGGTTAATGGTTTGAACAGACTTGTCCTTTGACCACATTGATAATCAGCTATGAAGTATAATTAAGAAATATAAACAATCATTATTGCAAATGCTAAAAACTTAACAATGTTTTTTGATAAGTAGATGCATGTATTGTGTACTGTGATATGTGTATAGTGATGAGGGGGAACCAATCTTAAAAACATAGGGATCATGTCAGGTGATGTTTCAGCCAATCAGGAAGCTTCTACAATATCAGTATGAGGGTGCAAAGCATTGGGATTAGGGTTATCATCAATACTTAGGTACACACGATTCTTGAATATTAAGTTCCTGAGATCGTGATACGCTATAAATAGAACAAGAACTAATAGAGTTACCTCCCGTAATGGCAGAAGGATGAACTTGAGGTTCTAAATAAAAAATAATAATGTTAAACTTTATTCCCTGTCGTTTCACTTACTTTTTTTAAATAATGGAATAAGAATTTTCTTTAGACTTGCTCACTGTTCAACTGACGTGACTTCCCAGGGAGTGTTTGTCAGATCTTGCTGTAGAGATGTGTTGAATAAAACATGGATTTTATCCTTAACCTTATAATGTTGATGATCACTCTGATGTCCCCAGGCAGCTGTTGACATCCCTGCTGCAGCTGTTGTTGGCTGTCAGCTGCCACAAGAGCCAGGTGCTACTGTACAGACTGGACGTCAACCTCCTCGGCCGGTCCCCCAGTCCCAGACAGGTAGGTACTGTACATGTACACACACACCCCCAGTCTCTCCAGCCAGGTAGGTACTGTATACCCCCCCCCCCCCCCCCCTCAGTCCCAGACAGGTAGGTACTGTACACCCCCCCATCTCTCCAGCCAGGTAGGTACTGTACACTCACACACACCACCACCCCCCAGTCCCAGACAGGCAGGTACTGTACACACACACCCTCAGTCCCAGACAGGTAGGTACTGTATACCCCCCCTCAGTCCCAGACAGGTAGGTACTGTACACCCCCCCCCCATCTCTCCAGACAGGTAAGTACTGTACACCCCCTCAGTCCCAGACAGGTAAGTACTATACACCCCCTCAGTCCCAGACAGGTAAGTACTGTACACACCCTCAGTCCCAGACAGGTAAGTACTGTACACACCCCCATTCCCTACAGACGGGTAGGTTGTGTCCAGACTGGACATCAACCTCCTCAGCCGGTCCCCCAGTCCCAGACAGTGAGGCACTGTCCAGCCTGTACGAACACAACAAGCATGTGGCACTGGGGACCTTCAGTCTCTCCAATTATAACAGTCATATTATCTGTGAAGATGTTTATTGTTAATTACAGCTGATCTCCAGTCCACACACCTTCTCCCTCCCTCCCTCCTACAGTACTTGTGCGAGTCTGTTACATGTGTTTGTGTCTCTCCAGAACCACTACAGTGGCTTGGACAACATCAAGCTGCCATCACTCACTCCCCTCATCCTGCCCAGAAACCAGGTGAGACAAAGTGGCCATGTCACACACAGGTGGATTAGAAGTCAGAGCTTGCAATGTTATAATGCGTTTGTTATTGAATGATTTCTATGTCATTCATGGGCATAGAATAAGACCATATGATATATTTTGTATTGTGTTTTAATCATGGTAACTATTTTTTAACATTTTCCAAACTTCTGAACCCTGAAAGACTTGATCAACCCCTCCATTGTCGTGACCAAATTCTGCTTCTGTTGCCAGTATATGTATCTGACGACAGGGTGATGTTTAACTTTATTTGCAGCTGCGTATGAGCACGCCGTGGCACAGCACCGTGGAGCGTGAGGAGGAGATGACGCAGAAGATGAGGCTGGCTCGCAGGTACAGCAGCAGGAGGGGAACATGTGCCACTTCACAGGCTTGTCTTATGGGGAAACAATGGGGGCAGTTCAATGGATTTGTTGTAAAATATACCCTTTGTTACATCTCACTGTAAATGCTCCTCCTTTTGCTTGACAGACAGAGAGATATATCTGTTTCATGGTATAAATGAGAACTGTGCTAAACTGGGCAAACACTAAGTTATAAATGCTGATTTGATCATTACAAATGGTAGTAGTACCCTGTTGTGAGGGTAGAGTAGTTCCACCACACCTGTCCAACCAATGAGGATCTGGTGGGTACACTGCAATATCGGCCTGATTGGGTGTCAGTGTCCAGATGACAGGGATTTTTGCTCTTGCTGTCTTGCCAGGCCAAGATTTGATGACTTTCAGCCTGCTGTGATATGGCTGTTATATTTCTTACTACACTGTAAAAGCACATTCACTCTCTCACTTTGATAGTTTTAGTTTTAGCTGGTGTTGAGAAAATGGAGGATAGGCATCACAGGAAAGGGAGATAAGTATGTATCTGACAAGTGCTTCCTGTTTTCAGCAAGTCTAACCTGGATGAAGACTTCCAGGACTACCTGGAGAGGGCCAGAACCTGGCATCAGATGACTGTCACAGCTCAGGTGGGTTTAGGTGCCAACAGTTACACAGAAACTGTTAATACTGTTATTAGCTCAACCAGTAGGCCCTACTGCTCTTTCAATGGTACTTCGTTTTCTATGAACTGTCATCAGGGTCGGATGACGACTGGAATGAATATTGATTTGATTCTGACCAAGTTTCATTGAGTGGGTACAAAAGTGCACTAAACAGGTCAATGTTGGTTAATGGATTTGGACAGGTCAACATCAATCTGTTTGCTTTCCATTTTGAACTGGTTATGGAGGTCAGTTACATTGAATAGGTGTTTAACCTGCTCTGAAATTGGTTTAAAAAAGTTACCTTCAACAAATACCATTGTAGCTAAACCAGACTGAATTGGTAGACATGTCGTCAGTAAAGACAAACAGCCCTGTTGGCCTGGGTAGTAAAGTCAATGACACTGGCCATTGTAATCCATAGCGAAATGCCTGCAATCGTCACCCTGTATACTTTGGGGTGAGGGGTATGGTGTGTTTGTGGAAATGCACCATGACAATAACTAATTTGGCCTCAGACTGGTTTGGATCAATCCTAGACAAACATTAATACAGCATACACACACAGCCACATATGCACAAATCTCACCAGTTCTGAGGAGTCTCCATTAGCTCCCTGTGCAGCAACTAATCACATTCAAACTTCTGACCATGGTCTTCAAATCCATGCATTGTACGGCACCAGCTTATCTACAAGAACTAATCACCATCCACAAGCCACAGAGAAGTCTTCAGTCAGCAGATCAAGTACAACTCACAGTTCCAAGAACGTGCAAGGGCTGTGGCGACAGAGCTTTCCAGAAAGCCAGACCTGTTCTGTGGAATTCCCTTCCATTTGTCATTAGAAACCTAGATAATCTAAACTCATTCAAGACACAACTCAAAACCTATCAGTTTGCACAAGCCTATGACTAAAAGCGATTTTGAGCACAAGTTTGGAAAGGGCGCAATTTAAATATCTAATTTATGATTTATTTATACAAAATAGAACAGTTAAAATGTGATGACCATCCATTTTGGTTAGTATCCAGAAGTCTTGTACTGCATTGCCTAGGGATTGATTTGTAAAATAATTCTGGCAACAATAAGGGGTAAAAAATTACGGAAACAAGACATTCAGAGAGCTCGGATGACTAAGTTATCTAAGGTGTTGTTTGCATAATTGCATCGCTTGGCTGATCTGCCAGTTGTGGGTTCAGATCGCCTATTAACTTTGATTACTTGGCCTGTCAGCCAGTGTTTGAAATATAATAAATTACCAGGCTGCCATCGGTACCCACAGAATTCAGAAGCTGTAGGCCCTGACTAAACTCTTCAGGCCCTCATTAAAAAAAAATACATCTTTTTGTGACAAATATATTGACACAAATTTACTGCAGACCATAAGGACCCATACAAATCTCAAACTACAGCCCCAATATAAGATCTAGCTGCCACGAGCCAATGCGCTTATTTCAAACACTGCTGTCAGCACCTTCCACACCAATACAAGAAAGTTGCACTTCATCTTCCTGAGGCAAGGGAGTTAACTGACTTTAAAAGTCCAGTTTCCACACTTGCCAATCTAGGCTGCAGTTATGGAGTTATATTTTAACAAGTCTATGCATAGTCAAAATCCTGTAATGAAATTGACATCCGGTTCATAACAACATGGCAACCACCGTGCCGAATTCTTTCGATTGCAGGATGTGCAGAACATGTGTACCGTCAATTGGACAACAGATGTTTTACAAATCTTTTCATGTTTTTAATCAAGGTGCTCAAGTGATTTGATGCACTTTGTGAGATTTTATTAATACAATAAAGATCTTTATTATCGATGAAATCATCTTGACTGGGCACCCTATGATATGAGAGTGGGAATCTGATTGGTCAGTAGTGGGGACATAGAAGGGACATAACTCATAATAGCAACTGGTAGTGCTACAATCAAGCCCAGAAATTCCAAGGGTGAAAACTGGACTTTTACAGTCAGCTAACTCCCTTGCCTCGGGAAAATGTCCAAAATGCTGCTATTTGCAGTTGTATACCTTAATACTGTTACACACACTACAACAAAATACTTACAATTGAGCACAAGTCCTAAAGATTCTTGGTAAGTTATTTACGTACCTCCCTTATATTAGTCCTTGTTGAGTTGACTTGATTCTAATGAGGCCAGATTTGTCAATATCATGACAGAAACATGGAAACTATGACTATATCTATACATAAGTAACAGCCTATATGTTCCATGGTACTTGTTGTCTACTTCAGTACTATCCAGCTGAGCATGTTTCTAGGCAGTGCTGCCTATTTCTTCCTGGCTCCACTTATCCATGTAGCCCGTAATATGAATGTATGAACTTGTGTCTTGTCTTAACATGCAGAAGGAATTGGTAAGTGTTGGTGTTGTAATGATAGATGGTGTACAGTGGGTGTTATTTCTTTGGTAGTGTAGATGTTATTCGTACTAGTGTCAATCATTACAATGCAGTAATGGGGTAGTGTTTTTGTGAAGTTTTGGGTATTATTCTATTTAGATATTATTTTGCATAAGAGTGCTTGGTATCTTGGTATTGGTGTGTATTTAGTTGTTTTTTAATCATTTAAGATGTATGTGGCATCCTTTTAAAAATGTGTAGTGAATACGTTACTGTATACAATTTGACCTTCGCAAGGTGCTTGCATTTCACTTGGAAGGGTGAGATGCTTGATAACTTAAAATCAATTCAAAATGTTTCAATAAATGAAAAATATATTCTGTCAAGCTCCTTTCCAGCACGTGACACCTTTGTTACACTCTCGATAACATTGCTGCCATCAGTGTGGGGGCGGCCATTACAAGAATCTTGAAATTTGCCCTCTAACCCCAAATGTAGTAAAGTTTATATTTTTGTTTATGTCTTTGGGAATGCCATCACAGTGAATTTTGAAAAGGTTTACGACTGAGGATATTTCCAAGATAAATTTAACTTGTTTGATCAGATTGGTTTGGGCTTGCAGACGAACTGAAAATCACCCAACCTCCCCCTTACATATTTATTATACCAATTACATGTTAGTTGAAATGAAATAGAAATTTAAATTGACAAAAAAGCAAATAATTTAGCTGGGGTATGAATATTCAGCGTCACAACAGTCATCACTTGTTTGTAAACATAACTGTCAATCGCGTGAGGGTTCAACTCCAAGCATGGTTGTTGCTACCAATCACAGTGGGGAGTTGTATATAAGGCTTTGACTGGAGGCAGCGATAGTATAGAGAGCTCCACGAAAGGGCTATTGCTGTGGGGAACTTGAAATTCAAGATAACACCATGTTTGCCCATGAACAGCTTAAAGCTCAAAGTTTGGCTCATTTCCATGCATAGCTTTTAAACTACTGACTATATCTGTCCCTATTGGGCAATGACAGGTGCAAGTTTATCATTAAGAATCTGTAACTTAATAAGTAATACATGGATTACGATTTTTTCGTGATTAAAATTTCAAAATAGAATTTTAGGATGATTACCTTTCAGTTTATCTTGTTGATTATAACTTTAATTTTTCTTGCTGACTGTACATGCTGTAAATTAGTATGATGATAATGAGGTATACTTTTAATTTATCCTGCATTACATATGGCACATTACTCTTACTATCGAAGACCTAACTGGAAATGAATGACGATCTATCAGTGTCTTCAGTAATTGCCCTCCTGGGCAGGCTCATCATCAGGCCACTACAACTGTTTCTGGCGCCTTATCTACAGAGCCAGCAAGATCGGACCTTGATCACGCTGCCCGACCACATACGCCAAATACTTCAATTGGTGGCTAACCCCATCGAACACTTTAGACAGTGTCTCCTTGTTGGGTTGGAACTGTTGGAACTGGAAGCCGTCATCTGGCAATACAGTATGGGCTCTTCAACCGACCAAAGCCAAGCTGCTGATTGCCACAGACAACGCAACGGTTGTCTGGTTCATCAGAAAACAGGGATCGACCCACTTAAGCTCCCTTCTGAACCAGACGTTCCACTTTTACCATCTAATAGACAGGATTCCATTAGAGGACAGAGCGGGACACATTCCTAGGTGAAGAAATGCCCTAGCCAATGCACTATTAAGGCCGGACTGCCCCTCCCCCACAGAATGGATGCCGCATGCAGAGTGCTTCTGTCTCCTGTTCCATCAATTGGGTCTGCCGAGTATCGACATGTTTTCCACAAGACACAACACTCAGTTGCTGATGTTCGTGTCTCCAATGCCAGACCCTCAGGCCTGGCCCGTAAATGTTCTAGCCATGGACTGGGAAGGTCTCAGCGCCTCTGCGTTTGCCCACCCAGCATTCCTACCCCAGGTGATCCAGAAGACCCTTTTCTTGATCCATTTGGGGCCACATTAGCAAGAACCTGGCAAGAACCTGGCAAGAACCTGGTTCCCGGACCTATTAGTATAACACATAGCTGAGCAGCCAGCTAAAAAACTCCCTGAGTGGTCCAATCTACTGCTGGACACTCACAGCCTGTGCCTCCATCTGTCCCCAAAACAGTTCCAACTTCACACCTAGGTCGTATGCAGAAGGCGCTAACCTCCTAGGGTTACTCAAGGAGAGCAGCCCCAGCAGTAGATCAGGCTCATAGACCGTCCATGTATGATGATCCTTTGAGATTTTTTGTCGGCAACAAGGTGTTTCCCCCACAGATGAAATGGCGCAATTCATGACAGAATATGTGCTCCACCTGAGAATGAGGAAACACCTTAACGGTGGTACTATAGCTGTGTACCTCTCCGCCATCAATACCGTCTGTAGTGTTGCTCAAGACCAGAAGCTATCTACGATACCGGAGTTGCAGGCTATCATAAGGAGTTTCAGGTTTGAGGAACAGAAGTTGAAGTTCTGTCCTCCCGCATGGGATTTGAATGTTGTCCTCAAACACCTCCAACAATGCTATGAGACACTTGACAAGGTCTCTTTTCAACACTTGACACAGAAGACCATCTTCCTACTAGCTCTAGCTATGGCAGTCAGGGTTAGGGAGTTCTATGCTCTAGATATCACTCTGGTTCAGTGGGAACGACACTCCATAAGGCTCTGTCCATCTTGGCCTGTGCTGGGATGTTTTTGCTAAAAACCAACAGCCTGGCCAACTGAATAGACGTTGTACCAACCCACCCCTCCATTCCATTATGGTGGTGGAGGATATATAGCCTACATAGAAGCAGCGAGGCCCAGGTTCCAGTCCATCATGCATGAAGACATGGATTGCATACATAGTTTTGAGCCATTGAGGTCATGTTGGGCCAAAGAGTTACTGAAGATGCTTGATAGATTGTCACTCTTGTCCAGTTAGGACTTTGATAGTCAGAACAATGTGCCATATGTAATGCAGGATAAGTATATTAAGTGAACATAAGACTCTGATTATGGAATACTTGCCAGTGTTTCCTTGAAATCATACTGAAAATGTACTCCGCAAACTCTACTTGTTGTATGATGAAGTCTTAGGCTTGGGCCAGATCATTAATGATACACAGTTGGAAGTGACAGCGTGTATTCTACTTTTAAAACACTACAAAGAATTGCAGTTATATTCTGAGAAATAAATAAATTAATAAGGCTTGTTAGGTACATTTACTATATTACCATTGTGTCTTCATTTTTCCAGGCAAATGAAGCACTAAAGGAAGTTGGACGACCAAAGACATCCCCCACAAAGGTTAAGGTCATCGCAGGAGGCAGCGCATCAAGGGAGCGAATCCCCATTACTCAGGAGGAGATGCTGATGATCCCTGAAGTGGACCAGCGAAGAGACTATGCTCACTTCGTGCTCCAGCAGAGAGTCGACAACATTGATTTGCGTCATAAGGATGAGGTCATGAAACTCTACCTGCCATACATCCAGTCATAACAAACTGGTAACTGTTTCATTGGTTAGGAAGAGGTCTTGAGACTCTACCTGCCGTACATTCAGTCCTAAGAAGCCCTTCACTGTTTCATTGAACTAGGCACCAGGATGAGGTCATGAAACTCTACCTGCCATACATCCAGTCATAACAAACTGGTAACTGTTTCATTGGTTAGGCACCAGGAAGAGGTCTTGAAACTCTACCTGCCTTACATTCAGTCCGAACAAGCCCTTCACTGTTTCATTGGACTAGGCACCAGGAAGAGTAAGGATAAGAATTTATGGATGAACAACTTCTTTATTACAATTCAGAGTGACATAGCGGTGTAGGTTCTAACACCGTTATCAAGCAAGTGAAGACATCACTTGCTTGATACCTACACCAAAATGTCACTCTTAATTGTAATAAAGAAGTTGTTCATCCATAAATTCTTATCCTTACTTAGCACTCCAACTTCTAAATGCTTATCAAAGAAGAACGAGGAAGAGGTCTTGAGACTCTACCTACCGTACATTCAGTCCTAAGAAGCCCTTCACTGTTTCATTGAACTAGGCACCAGGAAGAGGTCTTGAGACTCTACCTGCCGTACATTGCTCATTGGAATCATATTCAGCATGGGACATTGAGGATTTCCATTTGCTGAACTGATGCCACTAACCTATTTCCGGGCAGTCTATGCTGCATCAGTCTAGGTAAAGCAGGCTGGATCTGGACTTTGGTGAAATGAGTCATTTTCACTATGACCTCATAAGTTGCAGCAGTATCATGAGGGGTACCCATGGTTTTATCCATCCTGGGTTAGGTTTTGTACCACGAGCCTGAGACACATAAAACCACATGTACCCCTTGTGATACTGCTACAGCAAATATAGCTTACTGACATGTTTTAATCTGACATTGTCATCTTCCTGAGACAAGGGAGTTAACTGACTTTAAATGTCCAGTTTACCCCCTTGCCTAACTAGGCTGGAATCATGGAATTATGGAGGGGTACATGGGGCTTTATGCGTGGCGGGTGGTATAAAACCTAACGAGGGATGCATAAAACACATGTACCCCCCATGATACTGCTACAAGGAATTTATCTTACCGACATGTATGTATATGACACTGTAAAAGAATTGAAACAAATTCAAAATTGATCGTAAACAGGTGTTCGATTGAGCTGAGGTCAGCCTGTTATATCACGTGACTTTCATTGACTCGGGGGAAAAAAACCATGTTTTTTTGCTTCGAAGCTGGGTATAAGGGATTTATTGGCCTTTCAGAAATCCATGTGTGACCTGTCTTCTTCGTGGCGGGGTATGAGAGATTTATTCCACCTCTCAGAAACCCATGTGCAGCCTGTCCTCATCATGGCAAGGTATAAGGGATGTATTGTCCCGCTCAGCTATTTTCCCTCCCAGGCAGGATACATAGTATTTTATAAAGGTCACATGAACAAATCAGATCTCATCATTCTGACACGGATGTATAATAATGGGTTATCAATAACTGCTAGATAGATACAATTGCTGGGACCAGCAAGTAGCTTGAGCCTGGTCTCCATTCTGCCAATATAAAAACAACATCTGGTTCACCCTGATAGTTTGTACTTAATGAATTTTCCACTAAATCTGTAGGTCTGTAATTTGTCAGTAAGATCTGGGTAGTCCTATTGTGAAATTGTTCCACGCACTGTATGAAGCTGTTATGAAGTAATATGATCTGTTTTGTTTTGGATACCTTTGTATTTTTTTCTGGTAACTTTCGTCATAAAAAGCATAATTTTAATCATAAACCTGATGTCAATATACAAATTTATTATTTATTTATTTTAATTTTGGAAATAAACTTGCTTACTCAGGTAATTACTTATTAATATATATATACAACTGATCAATATTTATAATTGGAATCATAAACCATTATATTAAGTGTCATATTTAATAAAAGCTCTGTTGTAATACTTTTACTTCAAAGGTTTATTAAGTTTGACATTTTTAAAAAGTGTTTTTTTATTATTTTATCTTCTTGGTATAAGAGTACCCAAAAAATTGAATGAAGAACTCAACTGCAATAATTATTACCATGGTTATTCAATAATTCTGACAACTGACAACAAAAATGTATACATCCTTAAAGTTTTGTGTTCTTGATTGAGTTAAATTGTCAAAAAATCACTAGCGTTTCTAAATCATGATGGCCAGTAGTTAACTCCCCTGATTCAGTTTAAGATCTGACATTGTGTGCATGCTCTATATTTAATCTGGTACAAGGCCAGATAAACATGTCTGGGTCAAGCTGAATGTGTACATTATCTGATAAAACAACTACAGCGTCATCATGTATTCCGATCTGCAATGTGTAATGCAGTTTATTCATCCAGTGTGCTAGCCATAGTGAGTTGAGTATTTGGGTAATCATGGGTAATGGGGTCACGTATCAATCGTGATGCTTGTACTGGAGTCATGATACCATGTATATAGAGAAACCTATGATCGTGGGTTCGAAAGCCTAGTTTGCCCTCATTACGTTTCTAGGTTTGTCAGCACCATACTCATGCTTGTAATTGTAAACGTCTAACACCTGCATCACCTCGGGCTTTGCTCCCGCAATAAGCTGACACGCCATGATATAACTGGAATATTGTTAAAAGCGGCGCTAAACCAAACTCACTCACTTACTCACTCACTCACTAATGTCAAACGTGATAAACTGCAATATTCATATACAATATGTATCAAACAAAAGTAGTTGTTTTTGAGCATATTCAATGAGAAATAAAATATGTATCAAATGTAGACATTTTCTAGATTTACTGAACTAGTAAATTTCACAATGCAGTGTTGCTTTATCAGTGACATAGAAATTAGGTCAGTCTCATTAAAACCGATCTGTTACTCCTGTACGATAACTCTCCATGTGAAGACCTGACAACACCTCCTCTGTAGTCAGATCTTCATGGAGTAAAAGAACTGATTTTAACGGGATTGTGATCATGTTGTCAGACAAAATGTCAGACCTGAAGGGCTTAAAGGCTTTGTCAGGCCACTGTGTCTTAGTCAGATACCTATATGGATCAGTCAATGAATAAGATGGCTACATATGGCCAGACTTACTGTTCTTTATCAGGAGATAGTGTTGCTGAATATACATAAACTGTTATGGTTCTATGGGTTTTAGCGTATCTGTGATAAATTTGCTGTGATTTTTTTATTGTTTTGTATACACTGAAGTTTGTTAGAATGGATATTTATATAACCAGCATTATTTATTTAAGCTTGTTTCATAGCTGAATTTTGTAAATACCTTACTTTGAATAAAATAATTGGTATTGCAATGTTGTCTTGTTTTGAATAACAGAAATCATCATTTGAATTTTCCTAAGTCTTGCAAGAACCAGCACCTCAGAACACAGGAACTCGATGATAGCGTGTATAGAGTCTCTATGTATATAGAGGGGTGTGATTTAATTTTCTATACGAATATATTGTGTTATACATGCTATCATCGAGTTCCTGTGCCTCAGAATTGGCCTTAGGGCATGGATGGCCCAGAGACTAAGGCAGCACAAGTTGCTATGCAGAGTTGCATCCCTTAGCCTGTCAGAATCTGCTGGTCGTGTGTTTGACTCTGTGATTTACACCTATTGGGACACTTGGTCAGCAGAACATCTACAATCAGTGTCCCTCATCCTCAATTATCCAGCATATCATATCTCCATTCCATTATGATAAATACCCAGACCCATTCACCCCCAAATCTTCATTTTGAGTCCAGTTTGAATGACCATGATGACATGACACAAACAATAGTCATCCAATCAAATTACATGATACAGGTTACAGGAACTCTGTATAGGGAAAGTGAAAATATCACTCATACTCAACACATGTAGAACTCAAATACAACTTGGAATGCCTGGTAGCATACAGACTTCCCGCCTGGCTTAATACTCAAGAAGTCTTCTGAGTGTAGTAAAACTATATATTTGAAATATATCAAGGGATCTTGACTGAGGCTACTATTTTGAATGTAGATCTACGCCAAACTCTTGTTAAAAGAGTCATTTGATTGGTTGTTGAGGTCAAGCTCTTCAGTGACTGAAATTCTAAGCCAGGTTCGCAAGACAGGAGATGGATGTGATGACACAGTGACCATATACTGATGGTCTCTGTATGACATCCCTTCCACAACGAAGTATTGGTGGTGAATAGGTCCTGGGTAGGTACTGGCATAGCAGAATGGAATGGAACTATAAGACCCTGGATTATCGAGGATGGCGTCACTTTGGACTACCTTGACCTGTGGTTAGTCACGTCACTTTGGACTACCTTGACCTGTGGTTAGTCACATGATAATATTGTTTAATGGCAAACATTATCTAGACCTCAATGGTTGCATAAGTGACAAATGGTCACATGTCTTTGTGACTATGCACACATTCCATCTGACTTTATATGTTTGCATACTAAGTCAACTTCAGTGTATGCATGACCAGATCGGTTTATACATGTATCTAAACACGTTTTGACAGGAGTACGTTTCCCCAACGACATTTTGCACCTATCTCTTGAGACCAACAGCAAGTACCCGGGTAGGGTCGGGTACGTAATGGGGGGTTTGGTACCTGGGTAGAAAATTTGGACTCGTCCCACCCCAACCTAGGGTTACCTGATCCCTTATCTATATATCCTTTCTTATCAGCTGTTCTGTCATTAATCGTAAGAATAACATTTAGTCCCAGAAATTATCCTCTCATTTAATGCTGTAAATAACGGCGAGTTGTGCGATCTACCGATCACTTCACACACGATTTCGCTTAAATTACTGAAAACAATATTAAACGAAATTTTGAATACAATGAATAAAACATATTACAAACACAAGTCCAGATACACAATGAACACGTTTTAATAACCAGATAGTATAATTATGGTATTGAATTGAGTACTTCAGTTCGGATTTGTTGACGTATTTCCGGTGTTATGTGCTTGCGGTGATCAGCTGATAATGTTTTTTGAGATGGGGAAAAAACATCTGTCAGTGTAAAACCTGAGCTTATTAAAAATGTAAGTAAGTTTTGGGAGCCATGCGTTACTGGGCGCTATGACCAAGTTAGCGGTTTATTGGAGGACACAATAGCGAGGAAACACTGTACTTGAGATTTGCGTTCCGTATCGTGGCGTATCGATAAATGGGCCCACCTTTATGGTATATCGTGTCGTGGGTCAAGTATCGCGATGCATCGGAATATCGGTGTTTTCGTTTCACCCTTAGTAATAGCCACTGTGGTGGAGCTACGATCGAGCCTTGAAATTTCAGCCTAGTTCGGCAAGGGTGGGAACTGGACTTTCATAGTCAGTTCAAGCCTTTGCCTCGGGAAGATGCACACTACCTTCAGTGTGTAATTAGGTAATTGGTTCCTATTATAATGATCTAAAATTGAGTTAAAATCAAACATAATGTTAGAACAACGTGAATAAATCTTTCTAGGGCTGGCAGTATGCCAGATCCTTAGTTGTCTGCATAGACTTCCATAGAAAAAATGTTAAATTTCTCAAAAGGTTGAGAAAACCATTAATCAAAGCATCTAATATTGCCCCGCCACTAAAAATCTTTTTTTTATTTTAGCACTTTTAAGGAATCAGTTTTCCAATTTCAATCTTGTTTTTTGCACCAGATTTCATCCTTTTGCAAATGCCATGTCATTAATAGATTTACAGGGTTGATCTGTGTCTTCTCACAAAAGAAGATACGTGGTTGATTCGAATCAATTTTTAAGTTACCTATATAGACTTTTATTTTAACATACTGGCGAAATAAAAACATTCCTCCCCGTCCTGTCTTTTACCATAATTCTTGACAAAGAAAATTATTTTGTTACTGTATTGATATGAACACACGTATAATTAGACAAATTGCCCAAGAGCAAGAAATTAAGGCGCTGGAATACTGTATGTGTTGATATAAACTGTTGATAATGTAGATTACTCCCTGTGACATCAAAGCTTTGGAGCCTATCATGTCATCGTGTCTATAGTGCCCTTATTGTTACAGTAGCATACATCAAAAATGAAATGTAGAACTTCACGCACGCACACGCACACATTTTGTGTTGGAAACCAACAGCTTCAAGGGCTCTAGGGTAGTTAAAACTTTAAAAAATAACAAAAGAAATGTGAAAATATATATTTACCTACTGTGAGTTTTCCGGGTTCGTAGGTCACCGGCAACCGATTCTGGTCGTAAATGGTGCCTTAAATTAGGGTAGCCAGGCTTGGTGAACTGGCTGAACGTGTGTCGTACTATGACTGCGTGGATCTTTTCTCACAGTATCAATCACTTGACTGTCTGGTCCAGACTCCATTGTTGAGAGCGGAGTTTAAATTTCTGATTCTTTTAAGAGTAAGGTTAGAATCTATATAAGAAAGAAAAAATATTTAAAAAGACTGAAGTCAATTAAGTCAAAGAAAGGCTGTACCATATTTTTCATCACACATGCATGCATGTGAATTTGTATGTTTTACTTACTTTTTCTTTTAATGAGAAACTGATATATTTAATTTGAATAATCTCATGGAAATGGTCACACAAATTATTGTATCCGCCAAAACAATATAGATCTACTTTGTTTGCCATTTAATAATTAATTTAAAAAAAAGGTTAACCATATAGGCCTATGTTTAAAATGTGTTTTGAGTAGCTACGTGTGCTGAAATACATAGTATATCTATAAATGCTTGTAATCTGTTGTGATCAAACAAGCCGTCTAACTGTCACAAGCAGACGATAAATTTCGCGCACCTGCTGATTGGAGTTACCCCCCTTTGCTTAGATACGCTTTGATCCACTTCCGGGAAAAACAAACTTGTCCCAGATGCGATTTGCTACTAGCGGTTGATTATAAACATTGTCAGGCTATTGTTTCAACAAGGAAGCTGAATCAACCATGCCGGATCACGCATGATAATCACGGAAGCCTGAACGCAAATCACGATTGACCTTGTGCTTGCACACGTGTGTCGACTTGGGCAACTTTGGACTTTGGATAGCTTGATGCAGGCGTCACGCTCGGCCGAGTTCTCGTTTGCTCGGAAGCTCAGTTCGGTTGTTCGTGGTCTTACAGGCAGCATGTTGCGGAAATTGGCAGCGTTCCTTGCGCTAGGTGTAACATTGTCTTGTTACGTCGGGTTTAGCTGCTGCTTGACCACTGTCATCGTGTTTTTAGTTTATTTATTGACAGGGGGACACAGATTTGCTTTGGTGGTTTGCAGGACCATTCGTCGAGATCTGAAGTAAGTTGAAAACTTTTCTCTTATTGTAATTTATATCCACATACTTCTTGTAAAGAAAACTAGACTCATTATCACGTGGTTACTTTTGTCTTTTTGCATGGGCTCTACTTGACCTATTCAGAGTAGATAATTGTCTTTTTGAATTCATATGTTTGAAATATTTGGCTCAATATTTCCATAGCCTATAAAGTATAGCAAAGACGTATATAGATTGTATACGTCTTTGATTATAGGCTATAGAAATATTTAGCAAAATATTTAATAATTGTATAGGCCTGCATCATTTTGAAACTTAGGCCTACTTCCCGTTATCAAAGTATGTTAACATGGTTAAGTCAACTATTTTGTGCCATTACAGCGGTAGAAACAAACATTTTTAGTCCACTGGTCCTTATAATGATAGCATATAGCAAAAGGTGTAGAAATGGCAAATTTTGACTAGTCCTTATGATGCCTTAACTATTGGGCACTTTGGCAAGGACTACAGGACTAGTGCCAATTTCTAACACTGCATTATAAGCTTACTCTTTTATATAACCAAAGCTGAATTCATATTAAGAACAATATCAGACATAGATCTAGTTTAATTTGATGATATCAGTTAATATCACATTGAGTTAAAATTTAGCTTCACATTGGCAATATTTATGCCATATAGCATGTGTGGGGACAGGTAAAAATAAGACATCATCTATTGTGCTTACTAAGTGAATTTCAACATATTCAGTGTCATTTTCTTTCAGTATGAAAGAATGTTTTGTATGCCATTCGGTCAAAAAATGCAAAGTTGAATTAAAGGATTAAAGTTCGCAATAACAGGCAAATATTACGAATAAAGAATGAATGTTACAAATAAAGGTCATTGTTTACATACAAATAATGAATTCAAAATACAAAACGATACCAATGAACAACTTGCAAATAAAAGATGTCATATGTTTGGTCTCTTTAAAAGACAGATGTCTAAACAGATTTCCTGTCTCATGTTTCAATAACAAGACACAGCTAAGCATGCTAAAGTGATCATGTATGTTCAATGGATATGATGTATTAATTAACTGATAATTGGTATCAATTTGTAAGCATGGAAAGTATCTGGGTCTTTGATTTCAGTTCATAAGTTGGGTGTGCAGACCTGCATCTGATATCCTGCTGAGATATGTAATTACACATGTGTTCCTGCACGGCAGCACAGTTCAGTACTACCAACCTGGGGTTAGGGTGAAACAATTTAATACATCCCTGCATGTTCAATTTTCATGCGACGATACGATACAAGATACAAGATGATACACTTGCCGAAATAAATATTCCAGCTATATGACTGCAGTCTGTAAATAATTGAGTCTGGATCAGACAATCCAGTGATGGACATGATGAGCATCAATCCACGCAATTGGGATATGGACCAGACAATCCCATAATTGACATCAATCCTAGCAACAGGGATGCCACGACATGCATCAACCAAGTCAGCGAGTCTGACCACCCGATCCCACTGGTCGCCTCTTACAACAAGCATAGTCGCCTTTTATGGCAAGCATGGCTTGCTGAAGACCTGTTCTACCCAAGATCTTAACCGATAACCATGATCCCTCGGAACTACTGACCTATCTGTGAGAGAAGTATCCCTTCATCACTTACCTCCAATATTATTCCTTTTATCAAAAGTGAACTCTAAATGAGTACCATATTCATTACCTATTTCTCCCAGTGTTGTTTTGCTGAGGTGGCATTTTAGCTATAACCATACTTGTTACAATACTATTGTGATACTAATATTGCAATAACAGATTAACTTTCCCTTCAGATAAGTTTGACTTCGGCCACTTCACCATGTTCACACCAAAAGACGATTAAAGATGGTATTTGTTGTTACCCTGCCTGGTGCTCGATATTAGCCGAGTCAGTATACTTTGTCTGAATGGGGTATTCATGTTATCTCAGTGGGCTATCTCTGTAAAATCAGCATTAGTCCGGACAAGTCCAAGCAGCCACACACACATGTAAGTGGCTATATAAGTTCAGTAGTCTTGGACGCGACATTAAACCCCATTTCACCGCACCTCATGCTCCAATGAACTCGCACAAAGTGCATCAAAGTCAGTTCTTATAATATATTAATTTCCTGTTTGGTACCTTAAGAGTGTATGCACAATTTCATTTGGTAAATGAGACCTCACATTTACACTGACAGCCATATACAAACCAACTGTATCACAGAAAGAAATATGTTGTCAAAACAAGAAATGGCATCAGCGTAACCTACATCACGTGTATATACCGTCTGTGCCAAAAAAACTTTTGCAGTGTTAGAAATTGGCTCTAGTTTTGTAGGCTGGAATTCCCAGGCTCGGTCATAGCACCACTCAGTGTCCGAAATAACCGCCTGCCTGCTTGTGCCTGGCAACTTTTCTGTCGGGCTGCATGAAATTTTTCTCCACCTGTCTGGCAGATAATTTTAAGACTACACCCATATTCAGTTTTATTCAGATTTTTTATAGTCATTATCTGGACTGTCTGTCTGTCCGTATTTCATTTCCGGAGCATAACTTGAAAACTTTCATAACTTGAAAACTGTGAAAGATTTTCATCCAAACTTGGTACATGTATATATCACAGAGCATTTGAGTTTTTACTCTAGGGTTTCGATTTTAATTGGGTTATTACATTTTTCATTGGGTAACTAATATGTTTTCATTCATCTTTTCATCGCTCTATTGGGTTTTTCCTAAGATTAGTGAACATTTTAAGATTTAGAAAAATTGAAGTAATGTTTTAGATGTATATAACTGTTCAAAATATATAAGCTTGACTTGGAAAGTAATTAACTCGTAATTGTGCTTTGGAAATTAGCTCCTTTGTACACATGCTTAAAAAGCTTCATTGGGTATTTACTCGTGCTGTTTTTATACATTTGAGGTTTTCATTTAATGCATGCATTTCTGTACGCAAGTTAATTGACAGTAATTGGGTTTTGAATATTTTTTTGGGGTGTTTTATGCAAATACACTGCTTATCTGTAGCTCTGTAACCAGGGGCTGAAGTGGTGCCTTTTGCTATTGTGGGGCGCTGGGCAGATTTGTCATCTTCTGATGTCTCTTGTAATTCTCTAGTAGTTGTTTGCATTATTTCAACCAAATCAAGGCATGATTTGTCTCATTTATTTTGTGATTTTTATCCCCCGCCACAAAGTGGAAGGGCGATACAGGAATGGGTGATGTCCGCCTGTCCATCCGTCACGTTTCGTTTCTGGAGCAGAACTAAAAAAACCATAAAAGATATCTTAACCTTACTTGGCACATACATAGGTCTAGAGGTGAACTGGTGCCTTTTGATAGTTTGTGATATTTTGAAAAAAATATTTTTCAAGTTGCCATGGCAACGACTTTGAGCCTGAAAATGGTGGTAGTGCGCGTGTCCGGAGCAGATCTTGAAAACCGTACAATATTTCTCGCTTTGCACACAACCAGACATGTCATATTGGCGGGGTATATTTCATACTTGTTCCATATGTATAATATCTGAATGTGGGCAGGTAACTTTGAAGATGGGCAGCCAACATTTATGGCTCACCTGTCCCTTCTACGTCCCTCCTATTGATCAATCAGATTCCATCTCTCATATCACTGGCATTTGCTTTAAAAACATGGCAGTACCCAGCCTAGACGATCTGATCAATAATCAAGATCTATATAGTAATAAAACGGGTCTTACCTTGCAAAGGCCATCAAATCACTTGAGCACCTTGGTGAAAAACATGAAAAATATCTGTCGAGGCTCAGTTGGCCGAACACGTGTTTTGCAAATCCTGCAGTCAACTGAAATCTGTTGTTTACGAACCGGATGTCTATGCATAGGACTCTGAAATTACAGTCTAGTTTGGCAAGGGTGGAAAATTGACTTTTTTTAGTCAGTTGACTCACTTGCCTTCGGGAAGATGATACCGGATAAGATTTACTGTCCCGAATTTACTGTTAATCCGAACCACTGTCTAAACCAGATTAAACTTACGGTCCCACGCCTGTCCGATTTGATGAATTTGAAAGTGAAACATATTACATTTTTTATATTAAATAAGTAATGTAATATATTGATCATGTTGATGCCGAGTTTGCAATAGATCATGGCAGTGGTACGAGATGTGGAATAACAGCTATGCATGGTACCATCACCTTCCTTGCCCTCTACCGCAGGTCAGTGGGGGTCACTGGGTGGTCACTGGTCAGTGTAATTAGGCATGGAGTTGTTGTGTAACATCATAATATAGCCTGCAGACACCCCAGGGGGGGCTGGATTAGTGAAATCTTACCGTGACCTTGACAGAATGTAAGTCACAGCAGGGCTTGCTCCAGCTCAAGTACCTGCTGTGTTCTTAATGTTTGAGCCCTGTTTTTGTCAGTGCTGAAGCAATTTTATTATCCCCCACAATAAAAAATAGGAGGGGGGTTACCCGGGTATATGGAATGGGTGCCACTGTTTGTCTGTCTGTCACGTTTCATTTCCGGAGCATAACTCAGAAACTTTTTAATATTTTATTTTGAAACTTTGCATATGTATCAAACACATGCTGAACTGGTGCCTTTTTCTGTTTCCTTGGCAACAAGTTGGACCTAACCCAAATACAAGTTACTATCATTACCAGGGCGTAACTTAAGAACCAGTTGGGAAGCAGTGTTCATTCCGAGATCATATATCCATAATTTTATTTATATTAATGATAGCGTTGTTTTCTTTTTAATCAGTCTAATTCTAAATAATTTTGAATAGACTTTGTGCACCTTCCTCTAAGAGTGTGGATTGGAAGCTCGGATGGAATCATGGGACTAGGGCTGTTACAATTCTAGTGGTGTAACGATACGGCGATACAGTATTGTATCCCGATGCACAGCCCACGATACGATGCATCGATTTGGAAAGCATGTATCGCGATACATACGATATTTTCATAACACAGTTTTACCTACCGTATTTTCTTGAGTATAGTGCGCACTTTTTTCCAAAAAAACACAGCTGTGTAGAAGGGGTTGCGCATTATACACGAATTAATGAGTTTTGATGTTTTTTACCCCATGGAAAGACATTTCCATGAGCACGTAACACCGGAAATACCATGTCAACAAATCCATACTGAAGTTCGCAAATTATTCATGTACTTACACTGGCTATAGAAAAAGTGTTCTTTGTATATCTGGACTCATGTTTGTAACTTATTTCATTAATTTTATTCAAAATTCCTTTTAATATTGTTTTAATTAATTTCGGCGAAATCGTGTGTGAAGCGATCGGAAGATCGGACAACTCACCGTTATTAACAGAAACCACGGTCAGATTACCGCTATTGACGCCTTGAAAGGAATTTTAGTTGACAGAGAATGGATACATATATCATAAATGCCATACTTTGATTCATTAAAAGTCAGATTTGTTTTTGTTGGAAGATTCTATGTCAACACGTAATTCTCACGATCACGTGCACGGGAGCCTTGACGGTGACTGGTCAGAGTGGTTCCATGTAAAAAATAATACCCGGCAATAGCAATCAGCTGCTTCGCTTAGGGTTATTATTATTTTAAATATGTTTAGTAAAAGCTGCATCTAAATTAACAATATATTGGAATATATTATTCCTGATAAAAAACTAGTTTCAGATACAACTTTTGCCGATCCTTGCATTGAAATACTGTGAAGTTATATCATTGGGTGTGTCTTGACCGAATCACCGGTAGATTCCAAGAAAACGTGTGTACATGTACAGCTGATTGCTGTGTCTGGCTTAGTTTACGAGAAAATACACAAGGTAATCTTAATCCCTGGATATAAAACAATGCCTAGCTGGACAAAAAATACAATTTAAACGGTAAATCAACATGTCTGGTGATTTTTTATCTCAAATTTCGAATTTGTACTGACGAAGTTTCTCATCACCCGTTCGTTTGCCGGACTTCGCTGAAGGGGTACGGTGTAATTTTTTTCTGCGCATAATATTCAAATTTCTTTTTTTCCAAAATATTGAACCCGCTAGAGGGGCGTGCGCATTATACATTGGTGCGCACTATACTAAAGAAAATACATGAAATACATGGGCGGATACAGCTTTTTTGAAAAGGGGGGCATGCATAATTAAGATCTATTTATTGTATTTGGTGATATTCGCGACCCCCTGTATCGCGATACGTATCGTATCGCGACCCTCCCGTATCGTTACACCTCTATTGAGCACATTTAGAAGTATATAGAATGTATAATAAATAAATAATTAACTAACTATACTGAACCACAAAAGAAACGTCAGCCGAAGTAACATCATGAAAAGTTGTAAATTAAAATATCTGGGTAATTTTTGTCAGTTTCTGAAATTTAACAATACCTGTTCTGGAAAAAAAGAATTTGATGATAAAAAAACAAAGCAGATGACAATAAAACTGATCGCCCAAACGCATCACGGCAACGGCCATGGTAACCCTATGTTCCGTGCAAATTGAAATGCACATGCGTTCCCCCATTTCTTGCCCTATAAAAATCCACCCAGATCGGATAACATTCATTCGTTATTGAATTGCTACCACATGCCAAGATTGACAAGAAATCAGCGACTCCAAGCCCTTGGACAATTGCAAGCTGGACAAACCGCCCGGCAAGTAGCCAATGCATTTCAAGTCCACGTAAGGACCATATACAGGCTCCAGGAACGGTACCAGACCACTAACACTACAGATGACCGACCACGTAGTGGAAGACCAAGGGTCACCACCTGACGTCATTGTCAGATTGTGTGACAGCATCCTCATGATCGCTTTGTTACTGCTGCAGAAACTGCTCAACAGACCATGGAAACACACCAGCGACACATAGTATGGACACCGTGTGTCGTCGTTTGACGAGCAGACACCTCCATTGTCACAGGCCACACCGAGGACCCATTCTGATGCCGGGACTGTCTTCAGTGGGCAACACAACACCAGCACTAGCACCACCAGTAGTGGAGAAGAGTTATCTTCTCAGATGAGAGTCGTTACTGTATCTCAACAGCAGATGGCAGAGAGAGATGCTTGTGTTGTTGAGATGGACTTGTGGGGTGGTCCGAACATCATGGTGTGGGGTGGAATTGGTCTTGCACAGAGGGTCGGCCCTGTGGTCTTCCAGAACATCGGTCCAGGGAGAGGCAATGGTGTCACAGCAGCTCGGTACATTGATAAAGTCTTGAGACCACACACCATACCTCATTTGGCACATCGCCGCAACCACGAGTTTCAGCATCATAATGCCTGTGCCCACACCGCGAGAGCAACAAGAGACTTCCTCCAGCAGAATGGCATCAGAACCATGCAGTGGCCCGCCCTCAGCCCCGATTTAAATCCCATTGAGCACATGTGGGACGAGATTCAAAGACATCTGAATGACATCCGACCAAGGCCGACAACTGCAGCTGAACTGCATCAGGCGTTCCTCAGAGTGTGGGCTCAAGTGCCTATGGCCTTCATCAACCGCCTCATCTATTCCATGTATCGACGTTGCACTGCAGTCATCAATGCACATGGCGGACACACGAGATACTGACTTGTGATGCCATTTTCTCAGGGAATAGTGTTGTGTTTCACTTTAAGAACATTCAACACTTTAATTTTAACCTTGATGATCAGTTTTGCTAAGGTTCATCTTTTTAATATGTCTCAAAGTATGTTGACAGTGTCTGGACAAATAAGGTTTCTCATATATCTATCCATGGTGATGTTTCATTTGCAGTTCAGTATATGTCAAATAATTTATGTTGTTATTCTTTCACTGAATATGATAAATAATACATCAACTGCTGACTTGTTACTGTAATCGTGAATAAATATTCGTATTCGTTACCCTATATTCATGACATTAGTCGTATTCACCTCATAGTGTATTCGTTGCACCCCTAGATAGGACTCCACCCAAAAAAGTACTAAAATTTTTACATATTGCATATGTTTTAAATAACTTGTTGGGATATTATCTGTTGAATTAAACTCTGTAGTTAGACATGAATAAGAAGTAAAATAGGATGCCTCATGTACAGGATAGTTCCAGCTATATGACATTAAGTCACCTCCTCCATATAACAAGCATAGGTTGGTGTTCCATTTTCAGATTAAGAATTTGATGATAAGAGCTGTGATGTATGGACTGTAGATCACCTAAAACTGTTAACCCAGATTTGTTATCCAACATGAATGTATTTAACTGCTTCCAGTTTTGAAAAGCTGGAAATGTTTCAATCATAACCATGGTAACCAGGCTGCAATGGTATGAATCTAGTTCCCGGACATTGTGATATAATCAGATTAAAGGGAGTAATATTTGCAGCCTTGCATGATATATTTATATGTTGAGAGTGTAACAGGTTTACAGAATAACAACCAAGCTATAACCTGGATAAGAAATAACAGATTTACTGTATTCATCTGAGTTAATGGTGTAATATGTAAGCCTTCTGTAAGGGCACTTACACTTTTCGTTCATGGAGACCAACGTCACAAGATGGTAAGAATTATATAACATGTTAAATGTTTGTTTCTATGCCATCTGTAGTATCAGGAAAAGGACCATTGTTAAAGCAGTTTCTTTCTGCTCATAGCCAAAATATATATTTATTTTGAAATTACGAAGGCTTGCGCCCACAATTTTGAAAAATTGACTGCAATGCAGTTGTTTGGGATATTTCTTTGAGCAAAGAGTTTTTGTCAAGCAATAAACTCAAACATGGTTGATGCTGTTTCTGTTTATCATGTTTATGACTGACTGATATTTGTTCTAATACTAGAAACCATGGTAACAGTTTAGCTGTGTTAGCTAGAGTAAGTTTTAGTGTTGACCTTTGTTGCTGATGCTGTCCCATGCAGTGATCATTGAAGCCATCAGCAATATCCCACATGCCATGCTGTCCCATGCAGTGATCATTGAAGCCATCAGCAATATCCCACATCATGCACATGCCATGTTGCCATATGCTACTATTCTGCCAATTACCATGTTTTCTGATATGTCATCCCGATCAGTGTGAAATCTGATAAGAAGCAGGAAAGATGTATGTGCAGCCTGTGCAATGGTGTATGTTCAGTGTGTTGTCATGTATTAACTGTTTTTCTCACCTGACTGAAAGTCAAATGAGCTTATGTCATGGCAGCTAGGATGTCTGTCCATTGCTGACTTTTACATTTTTGACATCTCCTCTGAAACTACAAGGCCTGTCAGCCTATGGAGCTAAAACGGTGTTAATGATCCCAGCCTGGGGCTCCATAAACAGGTCTGACAGAGTAGCAAGCCAACTTGAAACATGGCTGCTACGTCAGCCATATTTAGAAACCCATTAACTGCTATTATGGACATGATGGGGCCAAACATTTTGTTCCATTTTTTGCAATATTATGAACTTGAACCTTGCTTGGACCATTAAACAACAAACAAGCAAACTAGCTCCTGATTAAATTATGCTTGAAATTTGGCTGTGTTTGGTGTGATGTTCCAAACCCTATGCTCCTTGTGGCTAGAGTTATTAAGAGATAGCCAGAGGCCATGGAGAACAGAGTTAGGTTCCCCTGCCTATCTGCCAAACTATGAATCGTATAGCATTCGGAGGATCTTACAGAGTCTTGAGTTGAAGGAGTTGTTCCTTCATAACACTACAGTACCTAACCATATGAGAAGCTGGTCAATTTTATGGGCTCACATGAAAGGTGAAGAGAAAAACAACATTTATTTTCACATAAAGCTAATGAAATAAAAGTAATTGTTTTGCTGGCATAGACATCCGTGCATCACTTTAGATCCTGCATGTCAGTCATTTTCATTGCCAATCCAAGAAATATTGATCAAATTTCCCACAATTCTGTTTTTCACAATGTGGTTTTCGTGCATTCAGATGGAGCTTTCCTTATATTCCAGAGGCCTGTTTGTGCTCATGAAATTAACCTTAGGTGTGAGGTATTATCTCAGGAAGAATGCAACTGTTCCAGCTCTATTCCAAAACAATGTCAAGAAGCATCCCAACAGAGCTTGTTTCATTTATGAAGACAAGACTTGGACGTTCAAGGATGTGGAAAAATATTCCAATTCAGTGGCAAACTTTTTTCACGAGGCAGGATACCAAAAAGGAGATGTTGTGTCAATCTTCATGGAAAGCCGTCCTGAGTATGTGTGTTTCTGGCTGGGCCTGTCAAAGATTGGCGTTGTTGGGGCGCTCATAAACTTCAATCAAAGAGACAAGGCTTTTGCCCACAGTTTGAATGTGTCACAGTCCAAAGGACTGATATTTGGAGGGGAACTATCACAAGGTAAGGAGATGATGATGCTGTTAACATGATATTGGAAGATAAAGCTGTCTCGATTCTACAAATCTACAAATGAGTGAGGAAAGCATTTTGAGTAGCATATTTGACTTCTGTATATCGAAAAGAAATGGGCAGTTCCAAATGGAAAAGAAGAAAAACAGTGCCATGGTTTAGATATTTGCTATTGTTTCAGTCACATCCTATCAATGACATCAGAATTAAATGTGGTTTCATTTCCGTCAAGTAAAACTGCCTGTACAATGCTTCCCTTGCTAGCAAGTTTGAGAATGAACACAAATAGGTTTTAGAAAGCTGACACATCATTGGCTCATGAACCCAGGCATCCTTCAAAGTTTGCTCAGGGTTCGCCTGACACGACCTCACATTGGAGGGGTCATCTGTTCTTGGCAGAGAGTATTTGAGATCTGATTTTCTGAGTTAAATGTTAGGTATGTGATTTTGTGGACATATCTCATGATGAGGTCTCTGCTGTAGGTGTGTCCTTGTTTCTTTTGCAGCGGTGAAGGATGTACTCCCACTGCTGGAGAATAACCTGTCTTTGTACAGCAGCGGTAGCCTAGCAACCAATGACATCACACCCATCAACCTTGATCAGATGCTTCAGAAAAGTCCAACATATCCTCCCCACTATACCCAGGGGTCTTTTAGAGGTGGGTGTTTAGTTTAGTTGTTTGGTTGTGTAACACCACACTCAGCAATATTCCAGCTGACAGCGGTCTGTAAAAAATCATGCCTGGACCAGACAATCCAGTGATTGACAAAATGAGCATCGATCTAAGCATTTGGGATACGATGACATGCATCAACCAAGTCAGCGAGCCTGACCACCCAATCGCGTAAGCCGCCTCTTACGACAAGCATAGTCGCCTTTTACGGCAAGCATGGGTTGCTTAAGACCTATTCTACCCCGGATCTTCGTGGGTCGATTGTTTGTAGTAGGGTGGGTGGGAATGAAAATGAGATGATTAAATTGGATTTATCATGGCCAAAGCCGAGTGCCAATAAGGACCCCCAGGGACCACAAGGTATTTTTTCGTAAACAATAAGTACCTCGAGGTAAGCAAGTGATTTGTGTTAACAAAGTTTCACTGTACGTTTTCAGATAAGTTATTCTACGTGTACACCTCCGGAACCACCGGCCTACCAAAGGCTGCCATTGTCACCCACACCAGGTGAGCTGCACTTTACCATCATGTCACAACTGTCCAGTAGGGACCTTCTTTATCCTTGCATTTCATTCATGGGAAAGGGAGTATGTCCCACTTGTCTAAGGCCCAGAGATTCATTGTTTAGAGTTGCCAGAATCCGATGATTGTGGGTTTGAATTCAAGGCTTGCTTTGATTATAAATCTTGGTTTGTCAGCACAGTATCCATGCTCGTGGGTAAACGTCTCATGTGTACATCACTAGGGGCTTTCCTCCCACATTTAACTGACATGCCCCAATACACCGCACTCACTCATCATCATGCGTGGAGAAATGTCCGACCAATGCGTAAAATGCCACCTTCAATATGGCTGTGATGGTTTGCTAGCCTAAACTTGGTTTACAGGCCACCATGGTATAGTCAGAACATTGCTGACTGTAGTGTCAAACAACATTCAGTCACCCGGATTTAAGATCAGTTCATGTTTTGGGGGGCATTCACTAGGGGTGACTATTGGTCAGGAAATCACTATTGCGATAACTATTGATATTGAAGGAAATTATTGCGATAACTATTGATATAGTTTTCAGTGTATCATTTTAGATGGATTTTAGAGTTGAATTAAACCTTGGAACTCAAGTTTCCTTTGAATGTGATAATCATAGCAACAAATAAAATGTAAAGTTGGAGATATGACTGATTTGTTTTTTCTTTACCCTAATAATTTAAGAAAAAGAAACTTCAACATTACCATGTGTCAATAACTACCACTCATGATCAAAAGAAAAACAAATTTGAACAGCATTGCATGTAGTTTATTGATATGGTAAATACAATCGAAACTATTGATATTCCTAACTGAAATTGATACTATTGATCGGAAACTGATTTAACAATTAATTTATTGACTTTAAGTGCTCACCAATAGCAATATATCGATATTTCCATTTATCGTGACACCCCTAGCATTCACTGTTTGTCATTTACAATGTTCTGGGGATTTTTTCAATTATGGTAACTATGCAGAAGAAAATGCTATTTGTCTCAAGTTGCTTTACGTCGCTTCTAGCAATATTCCATCATTGTATGCACCATTATACAATATCCACTCAGCAACCCACCCAAACAGTAATGGTATATTATCTGATAGAACCTGTGGATTTAATTCTGAAGTCCATCCAGAAGCCACACTCATCAGTCTTGGCAGAGGCACACCTCCAGGCATCACACTTCTCCATTTCAGGTGGACCGCCTTCGTGGTCTCGTGGTAGAGCGTCTGCCCTGAGAGCGGAAGGTCGGGGGTTTGATCTCCGTCCTTGTCACACCAAAAGATGTTAAAAGATTGTACTTGTTACCCAGCCTAGCACTCGCATTAAAGGGCTAAAACAAGGACTGGTCAGCTCGGAGTCAGTATACTGTGTCTGAGTGGGGTATTCATGTTTATCTGCGGCATGGTATCTCAGTGGGCTAGCACTATAAAACCAGCATTGGTCTGGACTAGAACAAGCAGCCACACACACACACACACACACACGCACATCGCTATATAAGTGCAGTAATCTCAGGTCACGTAGGGTCACTTCCATTTCAGGTTTTACTACATGTCCACCGCCATCCGCCATTTCTTCAGCATCAGCTCCAGTGATGTACTTTATGATACACTGCCCCTGTACCACACTGCAGGGGGAATTCTGGGAATTGGACAGGCGTTTATAGGTGGCGTTACTGTTGTCATACGCAGGAAGTTCTCTGCCAGTCAGTTCTGGAGTGACTGCACCAAATACAACTGTACAGTAAGTTCTTTCTGTCTCAGAACTGGTCACTTGTAATAATGCAGGGGGGACGTAGTCATCATCTTGTCTGACTGTCCAACCGTCTGTATTTCGTTTAAGTTGAAAGAGCATCACTTACAAAACGTGAAAGATTTTTCGTCTAAACTTGGTACATGTGTTAACCAGGGGCTGGCGTGGTGCCTTTTGCTTTTATGGGGGCGTTTTTTGGAACAAACAATCAGGAATATTAATGATAACTCACTGTTTAAAGATATGAACAATTACTACGTATCTATTGGAAATGTTATATTGGAAATGTAAAAAGCGCTAATTGAAAACTGAACCACCCTGGTTAGACAAACCAACGACTTGTAGATACTTTTGGGTCAGTGATAAACTTCAGTAAGCAAGTGTTGAGATGAATGATCTTTTGTTTCAGATTGCTCAGTATATTGGTGAAATCTGTCGCTACTTGCTCCTCCAACCATTTCGTCCAGAGGAGACTCAGCACCGGGTTCGTCTGATGTACGGCAATGGACTCCGGCCTCAGATATGGGCCGACTTTCAGAAGAGGTTTGGGGTCAAGGTTATGGGGGAGTTTTATGGCGCCACAGAGGGCAACTGTAATATAGGTGAGACAAAGGTTCAGCTTGAAGTGTTATCAAAGACAGTATCTGCTGGGGAGCATGTCAGTAGTGTTGTCCTGAACATTTGTGTACAAAATTACATTTGAGTCTATTCTTTGTAGAAGCCAGCTTTGTGGTTTAAAGTGGCATAAAACCTTCTATATCACTTTCTGTGTCATGCAAATGGTAGATACATTACTATCCTCTTGTTAGGGAAAGAATGATGGTGGCCTTCTTTCTGAAATGTCCTTATGTTTATTTCAGTCAATTTTGAAAACAAAGTTGGAGCTGTTGGCTTCACAACCCGCATTGCCCCTTTCTTGTACCCAGTAACTCTGATCCGCGTAGACGAGGACAGCGGGGAGCCCTTGAGGGACAGACATGGGATGTGTGTACATGCTCAGCCAGGTGAGTTTGTCTGACACAGGATGTGTGTACATGCCCAGCCAGGTGAGTCTGTCTGACACAAGATGTGTGTACATGCCCAGCCAGGTGAGTTTGTCTGACACAGGATGTGTGTACATGCCCAGCCAGGTGAGTCTGTCTGACACGGGATGTGTGTACATGCCCAGCCAGGTGAGTCTGTCTGACACGGGATGTGTGTACATGCTCGGCCAGGTGAGTCCGACAAGGATGTGTGTACATGCCCAGCCAGGTGAGTCTGTCTGACACAGGATGTGTGTACATGCCCAGCCAGGTGAGTCTGTCTGACACAGGATGTGTGTACATGCCCAGCCAGGTGAGTCTGTCTGACACAGGATGTGTGTACATGCCCAGCCAGGTGAGTCTGTCTGACACAGGATGTGTGTACATGCCCAGCCAGGTGAGTCTGTCTGACACAGGATGTGTGTACATGCTCAGCCAGGTGAGTCTGTCTGACACAGGATGTGTGTACATGCCCAGCCAGGTGAGTCTGTCTGACACAGGATGTGTGTACATGCTCGGCCAGGTGAGTCTGTCTGACACAGGATGCGTGTACATGCTCGGCCAGGTGAGTCTGTCTGACACAGGATGTGTGTACATGCCCAGCCATGTGAGTTTGTCTGACACAGGATGCGTGTACATGCTCGGCCAGGTGAGTCTGTCTGACACAGGATGTGTGTACATGCTCGGCCAGGTGAGTCTGTCTGACACAGGATGTGTGTACATGCTCAGCCAGGTGAGTCTGTCTGACACAGGATGTGTGTACATGCTCGGCCAGGTGAGTCCGACAAGGATGTTCAGCATGTGGATACATTTTCTTGTGTTTGTTTCAGGTGAGACTGGAGAGTTGGTGGGGAAGATCGTAAAGGGCAACCCGCTGCGAGAGTTTGACGGCTACGTCAACAAGAAGGCATCTGAGAAAAAGATTGTCGAGAACGTGTTTAGGAAGGGAGACACAGCATTCCTTACTGGTCAGTAGTCTTGCTGTGGAATCATAGTTATTACAAGATGAAGTTCCATAAAATCACTCGAACAAATGAACTCAACAAGTAGCACACAAAGTTTATGCTGTTAACAGTAGTTATCAGTACATGTGTACGAAAATATTATTTCAGTTTCATATCCAGTATGGATATGAAACTAAAAATATTCACTCCTGCATATTCTGTTATGCAGTTTCATGTAATCTCATCTTCTTGCTAATTGTCACGTGAGTCTTTTGCTATCTCACACCTTGATGTAACCAGGCCCTTGCTATTACAGACCTTGTTGTAGCCAGTCCCTTGCTATATCAGACCTTGATATAACCAGTCCCTTGCTATTACAGACCTTGATATAACCAGTCCCTTGCTATAACAGACCTTGTTGTAACCAGTCCCTTGCTATCTCAGACCTTGTTGTAACCAGTCCCTTGCTATTACAGACCTTGTTGTAACCAGTCCCTTGCTATTACAGACCTTGTTGTAACCAGTCCCTTGCTTTTACAGACCTTGTTGTAACCAGTCCCTTGCTTTTACAGACCTTGTTGTAACCAGTTTCTTGTAATCTCAGATTTTGTAACAAGACTTTCTCTCCCAGACTTGCTCAGATCTTGTTATAGCTAGCTACTTTCTCTGTCAGACTACTGCATGTGACATGGCCCTAGATACTAAGAACAATGCTTGCAAATTATTGAACCGATTCTCTATTAGGAAATACATGAAATATGTCCTACTAATAGAAATGTGGTTGAGGTCAGTTTTACATACAGACTTTCTTGTTTGCAGGAGATGTGTTGATGATGGATGATTTGGGATACATGTATTTCCGCGACCGAACAGGAGACACGTTCAGATGGAAAGGAGAGAATGTGTCCACGTCAGAAGTAGAAGGCACCATCAGCAACGTCCTTAAACTGCAGGACGCCGTCGCTTACGGTGTGGAAGTCCCAGGTACTGTCCTTGCCGGATCAGGTATACTCCTTGTCAGTTGATGAAACAGAGGTGGAAATCATATTTCAATTCTGGTGACTCTGCCATGATGTATCTGGAATGGTGCAGGAAAAAGTGCTTATTGTAGACGAAAACCTTACTCATCTCACTCCAATACTTTTGTATTACCTTGGGTTTCAGTCTTGACATGATTGAGTTATATCTTTACACTGCCATTACTAACGAGTGAAGGAGTCCAGACCAGGCACACCAGTGACTGAAACTATGAACAACAATCCACCTCATCGGTCACGCTGAGACAAATAGGGTACACAAAGTACGTGATCTGGACTACTAGTTGTCAGACTTCCAAGTCTTGGTGGCTGAGTGGGTTGGGTCACTGGCGATTAGGTGCCTTACTCTGAGGGTGTGGGTTCCAACCCAGGAAGAGACTCCACCGAAAAGGATTAGAATTTGTATTTTACTAAGAAAGTGCAATCCCAAATATAACATACCGTATATCGCTGTGTATAAGGCGACCCCACGTATAAGACGACCCCCCTGTACACGCCTTAAAAATCAACCCAAAATCCTATACTCCGTGTATAAGGCGACCTGGAATGAAACACAGCACAAGTCTGACTGATATACCGGTAGAAGATTTAACGTGCTCTTGCCGACTGTAGCGTATTTCGCACACGGACATCACAAATTAGTTAGTTAGTTACTTTGGAGATTTAATGTGCGCTTTCCGACTGATGCGTATTTTGCTCACATCACAAGTGCGCACACAAACCTTATATATGCAATAAAAATATGTTTATCTAGCGTTGTTTTTTTTCTACAATGATAGGTCGCGTGTGTAACTCCGGCACACGTCGCCATTTTGTGTTTACACGGTACGACACCAAATTGGTGCCCGTAAAATAAAATTCATTTATGAAGTAATAACATATAAGAGACAATGGTGAGTAATTTAATCGCCAATTAACTATGTTGTAACTAACTAGGCTTATGTTTGCTTCACATTCAGCGTGTTTATTCCACAATCACTTGTACACACCGTCTCCAACACTTGTTAATACAACTGTACAAACAGCGGGAATTGATTTCAGCTTCACCGGTTATCACATGTTAGGTCACATGTGCAATATGCAAATGATTACCGGTACTTCCGGCTCTCTACTCACGGATGTTGATTGTTTTACCGTGTCAGGTGGTTTGACAATCTGCATCGAGGAGAGGGTCATTTCAACTTTTTTTGCAGAAATTATTAAACTTTATTCGAGGAAAAGAGATACAAATCATGTTTATGTATGGAAATAGTTATTGGAACAGTTATTTAGGACGAAATGCGAAGTTTTATTGTCAAATGCTGGGCTGGCTATCGGACGCCGGTTGACATCGCCAGTGGAAAAAAATGTGAGATCTTCGACTCCGTGTATAAGACGACCCCCCTTCTTAGCCCCCTCATTTTAGGTACGAAAAACCCGCCTTATACACAGCGATATACGGTATGATACATATGACCCCTTTCTAAAAGACATTGTCTATTCATATCTTTGTTGTAGCTGTTGAGACAAAAATTAACAAACCCTGAGTATTATCACTGCTGACTCTCTCCATGATGTGCCATGGGTGACAACCTGGTATCTGTGAGTTGTGTTGTGTAGGGTACGAAGGTCGTGCTGGAATGGCTGCCATTGTGGATGAGACGAACTCCATCAACCTGGCTGACCTGAACCAGGCCCTGCAGCGGTCCCTGCCCCCATACGCCCGGCCGGTCTTCATCCGACTGACCAAGGAGGTGGACACTACAGGTAGGCCCCCCACTGAAGTAACAACACTGATGGCCAAGGGGCTTTGTATTAGGGGGGGTATATCAGCGGGGACGGAACTGGCACCAGCCCGCTAGCCAGAGGGCTTCAGTCAGCTTGTCTGATGTTGATCCTGAGGATGGAGGGGAGCAGGGAGCTTACAGACATGTAATCACTGTTTTAGGTTTATACTGTAGCATTGTAATATTGTTAATACAGCAATATTCCATCTATAGTTGGGCTAGGATCAGGAGTACAAGGCTAAGATCAGAAGTACTGGACTAAGATCAGGACTACAGGGCTAAGATCAGAAGTACTGGGCTGAGATCAGAAGTACTGGGCTAAGATCAGGACTACAGGGCTAAGATCAGAAGTACTGGGCTGGGATCAGGACTACAGGGCTAAGATCAGGAGTACTGGGCTAAGATCAGGAGTACTGGGCAGAGATCAGGACTACAGGGCTAAGATCAAAAGTACTGGACTAAGATCAGGACTACAGGGCTAAGATCAGAAGTACTGGACTGAGATCAGGAGTACTGGGCTAAGATCAGGACTACAGGGCTAAGATCAGAAGTACTGGACTGAGATCAGGACTACAGGGCTAAGATCAGAAGTACTGGGCTGAGATCAGGACTACAGGGATAAGATCAGGACTACAGGGCTAAGATCAGGACTACAGGGCTAAGATCAGAAGTACTGGGCTAAGATCAGGACTACAGGGCTAAGATCAGGACTACAGGGCTAAGATCAGAAGTACTGGGCTGAGATCAGGACTACAGGGCTAAGATCAGGACTACAGGGCAAAGATCAGAAGTACTGAACAGAGATCAGGAGTACTGGGCTAAGATCAGAAGTACAGGGCTAAGATCAGGACTACAGGGCTAAGATCAGAAGTACTGGACTGAGATCAGGACTACAGGGCTAAGATCAGGACTACAGGGCTAAGATCAGAAGTACTGAACAGAGATCAGGAGTACTGGGCTAAGATCAGGAGTACTGGGCTGAGATCAGGAGTACTGGGCTGAGATCAGAAGTACTGGGCTGAGATCAGGACTACAGGGCTAAGATCAGGACTACAGGGCTAAGATCAGGACTACAGGGCTAAGATCAGAAGTACTGGGCTGAGATCAGGACTACAGGGCTAAGATCAGGACTACAGGGCTAAGATCAGAAGTACTGAACAGAGATCAGGAGTACTGGGCTAAGATCAGGAGTACTGGGCTAAGATCAGGACTACAGGGCTAAGATCAGAAGTACTGGACTGAGATCAGGACTACAGGGCTAAGATCAGGACTACAGGGCTAAGATCAGAAGTACTGAACAGAGATCAGGAGTACTGGGCTAAGATCAGGAGTACTGGGCTAAGATCAGGACTACAGGGCTAAGATCAGAAGTACTGAACAGAGATCAGGAGTACTGGGCTAAGATCAGGACTACAGGGCTAAGATCAGAAGTACTGAACAGAGATCAGGAGTACTGGGCTAAGATCAGGAGTACTGGGCTAAGATCAGGACTACAGGGCTAAGATCAGAAGTACTGGGCTAAGATCAGGACTACAGGGCTAAGATCAGAAGTACTGGGCTAAGATCAGGACTACAGGGCTAAGATCAGAAGTACTGGGCTGAGATCAGGACTACAGGGCTAAGATCAGGACTACAGGGCTAAGATCAGAAGTACTGAACAGAGATCAGGAGTACTGGGCTAAGATCAGAAGTACAGGGCTAAGATCAGGACTACAGGGATCAGAAGTACTGGGCTAAGATCAGAAGTAGCTGTACTGGGCTAAGATCAGATCAGGACTTGGCATATGTGTACATTTCACCAAAGTTGCGAACAATCTAAGTGACCTTGGGCTTTCCTTTGTTGCCATGATTCAGTACAAGACATACAAATACATGTACAGTAACTATCTCTACGTTCAGGCACCTTCAAGCTGAAGAAGACAGATCTGAGGAAGGAAGGGTACGACCCTAACGGTGTGAAGGACAGACTGTATTACATGAATGCCAAAGCTGGGATGTTTCAGCCCATTACTCAACAAGTCTACAAAGACATCTGTGATACAAAGATCCGATTCTGAGCTGTACCTCCGAGTGTTTGGTTTGTGTGAAACGTCGGACTCTCACCACAACGTTCCAAGTGCATTAATATTCAACCCCTCTTCAAGTTTGTACTGTGCCCCAAATGAAGTATATTTTATAAACAAACTGTTCTCCAATAACTGTGGATATAGACTATATGAGAGCCTAATAATCATTCTGTTGTTGGTTCTCCATAGGTTTTATTCTGTAGTAATTATGGTGTCTATGGTATAGATAGGAGTAGTTTTATATGTTTTGTTATGAGTACCGTAATATTTTTCATATTCAAGACTAAAGAGTGAAATATCATAACTTATGTCTTGTTATGAGAATTTGTTGACGTGTAGGTTTTAGTCTGCAAAGGACAGGTTATGATGTTCAACTGTTCGACGACTTGTCTATTCTCATTTTTGGACAGCCAGGGTGATGGAGTGTGTAAGTGTTACCAACACGGGTGATTTTCCAACTTCAAGATATATCTAACTATGAGCAAGTCTGTGACCCAAGGGGAATTGTTTACCCTATATTTGTCTACGTCTAAGTACATTATCTTTGGTCAAATTATTGTTTAATTTCAAATACAAATGATTCTTGAAAACCTCTTTTTGACTCTTCTTATTCTCACATACACAAGTAGTATTGTAAGTCAAAAACAAGAAAGTGTTGACAGTAAGAATGTCTGGTTACCATTCACAGCACACCCCTGATAAGATTTGCTCCTTTTTTAACTATGAACATACTGGAAGTAAAACACTCCCTTATCAGACCTTGTCCTTTATTTGAATCTTGTTTGCATGTTTTGGCAATTTCTCGTAATCGTTGAGTTCTCTTATCCTGTTCAGTCTACCTCCATTTTATGACTTAGTACTGGTAGATTTAAGAAGTGAGAAAACACATCATGTAGTCTATCAGGCCTAAGATGTATATACAGCCTGTATCAAAATCATTAATAGGGAGCAGCAGAGAGACAGTTATCACAGCTACCATTCCAACAAGTTATTTGTAACAATATCATCAACAATTTTATTAAATACAGGCACTTGGTTAAAGTGTGATAGATTTATTTGGTTTTTCAATGCAAATATAAGGTAAACTTGTTTCTGAATATTGCCTTGCAAATATGGAGAACAAGGTAGTGTAAATAGAGTATTCATCATGAGTGGTTTTAAATATGGAAAATATCAAGAGAGTCTTAGTCGGTATTTGCCGAGCCTGTGGTGAGTTTAATTAATTAACGATGTTTTGTTGTTAGGCATGTACTGTTTTTGCCAGCATTTAGATCAAATGTTTTCAGGAAAATGGCATGTTTTCTCAGGGTTTTGGTACTCAGTGGAACTAATGTTGTGATGCAGCTGTTTGTTCCGTCATGTTGAGATACTGTATTTGAAATGTATTGTAAGTCTGGTGTTCATGTAAGTTCTACTGTGTTTTCTCTATGTGCTTTCAACATTTAGACCAAATCACCATGTCATTTGTTAATTTTTTAAAAGTTAAAAGTGTGTCTGTTGAATTTGCTGTCTTAAAAATAAGCTTTAAGATGTTTTAATAAGGATGCGCATACAACCATTGTGATATTTCCATAGCTTTTCACCTTGTATGCCTGGAGTTTACAGAGGGTAGAAGTTTCATTGACATTTGTGGGATCAGAACATTTCAGTGACAAATGTTTTTTGTAATGGTAATATGTTATACTCGTATGTGCCATGTTACTTTTTGAACTTGACCAGGAACAAAGTTAATCCAGTTATTTCAGTCAATATGGTTTATAGAGACATTTATGGAACACCGTTCGGAAAATATCCAGTTTCTCTGGTTTATGTATACATGGATATAATACCTTATTATTCAATAACCAATGACAGAATAATCGGCATAATCATACAATTATTGTACCCCGACCTTAAAGGGCGGGGGATATATAGTTATACTAAGGAATTTCTTCAGTCTGTCCTTTGCGTGACCTACAACTTAAAAACTACTACATTGTACATTGATTTTTTCAAACTTGAACACTTTTTATACCTTTTGGAGATGTGCAGTGCAAAGTTTGATAGTGATACGTGTATTTTCTGAAAACGTGTGTATTTCTTGTTGTGAACTTAGAACATATTTTTTATTTCAACATTTGTGCTACCAATGACTTGAAAACTACTCCATGGATTCTTTTCCAATTGAGGGAACACTTTCTATACCAAAAGTTTGATTTCGAAAAGTGTATTTTTCTGAAAAAATATTGTTTTGAACTTAGAAATATGTTGGAGTCGAGGTTGGGGGTATAAGTGAGCCTCCTGCCTTGTTATATATGAAGATAGTCCTGGCCCATGGTCTGAATATGTTACGGGATTGTATACCATATGTTTCTCCATTAGCGACATGTCATGTTTTCACCCCGGGCTGATATGGCTCGTCAATGCATTAGGCTAAAAAAAATAATAGTCTTAGTTGTCAGGCACTGCCCACATCGTCACACAGTTACTTCCCTTTACATGCACACTGCTTTACTGCGCATCTCGTGTTGTGGTCATGGCGGCAATAGGACTTTGTATGCCTGTTAATATAGGGAGGCCCTTTCCCAGGCTGATGGTACACAACTGTTTATTTTGGAACATACCGGTACTAGTTCGAGCAAGCAAAAAAAACAACAAAAAAAACACCGCCCGCCCCCACTCTAATTTCAAAAGTCATTGCCTGAGAACCAATTCTTTTATTTATTTAAGCCTTATGAATGGGCAATCAACATTAGCCCGGGTGCTAGGAAATCATAGTTGCGTCACTTTGTGCATTTTCTGCTTGGTTGATATGGGATAATAGTATTTGACATAAACATTTATTTCATGGAATTCTTGTGCAGCAGTACTTCCAATTTCGGTTACATTTGGGGCTCCGCATTCTATCCATTTCTGTCACATTTTTTTCTCTCACGCTTTGATCAAATTCCTTTTATACCACAACACACTGTGTTGGTTCACTGTAAGGTATCTCAATGTTTTCTGATACTTTCTAGTATTTCTTGCATTTACATGGTTCAAAAGTTGGATAGAACACTCTTCCTCGGTTTTGGTTGAAAATGTAAAACTAACAATCTCTAAATATTGAAGCAGCATGCAGAGTAGACGGGTCTGTTGCATGCTGCATGACAAATAATGCAGATGTAACTAGCTTTCAAGCATTATGCAGAATTATGAAAATATTTAACAGTTAATTTCACACCATACCTTCATGTGCGGTCATAGCTGAGGTTGACAATTACACATCCTCAAATCAAACGATGTGGGTTCAAACTCTGCTGGCAACACATGTTTTGGGAATAAAATTGAAATTATTCACTCGTCAATAAATGTAAAAAATAAAAAAGACACAGTTTATGGATAACAACTTCTTTAATACTGTAAAGTCGACGGTTCAGTATAGATCCTATTACCTTTGTCAAGCAAGACAGTCTAATCATGATAATTGTTCAAATCTCATCGTGTACATTTCATTCATGCCAAAAGAAATCCTGTTTATCTCATTACCTTTTATTTTGGTGAACGGACAGGACCACTCTATCATATTTAATACATAAATCACAGTCGTGTTTGACTTTCTGATGTATATATAAATAATGGACACATGGATATATTGTTATCAAAGTGACAGCCTTCAGCTGACAGAATGACTTTCTACCACATTGACATGACGATCCCCTCCAGAACCTTCAGGTGATGTGTTACATGTATTAACAACATGATCAGGAAATCAGAGGGTTTAATCCACTTTGAATACATTAAGCTGCTACCATGGTTACACTTGAGGAATTTAAGAGAGTTACAATATTTCATTTTTGTCAATTGATGCAATAGTTGCATCACTGTATTGCACCCCTGGGTGCCGTTGTACAAAACAACCTTAGCGGTGCAACTTTTTTAAGTCAATGTTAAGATGTGGGTTGCGATCACCTTAGTTATAAAATCGCTTAGCACAACAGTACCCAGGTCTTAGGATATACTCAATCAACACTCAATATAATAATAATAATAATATCAGGTGGTCAGACTCCGTGACTTAGTTTATTGGGTGTCAATGTACCCCAAGGGCATGGATCCTCTTAATAGCAGTCACTGGATTCTCTCCTCCAGACTGGAGTATTTACAGACCACCATCATACCCAGGGACGAGAGTCTGCCACTGATCCGTGATTTTCCTTGAATTTTTGGGAAAACAAATTTGTTAAAATCTGATGGCTTCCCCCATACACACCCTTAAATTATGGACCACGCTCCATTGCAAAGATGTTTCAGCTGGAAATGAAAATAGCCATTCTCTTCCCTGTATAGCTGGAATATTGCTGAGTGCAGTCTCAAACAACAAACACATTGATGATAACTTTTGCATCTTCACCAAGTGTACACAGTATGTATAAGCATGTTGTTTGATTTGGGTTGGTTTTGAGTTATTATTTTGCTCACCCTCAAGACAGAGGTGATGTTTATGGTGTGAAAATGTGCCAGTATGTTGTGTGACTGTATTTATTCAGAAATGATGAATTTATAATCTCTATCAGATGTAGTTCTGTACATTTGTAAATAGAAGGAAATCTATCATTTGCTATGTAATAAATCTGTCTTTATATCTGGGGTGTTTCTTATATCTTTATAACACGTTAAATCTGGAACGTTTTGCACCATTAAATTATTGCGAGTGGGTAACAACATCCTACGGAGGCCTTTTAGGGCAATTTGTTTTTTTCTTGTAATTTCTAGATACTAAGTTGAAATTCCAAGGTACTAAGTTGAAATTTCAAGATACTAAAAGAAATTTCAAGATACTAACAGAAATTTCAAGATACTAAGTTGAAATTTCAAGATCCTTATGTTGAAATTTCAACTAGTATCTTGAAATTTCAATAAAAAAATATGAAAATACCCCAAATGGCCCTAAAAGGCTTCTGTCATATCCTTAACTGCATGTGGAAAGTTTTGTGACTCCTTGGAAATGATATTGCCAAAGATGAAAGTTGCTTTTTTATTTTTTGTGAGTAGGAAGCAGTGGGATGAAAAGTTAGCTCAGTTTCAGTGTGTGTGTTTTAACTACAGATGGATGTGTTGTAGGTGAAAAGTAAGGTTGGAGTAGCTGTTTAACTGACAGATAGTTTCTATAATAACTCAGTGTTATGTAAGGACACTGAGGTGATGTCGAAGGTAAGGGAACTTTCCTGATTAAACTATTGTCACAATGGGTAATAAGGGAACCAGTCTGTTTCAAGGGCTCTTACATCCACCCACAAAGTACTCCGTGTAAGAATATTATTGTAGAATATTATTGGACTGTTTATACCCCCAAGTTACGAAACCATTTACCATCAACCACACCAGCATATTTCGACTGTTAATGCCGTTTGTTACTAATTAGTAACAGGAAACAAGCATGAGTCCAACTTTTTATCCGTGGTAGCCTCACAAACTGTTGAGAGTTTAACGCAGATCCTCACTCTTGGAGGTTTTCTATGTAATTTACATTCGGACATGGTTTTCAACGTTACCAAATACGACAAACATCAAAAAGAAGAATTAGCTACAGTATACACTTATATCTTTGTATATGGCTGTTATTCCCCTATATATCTTATCCTTTCTTCGTCTTTACCTCTTTGTATGATAGTATTACGTCTGAAAATATTCTCGGGTCTGACGTCCAACCCTTCGGTCACATATGACCGTAATTCGTAATTCTTAGTTGGACCTTTTAGCATTTCATCTCCATTCATGGAGCCATTTGTACACAATGTTCCCCACCCCTTCTTCCCGAGGCAAGGGAGTTAGGCTGGAATTCCCGAGTTTGGGCTGGACTAACATATCTATGCAGTCCAAACAAAATCGTGTAACTAAATCAACATCTGGCTCGTAAACTGCTGTGCAGATTTCGACCGATTGGAGGATTTGCAAAGCATATGTACCGTCAACTTGGCACCAACAGACTGATATTATCCAAATCTTTTCATGTTTTGGTCAAGATACTCAAGTGATTTGATTCACTTCGCGAAGTAAGACCCGTTATATCACAATATAGAATTTGATTATCGATCAGATCGTCTTGATTCGCACCACCATTTTGTCTGAAGCAAATGCAAGTTATATGAGAGGTGGAATCTGATTGGTCAATAGGAGGGGCATAACTCATATCATAACCAATGGGAGCTACCATCGAGTCCAGAAATTCCAGCCTAATTCGGCATGGGTGGAAACCGGACTTTTACTGTCAGTGAACTTTGCCTCGGGAAGATGGTTACTGTACACAGGTGCAGGCCTTTGGGTGACACATCTGTTAACGCTGAAATTCTTTCAAGATAAACAATGCCTCTGAAGACTCTGGATGCCCCTTTAAAGTAGGACTATTGTGTGTAAAGTTAATACAGGATTTGCCTAACATTTGTGTTTTATAAAGAAGATATTCAGCCGTCAAGAACATATTGTCTAGGTCATGACAGATCCGGATGTAAACATGCCAAACCTGAACGGATGTACTTCCGACTTTGGTTTGGCTGTACTCCATGATCAGCATCCGGGTGACATCGTCGTTGTATTCCTCGTCGCGAGGACTTGAGGTATTCATTTCCGACGATGGCTGTTTGTGACTTCTTTGGATTTCTCATATTAGTGTTTACGCGCCCTCTGCGCCCTCTTGCTTATTCTGACCCCATGAAGACTCTGTCCTTCTGCATACACGTTTATGTTGGGTCAGATTTGTTTGTTTGTTTTTTGTTTAACGCCGCACTCAGCAATATTCCAGCTATATGACGGCGGTCTGTAAATAATCGAGCCTGGAACAGACAATCCAGTGATTGAGATCATGAGCATCGATCCACGCAATTGTGATACGATGACATGCATCAACCAAGTCAGCGAGCCTGACCCCGTTCGTCGCCTCTTATGACAAGCATAGTCGTCTTTTACAGCAAGCATGGGTTGCTGAAGACCTATTCTACCCCGGGTCTTTACGGGTCTGTTGGGTCAAACGACATTCCACTTTGCATTGGGTGTGTCAGACGTTACATAACAATTGGCTGGCCATGGAAGTACATAAACAAATATAATCACACCTCCGGGGTTCATCGGAACCGTTGCGTTTACAGTTCTCTGAGGCGTTTGTCTTACGAGAGTGATCACCTCGACTGGAACCCACACGGAGTATGTTCAAAATCTAGCCATGTCTCTATCCGCCTTTAAGAATGGTATACCTGGAACAGGGACTGGGTGTTCGGTGTTTTTGTGCTCCCGTGGAGTACGTTTGGAATTGTCGTGTTTTATTCCTGAAGTATCATTGCCAAAGTTTATCGTCGCCTACCGGAGTCTCTCGGTACAGAGTTTGTCCAAATCCTGACTTGTATTGATATCCTCCGATGGCACTGTTGCCTCCTGGTGACTTCTGCGGATCTTGTGTGTCTTAAGGCCGCACTCAGCAATAGTCCAGCTATATGACATGCATCAAACAAGTCAGCGAGTCTGACCACCCGACCCCTTTATAGTCGCCTCTTACGACAAGCAGTCACCATTTGGGACAAGCACGAGTTGCTGAAGAGCTATTCTAACCCGGATCTTCACGGGTCAACCTTGCGATGGGCAAGAACATACATCAGTGGTTTGTTCACATTTGTTGTTGTGGTGTTTACTTACAGTAATCATGTGTTAATTTATACTGCCCCCTACCGGCCGTTTCGTGAAGCTATGACCTCTCCTCTGCCACGCCTACTACGGATGGAACCGCAGGACGGAGATGTTAAATGATTTTCCAGTGTCAGATTTAACGTCTCACGGTGACGTCCAATTTTCTTCCCGTTTGACGTCATTTCTTGAGTCGATGTACGTGAACATCGAGATGGTGTGCGGACCACCCGGTCCATTGAGCCACCTCACACGGCGAGCATAGCTTGCCGGGGACCTTTTCTAACCACGAATGACCACGGGGAGACAGATAGGTGGATGTTAAGATCATCGAGGGATTGTAAGCCATTTAACGAGGGTGTCCGGCACATGAATGTTTCGATTAACTAAGAATAGTGAGTGAATCGAGTGAGTTCACGTTGTTGAACCTTTAGCCAGCAATGTTCAAGCTGTAAAACGTTTGGTCCCAGTGAGGATCCGTGTTACACTGGTTTGCAGCAGCCCATGTTTGTTGTAAGAGGCGACCAACGGGATGGGGTGGTTAGGCTCCCTAACTGGGTTGATGCATGTCATCGTATCCTGATTGCGTAGATCGATGCTCATGATGTTAATAACCGAATTGTCTATCCAGACTCAATTATTTACAGACTGCCTTCACAAAGCTGGAATATTGCTGAGTGCGGCGTTAAACAACAAACATAACAATTTTTGCGTCATGTTAGAGATTTTACGAACGCTTTAGTAACAATAAAGAATGTGGTAAAACGAAGCAATAATCTTGTTATATCACGACGACCTGTATGTAGTTGACTGGGCCAGGCAAACCAGCGGTTGATATTATGAGCACCTATCAACCAAGCCAACGAGACTAACCACCCGATCCGTCTTAGTCACCTTGAACGACAAGTATAACGTTCCCGGGACTGGTGGGGACCAATTCTATCCCGGAAAACCCCCACGTAGTGAAAAAGAATAAGGAGTATTTGTTTCAAAGTTGCTTTATCAAAACTAAGCTGACGTTCCCCTGTTCTTTTTTTTTTATTAATATAAGCATGACCATTCATTTGTGCGAATTTAGCAACTACGGGAAGCGCTCGTTAAATCTCCAACAATCATTCAGTCAGAGAAATATCCATTTTGCTTGGGACTATCATCAATCTCATTGAAATCAGATCTTAGTTCTCGCAACCGCTAAACAAAGATCTGAAGACATCCCATTAGGGGTCACGTCAGAACGACCTTTCATCCGACCAATCAGAGCGTCGCTTACCAGATTATGAAAGTGACAGTCGGAATGTGATTTCTAATCATGCAACCTCGAAAACTTTAACACGGGTTATTCCGAACGATAGTTACGGGTTTAACGACTGAATCCACACAATCTAAATTAGCCATGCCAGAATGTTCTTTTGTTCAGGTTTCAAATTTGTAATCGAGAATTTGTCAAAATATGTTTCGAAACGTAGTCGCCAATTTGAAATTAGTGCCGTAAAGCACGAGAAAGCTTCTTTCTGATTGTTCATTCCATTGGTCGGTCAAAGTTCGCGCAAGGTCGGTCTGACGCGACCCGTAATGGGATGTCCTCAGTTCTTTGTTTAGCGGTAGCGAGAACTAAAATCTGATTTTAATCGAGTCATCGAGTTTTGATGACGTGGTTACAATCCGGCTGATGATCGACAGTCTATATTGAGCTGTGTGTGCAGTGTGAGCAGTGTGTGCAGTGTGTGCTGTGTGAGCAGTGTGAGCTGTGTGTGCAGTGTGTGCTGTGTGAGCTGTGTGTGCAGTGTGTGCTGTGTGAGCAGTGTGTGCTGTGTGAGCTGTGTGTGCAGTGTGTGCTGTGTGAGCAGTGTGTGCTGTGTGAGCAGTGTGAGCAGTGTGTGCAGTGTACGAACTGAGAGAAAAAATCGTGTTGTATTTAAAGGGCTACTGACCAAATTCACTGCTAAAATTAACCGATCGCAGTCACCTGACAACCGATTCTTCTCGATTGTAACCACGTGATCAAAACTCAATGATGATGTTTATCGCTTGCAAAATGCATATTTCACTCCTACTCTCTTCGGGGGAGCAGATTTCTGTAAAACACCACATTTGATCGTTTTGATGAGGTTTCACTATGCAACGGCAAAATGAAAATGACAGATGGAGAGCCATGGGAATTCTGGAATCCGGTACCTCGCAGCGTGATGTCGCAAGTCATTTCAACAACGAGAGGAACGCCATATGGTATTTATGGCGACGTGATCAACCACCACCACCACGTCAGGTGCCTTCCCCGTATTGGCCGTCTCCCGGGAACCACTCATCGGCAAGACATATGCATTAGAGCTACGCATCTCCAACACAGGTTCCAGACAGCAACTCTCTCAGCCGACCCGTGAAGATCCGGGTTAGAATAGGTCTTCAGCAACCCATGCTTGTCGTAACAGGCGACTATGCTTGTCGTGAGAGGCGACTAACGGGATCGGGTGGTCAGGTTTGCTGACTTGGTTGGTGCATGTAATCGTATCGCAATTGCGTAGATCGATGTTCATGACGTCCATGATTGTCTCGTCCAGACTCGATTATTTACAGACCCCCGTCATATAGCAGGAATATTGCGGAGCGCGGCATTAAACAACAAACAAACAAACAAAAACAAACAAACAAACATATAGATTGGAACTACGCATCTTCAACACAGGTTCCAGACAGCAAATCACAGTCCGTACCATACCGGGCAACAGAGTCGTACCTGCGGGAACCGTCCTGGTGATATCTACGCATCTAGGGCATCCGTGCGAGGCGCCCAGCCAGAAGGCCAATCCTGACGGCAGAATGTCAACGTCAACGTCCCCGTCCCTAGTGATGCAGACAACACCTACGGTAGTCAGCACGTCAGGGGAGAAGGATCATCTGAACTGACGAGTTATATTACAGCATGACACGTGTATACAGGCGTCGAGATTCCTGAAGGCGATCGCCCTGGGGATGGTGGCGTTATGATTTGGAATGGAATAACCGCTCCAGGAAGGTTCAAATGATTGTGATTGATGGAAATTTAATTTACCGGGATGAGATTTCTGCAAACGGCAATTTTACCGTTTTTGCAAAAACCATGTAATAACATTCCGGCACAATAACACCACAATGATGTTGGAGCTGTGCAGCAGTATCTGAACAATGTGTATCCCTGACCTGCAAAATGTCAAGTCATCAATCGAACATACCTAGCATGGAACTCGCAGTAACTATCTTACCATTCCTTAGATGTGGGAGTGGGTGATGTCAGGCACAAGGTGGATACACACCCTACTGCCTGTGTGGTGTTTGTTTGTTTGTTTGACGCCGCACTCAGCAATGTTCCAGCAATTTGACGGCGGTCTGTATATAATCGTGTCTGAACCAGACAATCCAGTGATTGATCACTAGCATCCATCTACGTAACTAGGGTGACATGCATCAACCAAGTCAACGAGCCTGACTACCCAATCCCGTTAGTCGCCTCTTACGACAAGCACAGTCGCCTTTTACGGCAAGCATGGAAGAAGACCTATTCTACCCCAGATCCTCACGGGTCTTCCTTGAAGTGGGGCAAGAACATATATTAGTGGTTTGTTCACATTTAATGTTGTTGCGGTGTTTACCAATAGTTTACCCCCTATCGGCCGTTTCGCGAAGCTTTGACCTCTTTCTTCCCGCCACGCCTAATATACGGATGGACCTTTTACGACACAGTCGCCTTTAACGGCAAACATGGGTTGCTGAAGATGCAGGTCCCCGTGTAGCTCCCTCTACGAACTGCTGCTTGTTATCCTACCTTCAGACGTTGTTCTCTAATTTCAACCACGGCAGTAAATACAGGTTTCTTACCCGATTCTATTTGTGCCGCAATAGCCTTTACATTTCAATACATCTACCTTTGGAGTTACTTGATTTAGTGGCGTGTGAGTGAGTATGGTTTTAAGCCGCTTTTAGCAATATTCCAGCAATATCACGTCAGGGGATAGGATTCACACATTGAACCCATGTTAGGCACCGAAGCCAAGTCGTTGACATGACGAGGGACCGCTTGAACAACTAGTCTACCCCACAGACCCTAGCGGCGTGTGTATATGCATATATGTATTTCATGTCTACGAATCTTTTCATGTTTTTAATCAGGTTATTTGATGCACTTCGCGAAGTATGACCCGTTTTATTACAATATAGATTTTGATTATCGATAGGATGGTTTTGACTGGGCGCGGCAAATTTGTTTGAAGCAAATGCAAGTGATATGAGAGGTGGAATCCGATTCGGCTTGTCCCGGAATGACACGAGTTGGTCACGAATGAGAAGGAACATAACGAGTAACGGTTACGGAAAAGGGCGAGGGGTGGCGAATGAACGAGTAAGAGCCACTGGTGGTGCTACGATCAAGCCCAGAAAGTCCTGCCCAGTTCGGCAAGGGTGGAAGCTGGACTTGAACATGGGAATACGTTCAATGATTATGTTTTTGTTTGTTTGTTGTTTAACGCCGCACTCAGCATTATTCCAGCTATGTGACGGCGGTCTGTAAATAATCGTGTCTGAACCAGACAATCCAGTGATTGACATCATGAGCATCGATCCACGCCTTTGGAATACGATGACATGCATCAACCATGTCAGTGAGCATGACCACCCTTACCCGTTGGTCTTACAACAGGCATAATCGCCGTTTACGACAAGAATGGGTTGCTGAAGACCCATTCTACCCCGGATCTTGACGGGTCAACGTTAGATGAAGACAAAGCATGTTAAATAAGGAATGTTTAATGGATAGTAAACACATGATCACAGACAAAACTAGAGAAACTCAAGGAAGGGAGGTAACTCTATTAACACTCTTCCCAGTCCATATAAGATGCGCAGTCGTGACTTATTATGGAACATACAAACGTATTTCAAACTTAATAAATATACATCGTTCTTGTCATTCGACTAGTATGATAAAGAGAAGTTTCAAAGTGTATGGTCGTTTTGAGGCAGAGAATCGACTGCCTATGCGAAAATGAGAACCAGCGGAATCGGTGTAAGTGTTCTAAATTAAAACTCTAACCTTCAAAGATACGTTTTCATTCACACCGGTCTCAGATCATCCTCGATCATCCGGGATAGTATACCCATTCGTCACCAAAGTTTCGTTTAGGAAGTGACAACATCTAAATATCTCTTATTACAAAACCTAGCGTCAAAACGAAGCTATGTGAGCGAATTGCTCAAGGTAACGTAATGGACAATCGAGGGTGCAAGTAGATATGATTTTTATTAATTAGGAATCTCATTTGCATTCTTTATTTCAGATACAGTTAGTACGAACCATACTTTCAATGGACTTAGGCTGTCCTTAACAGCTTTTTGCCCTATTTAACAAATAAAGTAGGACTTCATTAATCCGGACGATTGTCTTTATACACCATCTGAATATATCCGAACATATATAAAATATAATATAGTTCCATTCTCTTTCGCAACAATTTGCACGTGAAGGGTTTTTGGAGAAACTGTCCAGCTGAACGAGATTCTTCACATTTTAGTAAACAACCGTAAATCAAATATAAGACACGCCATGTTACACTTAGATGCTTAAAGTTCCACGACGAAAAAGCATAGGCATTGCATATGTTGTGAAAAATACAATTAAAAGTTTAAAATACCTCTCACGTCTAAAATGAGACCCCACCTGTCACAAAACGTCAAATTGACCGTTGTCTCGCCCCGCATGTGGCTGCACGTGCAGCACGTACGCGTCAGCTTCAATCGCAGGTGTCGTCTCAGTTAGGTGTAATTGACACGCGCATTTTAGGCTCGTGCGTTGCACTATATTTGAGTGAGTGAGTGAGTGAATGAGTTGGGTTTAACGCCGCTTTTAACAGTATTCCAGTTATATCGCAGCGTGTCAGCTTAATGTGGGAGGAAAGCCAGAAGTGATGCAGGTCTCAGACGTTTACCACTTCGGTGAAACCCACGAGCACGGGTATGGTGCTGACAAACCTAGAAACATAATCGGGGCGAACCGGGATTCGAACCCACAAACAGAGGTTTCTGGCGTGCCAAGGGGACGCAACTCTGCACAGCGAATCGCGGCGCCTTAGACGACTGTGCCACCCGTGCCCCCCACAATATTTGAAGTGCATGCACACGTTAAATGACTGAAATGGCCATGAATCGACATTTCTCACTCTTATATTCATCAGCAAGAAAATACTCATGATAATGTGTTATGAACAAGATGAAGGTCAATTTCACATTTGCTTAAATTTGATAAAAATAATTCGCAAAACCGAAATGGACGGCTTTTAACTCGTTCCAGTTGAATTAGTGCAGATATTTTGTGCTGGTGAACAAACTTGATGCAGATCAAGCAATTCTCTCTCTCTGCGCGCGATGTCACGCTATATCAGTTAAAAGAGTTATTCCATTTCTAGTGAGTGAGTAAGTGAGTGAGATGGGTTTAACGCCGATTTTAACAGTATTCCAGTTATATCACGGCGTGTCAGCTTAATGTGGGAGGAAAGCTCGAAGTGATGCAGGTCTCAGACGTTTACCACTTCGGTGAAACCCACGGGTATGGTGCTGACAAACCTAGAAACATAATCGGGCCGAACCGGGATTATATTGCATTACTAACTTCCTTTCATTCAAGTATATTTCACTTTAAAATTGCCTGGGTTATACCCATGAATGCATGTGTCTGTTGCCAAATGGTCGGACTGTATGTCCCTATACACTTGTGTTCCTGTTCTGAAATCATTATGTCCTTATTTATAAATCCGAACCAGGTTGTACTCAAGAAACCTATTTGTCGACCTGAGTTTCAAATCTTAACATGCGAACACACGACTCAAAACAGGAATTCAGTATCGCGGTGACCTTGTCAGTGAATACTTTGTCAAATCTCACCCCTTGACGTCATACTGGTAACCATTCGATCTGTCCTAATTCAAGGTCAAGGTCAAGGTCACCTGCAAATCGAAAATCGAAAACAGGTATAGGGACATCGAGTTTATGTCCTTAAACCAGTCCTTCAGTAAAGTCCAGAGTAGTTCCAGATTACCGTCTAACTTGAATAAAAAGATCTGGAGTAAAATATTCACAGTTTGCCTTTTTGTCAATGTTTATCAACCCTAGCCAAGTCAAAATCAAAATGACCAATTGCACAAATACATATGACTAAGCTGTGTACGATGCGAAATTAAGAAATAAATTAAAATATGATTATTCACAATAACAAAGAAATTAGTAATTCTAGTTTGCATTCCAATGGCACTTGGGCGTCCTTGACAAGGATAGTGCCATCAAAATACTTTCACTGACCCACTCAATATCCTTCTCTCTGATTGAGAGGAACAGCCATTCATTAATGTATAACAAATCGGTTCGCAGAAAATTGCCGTCCCAATTTCCCGTTTTACGGTATTAGCTATCCGTTGCTATGGTAACACACTCCCATGATGCCCATATCCGGTGTGACCAACCACGACCGGTAAGGCAGGCTTTTGTGCCGCCATTTTGTTCACAACACTTTGTAAATCAGTCGGCTAGCTACAAGGCAGAAGTGGAGCGCGTTTGGATCTTAACAGCGTGATGAGAATGGTTGACTCGAATTCCACAAAAGTCTTCATCGTGTCAGAGACGGACGCCACAGTTAAACGTCCACATCAGCGATTCTGTCACTTGAAAGACCAGCCTGTCGTCCCCATTAATTGCCGCTATTTCTCCAGCCTAATCGGTGTCATTGTGGCGGAAGTACATTTTTGCGAAATTCTCCTGGCATATTGTTATTCCCCGCTGGTCGGTACTGGGTCACCACGACATATCGATCTTGACCTTTCACCTTGGATATTCCTACGCCAACTTCTGAAGTGGACCTCCAAATCATTTGGGTGAAATTCATTGCACCTGAGGAGGAAAGTAGATGCAATTATTTTTTCTCCAAGGAAGAACACTTCCACTCAAAATATAATATTTCATAAAATGATACATCACAAATTTATTATTTGGTCTCTGGTTATAATTCATATTTAGCTGGTCCATCGCAAACCGTTTCATTTCCGACATATCGGAAACTACAAGCCCCGTGCAGCTCAAACACTGATGAATGACCCAAGCTGTGGTGTCTCTAAAAAGCGTACTCACAGAATTCTGATCCGGTTTTAAATAATGACCGCGGCAAACATATTGAAAATGCCATTTTCACCAATTACTGTAGAATATCGAATTTGATATGCAACCAGTATGTTACGAACGGAATCATTTCGACATCTGCTCTCAAAACTGTAGCATTATTTAACTGAAAAACGTTTGTTTTATTATCATAGCAGTGTTCTTTCCAAGGTGAAACACATGGTAAGGGGTAGCCTATCTATCGTTCTCTCGTCAAGCCGAAGACTATGGTTCGATTCCCCACATGGGTACATTACGTGACGCTTCTTGAGTTCTTCCGCCGTCATTTGGTTAGGGTGTTGCTACAAGCGGCATAAAACACGTCTCACCCACTGCAGCCCGTCGTCTAGAGTTTGACCATGCTTTCTGAAGCTCTATGTGGCTTTGTTATGAGAACGTGCAAATATTTTGTTGGAGTTAACCAACATTTTTCGACATCTGCTCTCAAACCTGTAGCATAATTTAGCTGAAAAAACGTTGTTGTTTTTTTATCCTAGCAGTGTTCTTTCCAAGGTTCGCGCACAAAATTTTGATCTGTCTTAAACATTGCTGTCAAATTTAAAATGTATTTTTTGCCCATAGCTCAGGCATATCTGCATGTATCATTATTACGTGATATTCGGTAATTATGTGGATGACTAACAATAACACATGTTGTATTTTGCTGTGTATTGTAATACTTGTTTATTTAATCTTTGACCTTTTCTTACAGCAGCGGCTGCCATTTGTGCCGTGATGGCCCTGGTGAACATTGGCCCTTGGCATAACCAGCTACTCATCTATAAATGTGTAATTTATTGAAATTGTTTTTTGATCGTCTTATTACTAGGGTCCCCTCATATTTCTGTTGCTTATCTTCTTTTCAATTGTACAACATTAAAACTGTATGTTGTATTCCAGGAAACGGGGCGGTGGGGTAGCCTAGGGGTTAAAGCGTTCGCTCTTTACGCCAAAGTCCCGGGTTCGAATCCTCAACAGGGGTACAATATGTGAAGCCCATTTCTGTTGTCCGCCGTCAGGATATTCCTGGAATGTTGCTAAAAGCGGCGTAAAACCGTTCTCATTTACTCACTATTCCAGGAAACTTAAGAAGCTTGTGAGTTATATCTTAAATGTCACACTTATCCACTGCCCAATACAGTGAGTTAAATCTCATATGTCACACTTATCCACTGCCCAATACAGTGAGTTAAATCTCATATGTCACACTTATCCCCTGCCCAATACAGTGAGTTATATCTCATATGTCACACTTATCCACTGCCCAATACAGTGAGTTAAATCTCATATGTCACACTTATCCACTGCCCAATACAGTGAGTTATATCTCATATGTCACACTTATCCACTGCCCAATACAGTGAGTTATATCTCATATGTCACACTTATCCACTGCCCAATACAATGAGTTATATCTCATATGTCACACTTATCCACTGCCCAATACAGTGAGTTATATCTCATATGTCACACTTATCCACTGCCCAATACAGTGAGTTAAATCTCATATGTCACACTTATCCACTGCCCAATACAGTGAGTTAAATCTCATATGTCACACTTATCCACTGCCCAATACAGTGAGTTAAATCTCATATGTCACACTTATCCACTGCCCAATACAGTGAGTTAAATCTCATATGTCACACTTATCCCCTGCCCAATACAGTGAGTTATATCTCATATGTCACACTTATCCACTGCCCAATACAGTGAGTTAAATCTCATATGTCACACTTATCCACTGCCCAATACAGTGAGTTATATCTCATATGTCACACTTATCCACTGCCCAATACAGTGAGTTATATCTCATATGTCACACTTATTCACTGCCCAATACAGTGAGTTATATCTTAAATGTCACACTAATCCACTGCCCAATACAGTGAGTTAAATCTCATATGTCACACTTATCCACTGCCCAATACAGTGAGTTATATCTCATATGTCACACTTATTCACTGCCCAATACAGTGAGTTATATCTTAAATGTCACACTTATCCACTGCCCAATACAGTGAGTTATATCTCATATGTCACACTTATCCACTGCCCAATACAGTGAGTTATATCTCATATGTCACACTTATCCACTGCCCAATACAGTGAGTTATATCTCATATGTCACACTTATCCACTGCCCAATACAGTGAGTTATATCTCATATGTCACACTTATTCACTGCCCAATACAGTGAGTTATATCTCATATGTCACACTTATCCACTGCCCAATACAGTGAGTTATTGAATTACGTTTGACGCAGCTTTGAACAGTATTTCATTATATCAAGGTTAAATGTAGGAGGCAACACGAAGGGATACCTTATACGTTTACCCGCGAGCACGGGTGTGGTGCTGACAAACCTAGAAACATAATCAGGGCGAACGAGGATTCGAACCGACGATCATAGGTTCCTGGTGTGTCCAAAGGACGCAACTCTGCGTAGCAAATGGACTTGACACATGTACCAATGCGGGGAAACGAACCCAGGCCTTAGGCGTGTCGGGCGAATGTTCTAAGCCCCTCCCCCTTCCCGATAGAACATGCAAATGATGTTTGTACTTGTTCCTTCAGATCCCACGACGAGTAATTTTGATAAGCCGGTTCACATGATGCTTTCATACAGAATATTTGTCAGATCAACCATGGTATGGAATATGATTTAATTGTAGTTATTCCCTTGAATATGTTTAAGACAGTGTTCTCACCTTTCCGCCATCTTGGACTCGAGTAGTCATATTTAGCACACTCCTTGTACCACTGTTTGGAGACCTCTTCTCCGACGGGATCCTTGCCGTTCAGGTCCAGAAAGATGATGTTCTCTCCCACGCCTACAACAAAGAACACAGATACATCTCTTTATTATACCCCCATGTCGGAATGACGAGGTCTGATTGGTCCAGGTGATCTTGATAAAATACTATGTATCCCTTCCTGAGGGAAATACATATCTGAAAGGGAGAATAAATCCAGTATAACCCGCCACGAAGAAAACAGGCTGCACATGGATTTGTCTACGGGAAAATAAATCCTTTATACCCCGCTACGAAGCAGACAATCGCACGCTTTTTCAAAGAGAGAGAGAGAGAGAGGGAGAGAGAGAGAGAGAGAGGGGGGTGGGGTGGGGGGGGGGGGGGGGGGGGGGGGGGTGAATGTTGTTTTACGCCGATATTATGTTATCTATATCTCGTCTGAACAACGATCCATGGTGTCGGGGCACGATGACCCATAACCAGGTCATATTACTTGCAAACCACTCGATCCTCACTCTAATAGGCTCTAACGAACAAGAGTGGCAGTTCGGGGCCTATTCTACTGCAGAAATCCCATGGGTTCACAATCTTGATAACAACTTGATAAATCGTCGATCGATACCAATCCATTCGTAATGGAATAAAACCTACCATTGCATAATAATGAAATACTCCCCACACGCAACATGACATGCAAACCACTTGTACATGACCAGATTAGCGCCTCTGGCCTTTTTACTATCGCGTGCTAGAGTCTCACAAACCTTACCTTTCTGGTGTGAGCAATGGCACCCGATCACGCATAGCATCACCAGTCTAAATATACCATCGCAGACCCCGCCAATAATTACTGTATGTCCATATTCCATCGATTGAGATGCCAGTCATTTCACAAGGCTCGTGTTGATTTAGTTTTTGATGGGCCAACGTCCATTATCTACTCGGGCAGCTCTTGGGGAAGTGTCTTGTAAGTCTGACCAATTTGTTAAATGAAATGTCCAAATATGGTTTGTTTCCAGCATAGGATTTCGATGTCTATGTGTCGCTTGGAACTGGTTAGAGTGAAACCATTATCAGGATCTGGAAGAAAGTTCCTTAGAACCAGAGCCAAATGTCTGAGAAGATCTGCAAAATATATTTCTGATTTGTGTTTATAACTAAGGCGTTTTTTTTGTGTCAACGGTGTTCATTTTTACTATATCTGTTCAGCCAGATATATATTTGATGTTACCTTGGCCGGAAGATTTATTTGAAACACATGGTAAGGGGTAGCCTATCTATCGTTCTCTCGTCAAGCCGAAGACTATGGTTCGATTCCCCACATGGGTACATTACGTGACGCTTCTTGAGTCCTTCTGCCGTCATTTGGTTAGGGTGTTGTTACAAGCGGCATAAAACACGACTCACCCACTGCAGCCCGTCGTCTAGAGTTTGACCATGCTTTCTGAAGCTCTATGTGGCTTTGTTATGAGAACGTGCAAATGTATTGTTGGAGTTAACCCCATAACGATTATTTCTAACAGACTTAGCCAAGTCAGCATTTGGCCGCACCTTGAGCCGTTCAGTGTTAAGATGGAACGGTACATACATTCAAGTGCATTATGCATGCATAACACTTACCGTAACCAAACTAAGTTGCTCACCCCTGAATCCCTAATACCAATGAAAGTTCTCTACAAAGTTTGTTTGTTTGTTTGTTGTTTAACGCCGCGCTCAACAATATTCCAGCTATATGACGTCTATATATTCGGCCCAATCAAGTCTGTTAGAGAAGTCGAGGGCGACTGCAAGTTCATGATATGAGTGGTCCACGGGCGGCCCAGTCGACTAAGGCGCCGCAATTCGCAGTGCAGAGTTGCGTCCCCTAGGCACTCCAGAAACCTTTGATCATGGGTTCGAATCCCGGTTCGCCCCGATTATGTTTCTAGGTTTCTCAGCACGATACCCGTCCTCTAGGGTTCCGCCAAAGTGGTAAACGTCTGAAACCTGCATCACTTCGGGATTTCATCCCACAGTAAGCTGACATGATGTGATGTAACTGGAAAACTGTTAAATCGGCGTTAAAACCAACTCACTCACTTGTAACACGAGTACCCTTCTATTAGAAAACATGTACAGTCAGAATAACTAATATTACTATTGAACAGGGGAACTGTTCAGTGCCGAGTTTAGAAACATCCGTTTTAGACCATAAAACAGCCCTATCGTGTCAAATTCAAAGAATTAAAACCGGTGAGGTGAAATGGGTTTTAACGTCGCGTCCAAGATTATTGCACTTATATAGCGACGTGCATGTACGTGTGTGTGTTTGTGTGGCTGCTTGTACTAGTCCGGACTGATGCCGATTTATAGTGCTACTTCACTGAGATACTATGCCGCAGTTTAACATGAATACCCCACTCAGACACAGTATACTGACTCCGAGCCGACCAGTCCTTGTTTTAGCCCCTTAATGCCGAGCGCCAGACAGGGTAACAACATGTACCATCTTTTAACGTCTTTTGGTTTGACGCGGTCGGGGATTGAACCCCGGACCTTCCGCTCTCCGGGCGGACGCTCTACCTCTAGACCACGGAGGCGGTCTAATTAAAACAGACATAACTTGTCTGCTAGCTGAGAACTTACGATCTGTCTAGCAATGTATGGTTACAGACATTACAACGTCACAGTTTCGCCGACTACAATGTCTGGAATTGGTCGCAACCAGAAACCAGACCAAAGAGCGTAGTTCCTCTGTGAGCTCAAGGAGCAGGTTGAGACGTTCTGGGCAATAGCTGCCCCACTTTAACATGTTCGTATTAACCTCACAGCTCCTTAGAACACCCAGTCTCGCCCAGCGCCGATAAACCTGGCGTCTATTTCATTTGATATATCCCATGGTGGTTGTCATTTGACCCCTCAAGACATCTCCTTTGATTCAAGGAACTTCCTTCCACGCTTTTAAGCCGCATATTTTCCACGGAAACAGGGTCCATTTCGAGACATCTTCAAGAACAAAATAGAATATAAGTTGTTTTTCCAGGAAATTGAAAAAGAAATATAATGCACATGTTTTGATGTTCAAGGAGAATTCATTCGGAAACCCATTAAGGCCGTTGATTTGATATCCCCTTATTACCTAAAACAACTTAAGCAGTTTTTCTTTGTTTTGCAAAAGCCCATAATAGCTTTCGTCACGAGTGGAGTCATGACAATAACGCATGCAAAAAACTAATATTGATGACCACATGTACTTTTAGTTTTGAATTTATAATTCGATAATGCCTCACATAATCGAAATACAGAGTGAACCTTCAACTTTGATAAATACAAAAAACAATTGTTATGGTACGATTTTGTCTCCCGTTTCTAAAAATAGGTTCGTACCAGCAGCAAAGCACAAGAAATCGCAACAGAATACCACTTCGTGATGCCAAAGAAGAATTCTGAAATTTAATAGGATTGACAAGAATTTTGGGGAAGGATTGGGTAAAAAAGCGGATACTATTATTACAAAACGCGTTTGAAATTCGATGCCCAATTCGTATCTAAGCCACTACATCATCGCCCTTGCAAGTAAGGTCACAATGACCTTGTAATGCGCTACATTCTGATCGTAGCATCGAGTATCGTCCCAAAGGCCTTCTCAGCCCCAGTGCATATCCACAGCTATATCAACCATGCCCACCACAATCCAATTAATCTAAAGCATTACTATCAAACATCAACCGAATGACATAAAATATGACGACCGTCAAAAGCTAATGTATGTCTTTTGTGCATGACTTTGATTGTAGCTGAGATATTTGCACTGAATCCCTTTCTCAACAGCCATGCAAACAAAGAGTTCGGCCTATCAATAAGCCCGTGTTTATCTATGTACTCTGTAATTATCGATGTCTATGACTGATGAAAGGAACAACGTTCACAATCCATCATTATTACTTTATTGATGAGGGTTGTAGTGTCCTGATAGCTATTCTGTTGTAGCGAGACGCTCTTCTGTTGTAGCGAGACGTTCTCCTCTTGTAGCGAATTGTTGTTCTGGTGTAGCGTGACGTTCTTCTGTTGAAGCGACATGTTGTTCTGTTGTAGCGAGACGATGTTCTGTAGTGTAGTGCCTGGTGTGTAGTGCCTGGTGTGTAGTGCCTGGTGTGTAATGCCTGGTGTGTAGTGCCTGGTGTGTAGTTCCTGGTGTGTAGTGCCTGGTGTGTAGTTCCTGGTGTGTTGTGCCTTGTGTGTAGTTCCTGGTGTGTAGTGCCTGGTGTGTAGTGCCTGGTCTGTAGTGTCTGGTGTGTAGTGCCTGGTGTGCAGTGTCTGGTGTTTAGTCCCTGGTGTGTAGTGTCTGGCGTGTAGACCCTGGTATGTAGTGCCTGGTGTGTAGTTCCTGGTGTGTAGTGTCTGATGTGTAGTGTCTGGTGTGTAGTGTCCTTTGTGTAGTGTCTGATGTGTACTATCTGGGTTGTAGTGACTGGTGTGTAGTGCCTGGTGTGTAGTGCTTGGTGTGTAGTGCCTGGTGTGTAGTCCCTGTTGTGTAGTGTCTGGTGTGTCTGGTGTGTAGTGCCTGGTGTGTAGTCCATGGTGTGTAGTTCTTGGTGTTTAGTATCTGGTGTGTAGTGCCGGGTGTGTAGTGCCTGGTGTGTAGTGCCTGGTGTGTAGTGCCTGGTGTGTCGTGTCTGGTGTGTAGTGCCTGGTGTGCAGTGCCTGTTGTGTAGTGTCTGATGTGTAGTGTCTGGTGTGTAGTGTCTGGTATGTAGTCCCTGGTGTGTAGTGCCTGGTGTGCAGTACCTGGTGTGTATTGTCGGATGTGAAGTGTCGGATGTGTAGTGCCTGGTGCGTAGTGCCTGGTGTGTAGTGCCTGGTGTGTAGTGCCTGGTATGTAGTGCCTGGTGTGTAGTGCCTTGTGTTTAGTGCCTGGTGTGTAATGCCTGGTGTTTCTGGTGTGTAGTGTCTGGTGTGTAGTGTTGGGTGTTTCTGGTGTGTAGTGCCTGGTGTGTAGTGCCTTGTATGTAGTGCCTGGTGTGTAGTGCCTTGTGTTTAGTGCCTGGTGTGTAATGCCTGGTGTTTCTGGTGTGTATTGTCTTGTGTGTAGTGTCGGG